CTGCAAAGGGAGGGGGGAAAAAAACTAGATTAAAGCATTTCCTCTTCAGATGCCTTGTGGGCAGTGACTGCAAGAGGCTCTTTGTGTGTTTTTGTGAGACATTAGGGGTTGTAATTGAGTTGGGCTGAACAAGGCCAATGACCAGAACAAAAAGGTCAGTGGCTAAGTTTATTGGGTTGGCGTTTGGAAATGCTACTAAACCCCTAGAGGCTCTGACCATTTGCAACAAATCACTTCCGACAGTTAAACCGATCAGCTGCTATTTGCGGATGCATAACATTTACTTAGAAGCTGTGAGGTTGTAAGTTCAAGCAATCAGCGCATCATGAATTAAGAAACCGTTGTTATAGCATCTAATGATGCAAAATTTGACTTGTCGGCCTTTTCAGGAAGTAAGTATTCTCCATATCAGAACCCAACAACTGGTTTAGATTCCAAATGACAGATTTCCGCACACAGGTGCTCTCATCTACTTTCCTGCGCACCACTGCCTCCGTTCAAAACTTTAGGCTCTGGTCCTTCACTGAATTATGTAATTTTCCTTTGGAAAAGAATGCGTTTCTGTTTTCTCCTGGTGCTCCATGCATACTATTTTTGAAGAATGTCTCCATCCCGCGAATGTCTCAGTCGAATCCTGTTGAATTTTCTGTTATTGTGGCTGTTTTTGATGAGAGAGGTTATTTCTGCTCGCTGGCTTAACCATATGCAATTTTTGAGCTGCATGCAGAGTACGTGCAACAATTTATGGCCAAAATTATTTTAAAACAGTTTCATACAAACTGGCTTCGACTGTCTGTTGATGGCAGGCTCCTTTCCCTTTTTTTCGTCTTAATGACATGTCAACAATTTTCCATGAAGTGTCTGGTTATTTAATATTTGATGTCAGGCGCGTTGCATTTGTCGGGGCGAATGATAAATAATTTCATTTTCCCGAAGAATAATTCATAATTCATTTTTGAGGGCAGAAATTTCCTGTCTGGTTTGAGTGCTGTTTCTTGGACATTCCACTTCCTCACAGTCCTGCATAATTTATGGTATTTTGTCATGATTTCCTCTGTGTCCTACGAGAGAAGCGATGCCAGTGGAGAAAGGCGAAGGGGGTGGGGTGGGATGGGGGAGCTCTCATGAATGTTTAAGCAGACCGAGCAGTGTCAATTTGTTTTCCCATAAAAAAAGTGTAGTACTGTCAAAACCAAGCAGATACTTTGACCTGTAGGCACCACTGATCCGTTTATTATGTGCTGCTTTCTTAGAGGCAGGAATGGATGATACAGGTAATTGTACCTATATAAACGCTAGAACTAAATGGCTTCTAATCTCGATTAAGATTGGAGTCAAGCCAGAGCCCTTAAGTTTAAATTTGATCAAAACACATCTCAGGATTTTAAGATGTTAGAGCAGGTCTCACAACCAATCCCTTTTGAGATGAGAGTCGTGACATTAATGGCTTCTTCAGCCCGTTAAAGCTCTGGGATGAAAGTTTTTCAGACATACACTGGATCCATTTATCCTCATGGCTTCATTCGGACATGCCCACGTTGTGACAGAGAGCCAGGACACATGTCAAGTCGGGGCATATTAGGAGCGCCTTTGCTGAGTCAGCTTTCTGGAAGAAACTTTTCAAACAGCCTTAACAGTTTGCGTCATCCTGAAGTGCACAGTTTTTAATCGGAAATAGGCTGTGCATAGGAGCAGCAGAGGAAAAGGGCTATCCAGGTTTTAAGATCGTTGAACTCTTGGGTTTTTAAGTGCTTTCAGCAGATTACGCAGACATTCTGGCTACTTCAGGTTTGGACTTTCAGCTCACTGACGCATTTTGCTGCAAAGTCAGAAGCAGCAGGAGCAAAGTCAGGATTCCTCACAATGAAAAAACGCTCTCTCCAGGCAGGGGACCAGTCCCTGCCTCGGGCAGTGGACTTCAAGCGTCTGGGTATGGAGATGGACAGACGGAGGCTGGTCAGCTGTCACGAGTGGGTGCTACTCCATTTTGTTGTGGCAAAGAGGGAACTGATCCAGAAGGCAAAGGCTTCAACTTGTTGCCACCTTTTTGTTCCGACCTTCTGGGTAGTTACCGAAAGAATGACTGTGGATACTAGGGACTAAGATGGATTTCCTTCAGAGGGGGGGGCTAGCCTCAGCCTTAGAGAAAAGAGTGTGAATCTCGGCCATCTGGAGGGAACAGATCATGGCTCCCGGGATCGCCCAGGCGGAGGTGGGAGGTGTGGCTGGTGTCAGGGATCCCTGGACTCCGTTTTGAACCTGTTGTGTGTGCGACGGGATTTCGTACGACTGGAGCAAAATGAATGGATGGGCGATGAGGCTGTACCGTGAAATGTTGTTAACCAGGAGTCTGATTTTTCTGGGGGTTTTGAAGATCATGTGTAATCTAAGAGTCTTAGCTTTGTCTGTATTACCTGAGGGGCCAGCAAGTCTCACAAGCACTCGAATTTAACTCGAGTGCGAACGCAGCTCTGCCGGACAGATGGCAGTCCCGAATCAGGCGTGTGGAGTATTAGCTGTTAATATACACGGCGGGAGTGATTAAAAACTGCTGTTTCTTCCTCAAAAGCCGACGCCACACATACACACAAGCTGCCAGTGGATTTGCATAGTTCATTAAGCTGCTGCCTTTTTCAATGGCATTAAGATTAGCTTAGTTATATTAATATTTGACCACAGAGACAGTCAGTCATACGTTCTCTGCTCTCTCCAGCTATCAAATGAGTAAATGGCTTTCCAAGAAACAATTGACTGCACCGTATGGCTTTGTTCCAGGTCAGTGAAGTTAATGTCCACGGTGCATGTGACTTCCTGGCAAGTCAATGTGTATAATGTTGCTTTGAGAGCTGGCAGCAGCATCCTCAATATATGCAAAACAGGATAAACCCTTATTAATAATCCTGCCTGGAAGGTGTTCTTTTTTTTTTCCATTTCTTTCTTACTCTCATGCCTTGGTTTACTGTAAACTTAAAAAATGCTAAACTGGCTGTTTTTTCTGTAAAAGTCTCAAACCACCAAGTCAGAGCTTTGTGGCCCAATCCATGCAGCTTTGGCAAACACGATGCATAAATCATTATGCATTATTATTATTATATTTGGATGAATGTCTGTTAAAAATGCAGTATCAAAATGTAGTGTAAACCCAAGGCCGTAACATTCATTTGGAAGTCTTTTGGTTGTGGCATCAGGTCACACCATACAAGGCTATTTTATTTGGTTTGGCTTTTTGGTTTACTGCTGCATATGAATTGAATGAATAAAAAAAAATGTCATGAATGGTGAGGAAACTGTATATTATGTGGTACCAAACAATTTAACATGCATGTTTCTTTACAGTTTTTTAGTTCTAAAAAAAACAAACAAAAAAAAGTAACACAAAATTGCACTTACAATTACCAATAATTTACAAGAAAAATAGCACTGCATTACAAAGAAACACGTGCCTCAGATAGAAAGTATTGCCTCTAAATACTTTTCATATATCTTATCTGTACATATGTCTTCATCGGCTAATTAGAAAATAAGCAAATCAAAATAAAGGTAAATAAGGGAAAGAACAAAACACAAAAATCAGATGAGCAGCCCTGAAAAATACATTTCTTTTTGTGGTTAAAATGGCAAAGTACCCACACAAGATGAAGAAAAAGAGGCACAGTAACATAGTCAGTGTCTTTAAAAAACATTTTTTTTCAAAGAAAATCTTCAAACATGTTTTGAAAGGATTCTTCTCAGCTTTGCATCATTTATGAAGACTTTCTAACTGTAAATCCTTTCCCACAAGAAGTCTGATTCAGAAAAGAAGCAGCTTTGAGATTCTGCTCATGATAAACACCAATCCATTTGTTACAGCTAGGCCAACAAAACTCTGCCGACGCAGCACTAAACTGTGCAGAATTATCACTTTTACTGCTTTTGAATTTTTCAACAGGAGGCCTGGTTCGTGACAGGAGGTTCAGTCTCTACAATCAACCTAACATGCAGGTTTCTACCTGTAAAAGCGTTGTGCATATTAAAGCTGCAGGATGTAAGTGACCATAAGGGGGCGGGTGTACTTACTTTTGACGTTTTGTGTCATCAGACGCTAACTGCTAACCTCTTCCATTGACCCCTCATCAGGGACGCTCTGCTTAAATTCTGTAAATCCATCCATCCATCCATTTTCCATCCATCCATTATCAATACCGTTTATTCCCTGATGGGGTCACGGGAGGGGACTGGAGCCTATCCCAGTGGTCAATGGGCGAGAGGCGGGGTACACCATGGATGGTTTGCCAGTCCATTGCAGGGCCACACAGAGACACACAAGGACCAACAACCATTCACACTCCCTCCTAAGGGCAATTTGGAATGTCCAATCAACCTTACGTGCAGGTTTTTGCAATGTGGGAGGAAGCCGGAGAACCCGGAGAAAACCCACTCAGACACAGGGAGAACGTGCAAACTCCACACAGAAATGCCCTGGTTCCCCTGGGGACTCGAACCCACAACCTTCTCGCTGTGAGGCCATGGTGCTAACCGACATACCACGCAATTCTGTAAATCTGACAGCAAAATCAAGTCGGAGCGTTCAGGTGCCCCGCCCTGGAGAATTGTAAATGTGCAAACGTGCGAGCAGTTAACGCCGTACACACGATGAGGGACGGCCTGAGCTGGCCCTGCTCCGGTTGTTCATATGAGGCGGTGGCTGGGGTCGGGACTGGCACACACTCTTCAAGTTGACACGATGCCATTTAATAACACAAATGAGACTGGAAACGAAGCCAAACAGAAATCCTGAGCCTTCCCCCAGACCTTTATGTGGAAGCTCTACCTTCAAGCAGCATTGTGATTACAGATGGAAAATAGGAGCTGGCATCAGTCACATGACTTTTTCTGGGATTTGATGGAACAGATAAGGGGAGGAAGCCAAACCCAAGTCTCTCAGAGCCTCGCCTCTTGCAAACTTTACACTCTGATGTAGAAGGCTTGTGCTGAACAATGACTTCAACGTTTCAATGGAGTCAACGCGGTGTTCCTTTTCTCCTGGACTCCAGAGTGTGCAGCCCTTCCTGCCGCCCCAGAGCGTGTTGGGCGCCAACTTTATGGGCCGTCTCTGTGGCAGCGATGTCTATCTGTGCGTACTTGGTGGAGCTTTTTCCTGTGGAGACAACAAAACCATCATTTTTCTGTAAACTTGTACCATAGACTTTGCTTTCATATATTCATTATGACCTCAGTAAACCTGCATTTTTCTGTTTTAGAGTCTTCCAATTTTGTTTGTAGCTATCCAGATTTTAGTCAGAGCTGACTGGGAACAATATTTTTTGCCACAAATAAATATGTGGCAAAAAGATTGAGTATGTATATGAATAAATAATAGGACAGTTGTTAAAAAAAAACAAATGTTGCTCTGAGCTTTGGCCATTCAAAGACAGTAGAGGTCATTCTAATTTTCTGATGTGCAAACAAAAACACTTCTGAATGACCTTGTTAAATCCCTACAGAACTTTGACAAGTGATAAAACCGTCAAAACAAACATGACAGGGGAGTTCAGAGCAAAGTGGATCTCTGCCCTCACTGCCAGTTTGATTGCATAGAGTAAGTGACGAAGCCTCATAGGGAAAAGCAGAAAATTATGCAAATGAGTCAGCGGAGGCCTTTAAAATATTCCTGTCGTGTGCCACCTCTTCCATATGCACATTACAGGTATTAACATATCTTTGTGTATGTCCTTGTATGAAGATCGAATGTCAGGGTTCAACTGTAAAATAAGGTAAAATGGAGGAAATTAAGCCCAGCTCAGAATCCATCAGTATTCCCAGCGGGGGGATCCCATTAGGGCCGGTAAATTCACAGCTGCGATCTCAGTGGCCCGTGCGCCCTCTCAGTAGCGGGACAGGACACCCCCTCCTCCCAGGTGACGGATTAATGAGGCCACATGTCCAGATAAAACTGCAAAGCTGACATTAGACATTAACCTTCTTCGTGTCAGAGCTCAAACGGCTCTCGTATTCTTGCGGGGAATGACGCAAACCTGCCTGCCAATTACAGCCCACTACCTCGTCTCCAATGACAAGGACTCAGCTGTCTTTCCCCGAGATGAGAAGTAATCATCTCAGTCGTCTGCCAGCGATTCCTGTAACTGACGAGGCAAAATAGATCCCCGATTTGAATCCTTGAATGACTTTCATCCATGCTCGATATCGACACTGCAGCCCATGTCAAGTTGGGATCTTTTGTGTCAGCCTGCAGGATTTGAAAGTACCCAGAAAACCCCAAAAAGTAAGCAGTGAAATGGTGAGGGACAACTGTACAGCACCAGAATAGATTCTGACCTAAAGTTGAACTGGTTAATAGTACATTAATTTCTAATCTATGTCTTTTTAAACTTGTTTGGACATGGATATTGAAGGTTTGCCCCCAAATGTCTTGCTGGAATGCCTGTTTTTCATCTTTTTGTGGTTAGAAACAGAAGTCTTTTCAGCAACCAGCTGACCTGCTGGTTAAAGACACTTGTTTGTTTGCTTGTAAAAGACTGAAAACTGTTTTCAAGGCTGCTGCCTGGAGATGAGGAGTCTTACTTGTCAGACGTTAATTGTTTATCGTTGTTAATCGTTAATTGTGTGTCCTTACTCTGAGCAGGCAGATGTGCCATCGTCCCTCTGACGTGTCCTGACTCCTGCAGCTCCAGCTCCATGTAGTTGAGCTGCTTTTTTGATGTAGGACTGATGGGAATATTGACGTATGTTACTCCTTCACTGCGGTATCTTTCAGACAATGAAGCCTCTTGAGGGAAAACAAACACTGCCCCTAAGAGTACAAGAGGAAATTGAAATCAGCTCATTCATGTCTGAATACATCTATCCAGTAAGGGCCCTCAAGCCATACTGCCTTTTAATATAAAAAGAACACTCAGCTGGATAGCAGAGAGGGAAAGTTACTTTCTTGGGATTAGATAGTTGTGGGTTCAAATCACGACTTGGGCATCTATCCGGTAGAGGCCCTCAAGCTAAGCCTTTTTTTAATAATATGTATTGTACATAGAGAGAGTCACATAGAGAAAGATAGATATGGAGAACTGGCATCTGGATAGCAATGGTCATTGTGTTCAAATAACGACTAGAGCACCTATCCAGTAAAGCACAAGAGAGGGCTAGTAGTAGTAGAGAGATAGAACATGGTAAAGGAGGCAGAAAGTACAATTTAGGGCAAATAAGTAAGAGGGTTCTTTGAGTAACAAAATTGAAGCAACTAACTAGTGTTCAAACATCTGCAACAGAAATACTAGAACGTAAAGGTGGTGGTAGTAGGACGTAAAGGTAAAGAAGATAGAAGATGGGGTAGTAGTGGAAGATGGGGGTAGAAAATAGGTGATAAAGAATATGTTAGTAGTACAGAGATATAATGTAAAGGTGATAGTAGTAGTAGAAGAAACGTAAAGAAGATGTGGGGTAGAAGATAGTAGTAGTACATTAATAGAACGTAAAAGTGATAGTAGTAGAAGTAGTCTCAGATCTGGAAAAGCTGACAATCGTCTTGGCCCGCTTACACTCAGCCTAAAACCTCTCCAGTGCACGCTGGAGGACTTGGCCCAAAGAAGCCAACAGAACCACATCATTAAAAAGCAGACCAACATTCACCGTAAACAGGGAAACACATGTAAACCTACATGTTCCCCTCAATAGACAAGGGTAAAGATCTAGCCCACGCTGTTCCTCCTGAATTCAGGGTTAAAAATCAATCAGTCACTACAGCAGCCTGGAGTAGTATCGGGGAGGCAAAGTAATATAACCTTCCTCTAGATTGAACACATTCTCCAGTCCCCCCCTTTTTTTAAGACAACCTTAGTATTCCATTCCACAGATCCTGTTCCAGACCTCCATGTGACACCAAAGAGGCATGTCAGCCAAGACATCAATTATTTAACAATTTATCAGTTTGTCTTGGTAATGTATTTAAAAAAAGACTGAAAAATTATTGCAAATAATTGTTTTATTTTTTTGTTGTTTTGTTTACGTTTACAGAATGTCCAGACCCCACTGGAAATGGGGTTTGAAGTAGAAGGTGAACCCACCTTCTCTGACACTTCTTAAGCAGCGGCTAGCTGTGGCCATTACCCACAGCCCAGAAACATCAACCCCAGGGGACACTCTCACAATCAGTGAGAGACCATTAGACGCCAGCAGAGTCTCGGCTGGCGCAGCCTTTGGCAACGTCTAACCTAATTGATGAGACACCAAGCAGCCCTCGCAGGAGTGTGGTGTTTTATAATGGCTGCCATTACAGCGGTGGGTTTGCCCACAGCACTACTGCCGGGGCCCTTTTTTCATAACACACTCTGCAGAGCCTCAAAGGGGGGGGGGGGGGGGGGGGTGTTGGAGGCACTACCTGAGGGAGCGCAGTGACCCAAACGCAAAGTCAGCCGACTGATGTGTCTTCAGGGTGAACCGGATTTCCCAGGCTTTCACGTGTCATTGAACCATACGTCTTGGTGAAGTTTATCCAGGGGCATTTTACAAATGACCCAGGGGTACAACTCTAGCTATGTGAGCATGGGGTATCCTTTAGCTCAACTTTGTTTCTGTTGTCCAAAAACTTACTTTCGGTAAGGACTGAATCTCATTTTTGTTCCATTTTTGTGGGGGGAATGAAGAAACCTCATAATTATTCCATCTTTTAACCGTAAATATTAATCCACAGGGCCATCTGCTGTAGCTTGTAGAGTGAAATAATTTTTTTAAATGCAACATTATGACATGCTACCAAGAAATCATCCTTTTTACTCAACAATTGTGACACCCCTAAAAGAAGCTCAAATAAAGATGCTTTAAAACTGCAAATATGCTTTGATTACTGCGCCATATTTTTTAATGTGAAACATATCTAGCTTAATAAATTGATATGGTATGGATATTAACACCGAGACATTTGACTTCCTGAACATCCTCGCCCCATCTACTGCCTCCTGAGCCAGGACGAAGAGGAAAAATAACGCCAAGAAGGGTCGTTCGTTCGTTTGTTCGTGCGTTTGTGTTTGTGTGTGTGTGTGTGTGTGTGTGTGTGTGTGTGTGTGTGTGGGGACAGGCGAACATGACTGATGAGTTTTGTGCCACTCGGTGACAGCAGCTGGGACTTGGTAGAGCAGGTGTGCATTAGACTGAGGGCATGTGGGTGTGGGATGCTTAAGTGGCCATACGTCCCCTGACAACTGTCCTCTCACCTCACTGTTTGGTTACACATCTGTGTTTTTTTTTTTTTTATCTACTCACAAGTGGCTGTTATGTAACTCAAGTATATGGCGTTACGTAAAAATGCAGATGAAGAAACAAACTGTCGCGTTGCAGCAGGAGCTCAGCTGAACCGATGAATGGAGGAGGCTGGAAACGAAACTTTGTTCGCGGCAGCAACAACTTTAAATGTGACTCATATCCGTATCAACTTTGGATGTTTTCAAAAACCCACCGAGCTGAAGCCCTGTCTGCTGAGGTCTATGTTTAACTCGTCAAAACATAATCATAATATGCAGCTTTTAATCCAGTCTTGACGTGTCATGGAAAAGAAGCACTAAGGAAACAAAAGCAGCTGTTGATTTCTGAGTCATTTCCCTTAAATAACTGTGCACTATTAAAAAGGTACATTTTAATAGTATAGTATTCTAATTGTAAGAGCTGCTCCAGATGAATTGAACTGGCTCTTTAACTTTAATTACTACTAATACGCCCCATTCTTAAGGAAAGAAAAGAGCCCAGGAAAACAATTCCTTTTTGCCTCTTAGGGTAGAAAAAGATGTAATTTCCTGTGGAAGCTTATTTTAGAGAAGACAGATATCAGCTAAAAGTCTAAATCATCTTTTTCATTTCTGGTCAAGAGAAACGGATGTTTACAGACTTTGATACATGCTGAATTTACTACTTTTTGGATGTGAAATTGTTCAATGAATGAGTGATAGGCTGCGGAACAGAATAAGTTCAGGCCACTTTTTTTTTTTTTAAAGAAATGAGAATTTTGACTTTTCCGTGTGAGAAACTGCCCAGGATTTATCTTCAAACCAAGCCAACGTTTAGCTCAAAGCTTTATCTGACCTCTCACGTGACATGAAGGAGAGCCGATGATGTTCTGTCATCATGAGGACCGGCATACAGTCGCATTAGTTGTCTGCATGCCAATCTCTAAATCTTTCTGCTTCGGGACAGATACAGTAAGTGTGCCAACAGGGAGAGGCTTGTTCACATTTGGAAGCTGCTCTTTGGGCTTTCCAGATCCAGACAAAGTTTAGAGCATTTTTTGCAGATCAGAAAATGTGAGAATAAACGCGTGCGATTGGTATCCTGATGAAAATTTCATCACCCAAGATTTAGACCCATTTTTTCTTAAGGCATCCCTCCAATTTCTTTAATTTCTTTAAGTCCCTTCCAGGAAGTCACTCCTGGTTATTTCAACAACCCGGCACTGAAAATGTTCACCGTAGTTAAATGCACTTTGAAATATTAAATTTATGAATAGAATATGAATTGCAGACTCGGCGGAGTGAAAAACAAAAAAGCCTCGGCTCAGCCCGCGTTAAGTTGATTGCACCATCTCCGTCTCGCTCACCTTCAGCCTCTTGGAGAAACCTCTGCTGGCTGCAGCTCCCCATTAGCTCGTACTTGTTTTTCTCCTCGGCCTGAAACACCCCGGCATGAGTGTTGGTGAATATAATTGGCAAAGAGTGGTCATAGCCAGCACGTAAGATTATTACATAAGTGTGATGATAATGTTCTACTAAACTGTTAAGTGGACGTGTCATTTAGAGATGGAGGCTGATACTCTGCGTCTACTCAGAGCTCAGGAGAACAGTCATCATCATTATGGGACATTAAGCGTGCTTCAGAAGTAGAGTAACCAACATTGGACATAACATCTCAAATATATATTTTTTTATTTACCAAAAATGTTTATGTGGTTAATTAGAAACAGGACATAACATGCACAACCTAAAATATCTATAATAATATAAATATGTATCTATATAAGACATTTCTGCACAGGGAGTTTCTCAGTGGCTGTGATTGAGGATCTGATAACATTAAGCAGATTAAAAGGCTCTGAACCGGCCTACCTCTGGGCTCCTCTCCGGCACACGGCCCTCCATGATCTCATAGGCAGGGTTGGCTCTGTGTTTTCCATCTTTTTTAAACTTTTTATCTGGTAGGAGAGAGGAAAAACGTTAGAAAGTAAATTACAAAAAAAACAACTCCAATTTTGAAACTGATTATCACGAGCATGGTCATTTATGTTTGCATGCCATGCTGCGCTTCTCAGTCTATCAGCGTGCACCTGTTAGACGGGGTAGCGTGCTCAATAACATCACATTTCTTATTTCCACAACTGCGAAGTACCTTCATTTCCCTCAGACATAACCACCAACACAGTGCTCAAATTCACCCAACGCAAGCAGGAAACAAGCAGTTGATTAAACAGACGGAAAAAAAAGGCCAGGGCGAGAGCGTGTTCTCATTCGTGGGAAAAAAAAAACGGAGGAAAAAGACGGAGAGAGACCCATCTCAGAGAAAGCGGAAGAAGAAGAAAAAAAAAAAAAAGGACACCGGAGGGTGATTTCAAGGTTTGCAGTTTCATTTGCGGGGCTCCCTTTCTTACCTTCATTCTCCGTCTGAACATTGATCTCTCCATACAGAGGCCGCCCGCCCTCCTCTCTGAGAGCCTGATGGAGCGGCTCCTCATCAGCAGAACCGTCAGGCTCTTGGCTCTTCGTCAGGCGTGGCCCGGTCGGGACCGTATGAAAAGCGAAAACGTCCCCGGAGCGGTGCATTTTAGCCGGCGTGGCTCGAGGTGGAGGGTGGCAGCGTGCTCCTCGACACTTCAGACAGTTTTCGTAAATGACAGCTCTTTTGTCTTGCTGTGAGCCCCGTAATGGTGCAGCTGGCGCCAAATTGAGCTCATTTTCCAGAACGGGGCTCATTGACTCGTACAGGTTCAATCTGTGAGCCCTGGCCTCCGGCTGCCTGTCTGCGCTCGGGACGCTGAGCAGATCGGATAGGAGGCCGACTAATTTTTGCCCCCTTTTTTTGGACGGAGGCCACTCCTCACTAATGGCGGCGGTTGGCGGCTCTGTACCGTCGGTATTTCCAGAGTGGGACTTCTCCGGAGATTTCTTCACTGCAAGGAGCGTACGTAACAATGCATGGCTGCTAGATCAGGTTTGGTTTTTTTTACAGCAAGCATCAATTCTCTTCATGCATGGAAGAGACAGTGCATGCAGCAAAAGGTTTCAACAGACGAGCCTTACCTGGTATGGCAGGTGCCACGGAGGAACTCGAATGGACATAAAGGGTCCCCCCCTGTGGAATAAAATCATTAGTCCATTAATAGTACTAACATACTTTGAGTAAAGTTCCTGGATTTGCTAAGACAAGGCGTTGGAAACAAATTTAATGAAAAAAAAATGGTTGTCCAATCCTTTGAAGTCCTCCTAAGCTCAGCTGGTTTCTGAACTACCCATTTTAATTATTCTTGAAAAGACAAACCCTTTAAAATTATGGGGGGAAAAACAACATCTGAGGCCAATTCAACGTCCATGAAACTGTTGGTACGTAAATCTGAGCAAATATTAATCAAAGTTTAACTATGCAGAGTGGTTAGATTTTGTATTCAGAAATTAGACTTTGAGACTCAACTTTATTTATCCCTTGGGATGAATCCTTCAGGGAAATCTGAGAATCTGGGTTTCTGTTTGATGTTGAGGCTTTGATTGCACCACTTTTTATGTCTCCGTGCACCATTGCATCACACAGGTCAGAGGTCAGCCATCTCCATGTGACTGCACACAGCAGCCCTGGTTTGATGTGTTATCATTAAATGAACTCTATAACTGTGAATCAATCAACAGAACAGAGGCTGAGGGTGATAAATGCCCCCCCGCAGCCTCCATGCCTGATTCACCCGCCTCTGGCCTATAATGCATGTTTTATTTAGTTCCTCATGGACTCACTGGGAAAACATAGAAAATCATTTTTCCATTTTAAATCCACACCATAACACAGAGACGGAAAATAATCCATTCTCAATATTTACCATTTAACAGGCTTACTTAAAAATAATGAGTGGCATTAATTAAAAATAAATGAAAAACCTTTTTACATAAAAGGTTACAACCCAACAGCACAATAAGACCTCTTGTTAACCAACAGCTGCATCAGATTCAGGGGACTCAGTGTTTCATCAGTGTGTGCTTAAAAGAATATGCTCAGGTCACAGTATAAGGAGTGACAGCAGCCTCACTGCTTGCATTTTTTACAATGCAAGCTCTGCCCTGTCTCTCTTTCTGTATCCCTTGCCATCTCTGAGGCAGATAAAATGTTGACTTTTTGTTTTACTCTTCAGCATAGACATAGGAATCTATAGAAAAATGGAGGAAAGATGGGTCCAGACAGGAGAAGAAGGACTGGTGTCTCCTTGTTGATGTGAAAAGTTAAATCAGAGGACAAAGGATTAGCTAATATCTGGGAAAAGCTCCATCCTGAAATGAAGCACATAGGGGACCTCTCAGGGCAGATTTACTGTACGTCTCACAGGGTAAACCGCATGGATGCCTTCCAACCGTGAAAGCTTTCAGACAGATCAGGAAAACCAGTATAAATCTCACAGTGTCTCACAGAGATGCAAATGAATTGTCTGATTATTATTGATTATTAATGTCTGCAGTAACATTTGCTTCCTTTTCCTTTTTTATGGCAACACATTTACATCTGTTGTCATCACTTTTCTCCACACAGTGAGAAGGATTATGGGAATTTAACGAATGCATAGGTTACACAGATAGGCTTGGATGCACTTCTCCAATAAGCCCAAAGATAAAGGCAGAGAGTTTTTATCGGTTAAAAAAAGTCTGTTTGAACCAGACTGGGAATAAGAACAGCAGTGTTCACAGCAAAGAAAAAGCAAAGCCAGAAAAATAAAGAGCTCAGACTGGAAGGGGTGGAAAGTTACATACAGAAGGCGCTGCTTAAAACAGAGGTGGCTGTTAAAACTGAAGGGGAATGCGCGATTCGCTCGCAGCTTACTTGTGAACCTGCTTTGGTCAATAACAGTGTCAAACTAAATTAGTGGCCGCGTTAACTGGGCGAACAGATGGGCCGTGGGACTGCTGGCTGGTCGGGCGCCAAAAACACACACGCAGAGGCATCGCCGTCAGCCCGCACAATAAAAAAAAAAAAGGTCACGCTGACAGCGGGCCTCCCAGCAGATGAGACGCTGCACGCACAAGCTGCTGCTGCCCGATCCCAAACGGAGAGCCTCAGTCTCCATTTTGAAGTTTTTAGGAAAATAAAGATAGGAACCTATCCCATCTGAACAGCCCTTTTGGAAGAAAGAGTGAAATAAAAAACTGTTCCCACTCACCTTAAACCCACCACACACTGAGCAGATGCTCACAATGTTTTTGGAGGGCTGGGGGAGATGCTCTGCACATGTCGGGGAGCTGCAGCTATGAATGGAGTCACTAGAGGGCACCACCTTGGTTGTTTTCCCCCCCTCCGAAAGGCCCGGTGAGAGTCCACTGACTGGCTGCCTCTCGGGAGCCTCTGGGTGACCCTCTGAGGTCGCCTCTGCCACCAGGCCCGGAGGGACTAAAGAGTCTTTGGTTGAGGCCGAGGGCTCACAGTCTTTGGCCCCCTCGCCTACTTCCATCAGCAAACTCCTGGGGGTGTCGTACAGGTAGCGGAGGGAGGTGGGCACCTGGTACTCCCGCCCAGAGCCGGTGGGGCAAGAGCAGGGGCTCAGATCTGGAGCCAGGCCGGGGGGCAGGGCGAAAGCAGACCCGAAGTCCTCCCCGGGAGCCACGTCAAAGCTGCCCGCGTAGGAGGAGAAGCTGCCCGAGAACGAGGAGTGGCTGCCCGTCGCGATGCCGCTGTCGGACGAGCTCTGGCGGCCTATTTCCTGAAGCTGCCGCTGACCGCCGGCCGCCGCCCGGCCCCCGCTGGCCTGCCCGGTGGGGAGCTTCTCCACAATCTGCAGCGTCACTTTGTGGGCGGCATGGACCGAGAGGCCGCCGGTTCCGGGCGGGTGGGAGGCAGGCTCGGGCCAAACGGCCGACCGGCTGCCAATGCTGCAGTCTGATTGGCTGGTGTCTGAAGTGTCGGAGGAACCGGATATGCTGCGGTCATCTCCCCCGGCCGATGAGACTGGCAAGAGCACAAAACGACTATGATTAATGAAATCCATTAACACAAATGTTTTTTTGTTTTGTTTTTTATCTGCCTCCACTTTTCCTCTGACTATTTTTATAACACAGCAGAATCAGTTAAGCAGCAGCAGCATCAGTGACGTTAAATCTACAAACTTAAATTAAGTTCTGAACATATATTACTGAACACAAATGTATCATTTATAGCGCCCGGCTGGGAGGAGAGCTCACTGCTGTTAAATAACGATCAGGACGATGATTCTCGGGTCGCTGCGCCTTCAATTATTCAAGATTTTTTGGCGGTGAGCTCGCATCATGCAAGACCTGTAAATCTCTCTACCTGTGCTGCTCCCGTGAGACAGCATGCTCAGCCTCTTCTCCAGCTCCTGGGCCTCATGCTCCAGCCTCTCCTCCGAATTCTGGCTGGAAGCGAGTTCTGTGGGAGAGAGAAACACGGCTACGAACCCGGGCTCCTCCAGAAAAACAAAAGGGTCCCACACACACCTTCCTGTGGCATCCCGCAAACGGCGCGAGACGCAACGGCCTGCGGGACGTGAACCTGATCTGTGAGTGGCCGGGCGGGCGGAGCGAAGGGTCACACCTGCAGAGCTCGTGCGGCATTACAGGCGTTATTTATAGCGCGGCCACGTGGCTGCGCTGGTACGCGCTCTGCTGCTGGCGGCTGAACATTCTAAGGCCTGCGCCAGGATCTAATGGACCTTAAGACCAGCAAGGTCAGCGTTACCTCTGAATCTGTTTTTTTTGTTTGTTTTTGTAGGTCTGCAGGAAGGCGGTGAGTGGGCCAGAATTGTGCGAGTGGACTTAACCAACAGCAGCTTTCAGTCCACAGTTATAGCCTCAAATTGACAACAATAGAGCCATTTTTCCCCCAAATGAAGAACGCAGGCCCGTGGAGATCTGCATTTTAATGACTGGATCTTTTCCATGGGTTCCTCCACCTGTCGAGCTTAACACAGAGGTCGGCCCAACATGTCTGTTGCCATTACAGATTAATGAAGGAGCGATTGGGTTACATTCCAGATGTTCCCGTCTGTAAAAGTCACACTCGGGCCCCCACCGAAAAACGTAATTCTACAAGTGAACTGGAGGCCCAACTGAAACGTTACCCTAACTTTAATTATCTGGACGTTTCTCTTATTTTTCACTCGTCTATGCATTTAGTGCAGAGCTTTTATTAAATGCAGAGCCTCCAGTTCTTCAAGGCAAATAATGAGCAGATTAAATAAAAACTTTAATATTTAATCAAACTTTCTGTTGGAACTGCTGCTGACAAACAGGAGATTTTTTTTTAAATCCATTCTGTTGGAATTGGAAAACAACTTCAGTGACATGTTGTCAGACTGCCGTCATTACTCTGTAATTTCACGTTCTTGTGGCCTTTGGGCGCTCACTGTTAATTATCGCTTTGGATTCGGCGGTCTGGTCATTTATCTTGCGATGCAAAACTGCAAAGTCACATCAGGGTCCACAGCGGGCTGACCGGCAGCCTCTTCCAGCCACTCACAGCCAGAGATATTTAGAGTCTGTACTATGGCAGCTAAGCCCCGTCCAGGCCTCCTCCCATCTGACCAAGTTGGGCTTTTATGACCCCAGGAGTTGGCAGAGGCGGCAGTGAGCTGTAAACAGGCTTCAGATATGTCCCCACCACATTTTTCTCATGTATGCGGTTATGACATAAGAAATCAAAACTAAGTAAATCTCCTACGGCGCAGACTAGTAATAAAACCGTGCCAAATGTGCTCTGAAAACGGAGCATTCTCATGAACTTTTGACTGTTATCTCTCTGCTGTTATTGGAATACTTTATCTTGCCCCCTTTTTTTGTCTGATTGTGTTTAAAAATAAAAGTGTTTGAAGGAGACTTGTCACGAACGGGAAAGTGAAAGGCAAAGAGAGGTGGAGACATGCTAACCCACCCAGGGTGACCGATAAGGCTAACAGCAGCTCAACAGCACAGACACTCGGTCAGGTGCACACAAAGTGGACACAGACAGGAGAGGAGGTCACCCCGGATTGAAAGCAAGACCTGAAACCGAAAACTAGCGAGAAAAAACAGAAAAAGGGGAGAGTTGAAGGCTGGATGAGCGAGAATGATCGGGGAGGCGGCAGCGGAATTCCGAGGATGAGGTTACACACATGCCCGGAGTGATTAGGAGGCTTTGGCTGCTCCGCTTGTGTGAACTGTGACTTTGAGCCCTCCCCCTTCTCTGACATCCACCCAGCTATTTATTCTGCTACGCTCCACAATAACAGGAATATGAGCTCAATCTGCGACAACGTGTGTGAAAAGCAGGAGGCCTTTGGGCCTCTGCAGCTGCCGGCTCCACATTTAAGCATGTTCGGGTAGATTTTTTAACTTTAAAATGTTCTTAATTTTATATAAAACCACATAGAAACTGTTTGGAAATTACTTGGGATTAATCGTTTTTGACTATCAATTCAAACAGCTAAATGGATTCACTAAAACCAGCATCTTTTTTTTTTTTTTTTTAAACCAAAGCAAAGCTGTCAAAGTTTGCCAGAGACACATTTATAAAACGATTTGAATGTGGACAGAACCTATTCCCTCTTGCCAGAACAATACATATCCTCTTAATGATATCTGAGGTGGCCTAAATCTTTGTATTTACCTCAGAACGAGAATAGCCTGTAACTGAATTACTGAATTTGTCACCAAACAAATGACATGAGGCTGGAAGTCATAATTCAGTCCGATCATCCATTTAGAGGAATCCTCCAGCTCATTTGTCCCAAAACGGGGGTTATGATAACTCATTAGGAGCATCAACGAGGTTTCCTGCTTCATTTAATTGTGCTCAAGTTCAACAGCGCTGCACATTTTCATCGTTCAAAAAGCCGTTTTATGACTTCTCTAAAGTCTCTTAACTTTTAATATTTCAGTTTTTTTTCTTCGGAGAAAATTGAAAAGGCCTGTGACACTGACCTGGTAAAACGGGCCGCAGTCCAAACGGACCTCTGGTGGGGGAAATGCCTCTGACGATGCAGTCGAACAGAAAGCTGATCTGCTCGCTCTCTGCTGATGAAAGCAGAAAAACGCCGGCCCCTGGAGGCAGACGAAACTTTGTTAGTGTCTCGTTCATTTTAATTATCCAGTAATTACATGGTGCTTGTAGTTATTCATCTGCTAAATGAGTAAAACATTCATTACAATATTGTACAGCTCGAGGATTGTAGCATTCAACGATGACATGTTTGAAATGCTATCGGAAACCCAAACAATTCCATTTGGTCCCAAATATGATTAACTTTACCATCTCATCACTTCAAGTCAAGATGTGACATCGTTGATATCAAACTAATTTCTTAAGAAACTAAACAAACACGTTTGCCTGGGGAAAGCTTGTGCTGTTTTCCCAAAAGAAGCTGCTTTAAAGCAGCACAACACTAATGTCAGTGAGGAGTAAAAAAAAGTTTATATACTAGTACTTTATACCGGCATAAGTACATAGTCTTCTCTTTGGTTTGTGGTGCATTCAGACAACACCTGAACCCCGAAAACACTCCAAATTCTGATTTCATAAACCCAACTCATGCCTGAGTTGAATAAATACATATAGATAAATAAATAGATGCAGAAATAGATAAAAGCAGAAATAGATGAAACAATAGACGGGCTGTTTTTCTGAGAAAGCACTGAAGACCAAAGCACACCGTCAAGTCTGGGTAACGAGCCACGATTCACCATTTCTCATCATTACATAATTACACGATTTCTCTGCTGAGAGGCTTACACAGACGGATCGGTGCTTTATTCACCCCTAAAGAAAAAGAGGGCACTGAGCATGGTGCATACACACCATGCTAAAGAGGTGAGTGACCCCTGCAGACATGACTCACACCCAGGAAAACAAATTGGGGCCAACAGTTTCCTTTGAGACTTTAAACTGTGTAAAGGTCAGAGGTCAGCCCCCCCTCCCCAGACATCTCTTGACCTTCCAAAGACAATACAGCTGCTTGTCCGTCTGTAAAAAGTCGCCCGGCTACTTGGGACCACCCAGGCGCAGCGCATTCCCCCTGCTGCGGGGTCAAAGGTCAGCCGTCACCTGCACAAACGCTGGGAGGACGGTGCCATAGCCATCCTCTTTCCACAGCAAGACAGGTGCGAACACCGGAGTGCCAAGAAACAGAGAAATACATCACACAAAGACCCACAACAAGGAACAGGTGGCGCAGCTGGCACAAAAACAAGAAAACAACTCAAGCAGATCCTCCTGGTCTCCGCGGCAAGAAGCGATGAAAACGCAGACTCCATCCAAAGCAACACCTCATCCAACCGGGTTCACCGAGTGCAACTGTAAATTAGCTTGATTCTTCACCGGAGCCGAGGCCCTAATGATTATTTTCACAGCAGCAAAGTCATCAGGAGCAGCCGAGAGTGTTTGTTTTCCGGCAGCTGTGTGCACGCGTTTCCATTTTCGAGTCTCTTCTGAGGAGGAGATCCTACCGAGTCCACGGTAAGTGCCAAATTACTCACTTTCAGGAGTGAAATAAAAACTTTATCTCTCATTTGCTCAATTCAAAGCAACACATTTTCCGCACCAGGCACACACAGATTCACCTCTCAAGCTCCTGCTTTTAGAACACAACTTTGGCATACACAATTGTGTATCGCCAGCTTGTAGAAAGAGTCAAATCGTCTCTGCTGTCGATCAAAGGTCGCGCTTTGCCCCAAAAGTCCAACAAATAGAACATCCATGTGCAAAATGACCAGAAGGGGAACTTTTCAGTGGGCCTGCTTTTTATGAATGAGGACTAAATGATTTGCTGGAGTTTCTGCTTTTTGAAAGGGAGTGTACTAACACAAACATCTGAGTAAAATCAACATCTTCATAATTAAGAAAAAAAAAAAGATTTCAGGAGATTACCAAAAAGAAACCATCAAGAACCATAGTCCAAATAATAAAAGCTGTTGGTAAAAAAATTATATATATATATATATATATATAAAAAAACACCATGAAATCTTTACTTGCTTTAAATATAAGATACATAGAAGAGTGTGGCAAGCCATGAATAAAAAAACTGATATACACACAAGTAGTGCAGATGGTGCATATTTTGGACCACATATTGTGACAAGACCTATTCTGGGAAGACAGGAAAATGGGGAAACTGAATGTCACATTAGCCATCCTGAACTCTAAAATGAGGACGAGTGCTACAAACAAAACAAAAAAAAGGAAAGAAAACCAATATTCCAGAAAAACAGCTGCAGATGAACCAAGTCAGAGGCCATTTGCCTCCCCATAAAAGTTGCCATCGCAGGCCTTTCAGGAATGAAGCTGCAAAACAAGAACTCATTGAAATCTGCTTCTAATGACGGCATCTGCACATGAAGATGCTAAACCTCCTGGCAGCGGCGGAGCACATCTGAAGGCTCTTTTTGTTGCTTCATAAAACGCCATTGAGAATATTTCTTAATGTTTCCGCCAAAGGGAGGCCAGATGTACAAGAAAAGAGCCACTGGGTTCAATCCATCGACCCCCATCAGAATAAAAAAATAAATAAATCGCTTTATTGCCCCAATGTACAAAGTATGCAGGAATTTGACCTGGTATCCCAGCGCAACATGACAGTTTAAACAACAAATTTGTAAAAAAAAACAATAGCAAGGAAGGAGGAACCACTAAGAGGAGCCACTTTCCCAGCATTTGTCACAGGACCAGCCTTCCTGGTTCTGGTTCTGCCAGAGCTTTCCTCCCATCAAAAGGAAGGTTGTTTTTTTCTGCATTCCACAGTTACCTCATACATAATGATGAGAGATCAGATCAAAGAGATGTTTTTTTTCCCCTTAGCTGAGCAGCATTGAATTGAATCTTCAGTTTTTCCCTTCATTTGAAGCCAGACAGGAGTCGGGGCGGCGGGCAGGAGCCCTTCAGGACCTGTGGCCTCTTCTTCTGACCACAACATCATTACAGTGTGCACAAGTACACTTAGACTTCACAGATCAAACCTCCCAGCATCATGGAGGCCGTCCTCTGGACTAACTGATCAACGGCCCGGACGCTCATTTTCATTTCTTAACCACAGGGTGGACACAAGGCTTCTTTTTATTTCTAAATCTCTGCTATCCTCTCATACTCAAACTGAAAGGAAATGCATTTCACTTCCTCTGAATTCCTTAAATAATGTTTAAGGAATGTTTATTGTTTAAGGAATAATGCCAATAATGTTTCATTAGCCACTCTGGGTGGAGAAAGGTTCCAAACCCTTTTCATTTTGTTTTGAAAATAATTATTTTCTTTATCATAAACCTGGCCATTTCAGTCCGATCAAACTCCAAGTAAAACATTTTGAAATTTTGCTTATCACACCTTCAAAGCCAATTTGCCTTTTGATATTTAAGATCAAACATGTTTTCCAGCTCATTTTTTACGCATACTGTGAAAATATTGTCAGATATTTTCTAAAAGTACTGGATTTTTTTGTTCTTTTTTTAACTGATCTGAGTAGCTTTTGCTACAGAGGCAATGCTAACAGCGTGCAGATTAATATTCTTTTTATTTATCCAGTGTATGTTTTCCACCTTGTAGTTAACAAAGAAGTCTGAAGCACAGAAATCTGTTGATATGTGGGATTTTTTCAGTTTTCCTCCATATGAACTTCACTTGACACTTATCAGTGACCGGCCTCTTCTGGAGGAATCTTTCAAATCAAACCTCACCCTTTTAGGTTTATGAAGCTGTATGTGATGTTTTTAGCCTTTAACATTATGTGTGGACTTACTTTTGGTTGAACTGGACCATATAAATATATTTACCCGGCCTTTGCTCTGGGTGGCTATGAATTATGAATCAGACATGGATCAGTGGAGAACTTTTAACCCAACAGACTGCAAGATGTTTAAATGTGGATGGGATTTCCTGACGTATTCATGGTAGATCAGAAGAGAACCGTTTAAGCAAAAAATAAATAAAATTCTCACAAATCAGAAAATAACTGATTTTGAAGCAAACATGGAGAGCTGACTTTGAAAAGCAGACTTTTCTTTCTATCTTAGCTTTTTTCCCCCGCGCTTTTTTCCCCCAAAACCATGTAATTGTAGTAGATTGTGAATCATCAGGTGGCTATTTAAGCCATCTGAGAGTGATGAACACAAAGCCACACTTGATAAAATAACCTAAACCTGATCCTGTGATGTGTTTCAAAGCTCCTTTTCTTTGTAACCCTTTTGTTCTGATGTCAGCACACGTCATGCCTTGAGAAAACTTACAGTAACCACATCTGGTTCCTCCTTCAAAAACAAATCCGTTGGGCACGGGTCCATATCTGCGCAGGTCGGGGAGGCTCCAGTGGCCGATGACCACAGGGGGGACGTCCCTGGTGAGGGCCAGCAGGTTGTTGCACAGGTGAAGAGTTGCAGGTCCACTCTCCAGCTTGGTCCCCGGTAAGACGGCCACACTGAATCTGTGAACTGAGCAGAGAGGGACGTTACAGCTCAGCCGTGGCACAAACACAAAGCATGACTCCACAATAGTGCACATCTGGACCCGTAACGCACGCAAAGAAAGCCCCAAGAGCTCTCTGTTAACGATGAAAGGAAATTAAATAAGAGCGAATGGCCAAAAAGCGGCAGCCAATAATGTTTGATGAGATTTAAAAAAAACAAAAACAAAGGTCCATCCACACTGATGGCTTCAGCATGGATGTGATTTCATTTGTGATAAAAAAAAAGGGAGAAACTGCTGCGCACAAAATGAAGACAGGCTCACATCTAAAGCCAAATACAATCCATCAGAGCACGTCCCAAACCGTCTGCAGCCTGAACGCGCACTGGGATTCAAGTATGAGCGAGTTTGTGCGAACTTTACGCACAGCAGGTGTGGCTATTGTCGCTGGGGGACGAACGAGCCAAAAAAGCAGAGGAGATTAATGGGGGCGATGATGAGGAAATATTGGCAGGCTGCATCGCACCATCGCTCAGGTTAAGAGAGATTCATACAGTGTCACGGGAGGCAACAAAAGCAGAGAGGAGAGGTGGCTCTCAGCCACTGGCAGGTGACATTTCTGCCGGTTTGGACGCGCTCCACTCCGTGGCGGCAGGCCAGACGCACACTTATCAAGCTCCGTGCACACTCACGCAGGCCTGAGAACCCAATGCATTTTGACAAACGAATTGCAGATGAGCGCAATCCGTCGCCCCGCCGTCAGCCTCCTTACGATTGTCATCAGTTACGTCTTCACAATTCGGCTGCCAACTGCCGAACAGTCCCCTGCTATTATTAGCCCCCTATTTGTTCACTCGCTCGCACAACTTATATAATAGATGCACATGTCAGCCTGTGCCTGTGCGGTGTGACGGCGATGTCAGAAACCCTCAAAGAGGGAAGACGCAAACCAAAGGAAATGAAAGCTGTAACATCCCAAGCTCCAAATGTAACAAGTTAATACTTGATTTACTCAAAAGGCCCCTAAGCTAAACTATTAAAGCATTAAAGAGCTCGTTTTGTTATCCAAACCATGTTATTTCAATTGGGAAGCTGAATCAGATGTATGAGACAAGACATCACAGGTTCTGTGAGACGACAGTAGGTCCCTAAAGTCCGATAACATGGAGGAAAAACCCAGCAGGGCACCGACCAATGACACTGCTCAATGAGCCAGCTTCAGGTGGCTCTAAAAGCACACGTTTGTTTGTCTTTCACCCTCGAATTTTTAAAAACCAACCACGCCACGGCAAGTACCAGCGCCTCAAGTTAGAAAAAAAAAACCCTTGAAACATTTCCCAAATGGATGCTTTCATCTGTTATTACACAGAATAATTTATGTTGTTTTTTTTTCCCCCGTGCCCTTAAATCACCTTCAGAAACAGCACTTATTCATACAGTCCTGACCCGGTATTTGGGCCGTGAAGAGCGTTCGGCGTGTTCCTGGCATATTCAGATCGTTGGATGTGTGCGGGTACGTTTAACCTTCTGTGGTCTGAAGCTGCATACCGGTTTTACCATTAAGGCCCCGAGCGGCACATTAACTGACAGTTTAACCTTCTGAATATTTTTCTTTTTTCCCTTTAGAGAATGTGACATAAAAAGGTTTTAGTGGACAGTTTTATGTTTTCCCCAGAAAAAAGAATTCAACAGGTGTGTATTCATAAAAGAAGATCTGGTGCTAAGTATTAATTAAATTAGCAATTCATATACATAAACCAGTTGATTTTAGTGAACATACAGACAGAACTTGAGAGACTTGTTGACAACAAATGACAGAGGAAAGTCTGGTTTTTAAAAAAAAACAGGAAACTGATGAGTCTATACACAGAACTGTGTCAGTTTTAAGAAGAACGGTGTGTTCTGGTATGATGTAATGTGACTTTTTTTCCAGAGTCAAGTATTGGTCTCCACTTCTGCCTGGACCCGATGTGACATGATGGCAACTATTTATGAGGGAAAGGTATAAGAATTTAAACATGGCAGACAAAAAAAATGAATAAAATACTGGTATGATGTTATGTGACTTTTTTCAGAGTCAACTATTGGTGTCAACTTCTGCTTGGACCCGATGTGACATGATGGCATCTATTTATGAGGGAAAAGTATAAGAATTGAAACATGGCAGCAAAAAAATGAATAAAATAAAGATTAAAAAGAGGTGCGGGGCATGTCCTCACCCTCTCCCAGGCTGTATCTCAGCCGGGCCTCCCAGGCCTGCAGGGCCTCCCTGCTGTCGAAGCCCAGCAGAGCGGCCTGACCCAGGCACAGGACGGCCAGAGTGAAGGCCACCCCCTCATACCACTGGCCGGCCTCCAGGCCGCAGATCTCCTCCAAGACGACCCTGGCCCTCTCCTTGCCTCCCTGGACCTTCTCCGATTTGTCTTTGAACACCAGCAGCACGAGGCAGTCTGCAACACAAACACACGGCGCTCAGGTTTAAGTCGGTTTTACCCAATACTGAGCAAAAGTTACCGGGGGAGTCGTATGCGGCGTCCTCTAGGTCGTCGACACCTTCCAAACAATCAGTGTCGACTGACCAAACAACACCGTGTGCGCGCACACACACACTCACACACACCGGCGTCTTAACGCACATAACTGGGGCATGGGTGCAGACAGCTGTGACAACACTGATATAAAAGATCTGAGGAGGAGCGGGGCTCAACCTGTGGACTATGTTAAGCTGCCCGGGCCCACATACCACAGAGGGAACTTTGAAGATGGCAACACGGACTTCAGCAATTTAAATAAATGAATCAACATATAAATAAAAAGATCACTAAATCAAGTTTATTTTTCATTAAAAAATTGAGGGATGCAGGCATACAATGTCATGGGTTTAATTGTGTTTAATCCAGCTATAGGAAGGTTAAAGCATCACCCATAAAAGTGACAGCTACTCTAGATTAGTTTTAGAAAACTCTTCAGGTTTCTCAGAACATGAGAGGAAAAATAACCTGTGAGAATTGGTACAACAATCATGACAGGCCTGAAAAAAGCAGCATTAAAACTTTACCCATGAATGGAGTTGGACGGTGGACATAAATAAATACAATATAAAAACAAAAAGTTTAACAGATTCTAACAAAAAAAAGCTACTTATGTGTATATCAAACAAATGTTGGGGAGGGAAAGTGTTTAACTTAAAGTGTTGCTGGATTTTCAGTAATAAAACACTGGGAAAGTGCTTCAAAATATAAAATTACATTTTTAAAAGATGCATGTGAATCCATTTAGTTTAATTAGTTTAATTTTCTTTTGTTTCCCAGCTGTGTGGCCTCACTGCAGACACGTCCTGGGCATTTTCAACAAAGTTTTCCCCCAGGAAAAAGTTGTTCAGATAGTTCCAAACGGACACGGCTTTTAATCATGTTTCCAAACGCCAGACCAGGCTTTTCAGACCGAGCAGAAAAACAGGATACGTCCAGATGAAGTGTCACACGGTGGAGAAAACACACAGCAGCGCGTCAGACGCGTCCCGCACGCAACAAGCCTGCGCACCGGTTTGTTTGTCCACATTTTTGGACCGCTATCGTGGCACCAAAACGCGCAAAACTCACCCGCCAAACGCCGACTTTTCTCTTACCTGCTACAGGCGACGGCTTTCGGAGTACGAGCCACCTAGTTTTCCACTGGGAACACAACAAAAAAAGAAACTCTCATGAGCACAGACAAAAGTGCGCGGGGTCACTCCAGCCGCTTCCGCCCCGCAAAAATTTCGCACAAACCAAGCACCTTTTTCCCATCCCGAAGTCTGGCATATCCCTCCACGACAACAGAATCCGTCATCTTCAGTCATGGTTCCTGACAGCTGCAGAGTCGCTGCCTGAATGAGGGGTCACTTTCAAAATAGCTGCGCTCCCCCCTTTGCCTGTGGTGGCGCAAAGTCGCCCCCCCCGGCACGGACGGCGCATGGAAAATGCCATGGCCGGTGTCCCGTCTGCGTGTCCGCCACCTGGGCTGCTCTAAGCCCACCTGCTGCCTGCTGCTGCTGCTCAGAAAACCACCGAGACAGGCGCACACGTCACCAAATTCCGCACATTTTTAACGCAAACTGGTTATCAGGAGTAAATTAAAACGTCAACAACCATAATAAGTGCTGGGGCTACACAATTAAACAAAACAGGATGAAATGTCATCAGTTATTTTACCATATGCTGTTTATTTACAAATAAGGTGATTTTAATACAATCCATCAACATTGAGTGAGTGTTTAAGGGCAGTAAGACGGGTTTAATGAGGTGCTGGCATCAAAAGTAGGAGCCAAACAGCATGGAAGATGCCGAAGGCCTCATAAAACCTGTACAATGCCCATCTGCATGAGGCCGAATGAGGCTCTTTTCCCCAAAAATTTAAACCGCTCTGACGTCACCTCGGGTTCACAGTTGAAAATAGTAAGACAGACCCTCATGTTTATCATCAAAGATTTATTCAGTCACAAAGGGTTTCACAGTTATAAAAAGATATCTAACTGACTTCCAAATTTATCACAAAAATAAAATAATACTACATTTATATATGTATATTTATATATATATATATATTACAGTATCCCACACACTTTAAGTTAATGTCCCAATGATGTGCTTTCTGGATTTGGGCCTGATGACCGAGTGGATCCAGTCGATGTACTTGACCACTTTTGTGTAAACTCCAGGCTTCCTCAGGCGGCCGCAGCCCTCCCCCCAGCTAATGATCCCGTACAAGAAGCTGACATCATCCTTCGCACAAGCCAGAGGGCCCCCGGAGTCACCCTGAGGAGGCACACAACAAGCAGTCGACCCACGTAAACACAAACGCACACACACACAGATCAAAGCAGACACGCAAACGGCTGTGTCACACATCACTAAAAACTGCTCTCCACCGCTGAGGTAAACACGGGTCTGCCAGGTTCTGGGAGGAGGAATGTGGCTTTAATGTTTAACACAGTGAGGGTCCCGCCTCGGACTCTTACAAAGTCCCAAACTCCCCTCAGCGCTCCCCTCGGGGGGGATTCCCAGCGGCCATCTTACACGCTGCTCTCTCACTCTGAAACCAGGCGGCCTAGTTTCTGACCAGCTCTCACGCTTTTGACAAAGTGGCGTTTTGTGAATTAAAGACACAAGAAAGGACATAATCTGCACACCTGTACGATCCAATATTAAACTTAGTGTTTTATACAAGTGCCCTAACAAAACTCATTATTTATGCGAGATTTCCAAATAAATTGACAGGGAATTACTTTCTGCCCTGAGGGATTTTAGACTTTAAATGTCCAGTTTTAAGCTGGACCATGACCTGGATGAATGAGAACCTTGGCAGATACTTTAAGAGTGCTCTCCCACCTGGCATGCGTCCACACAGGTGGACAGCCCGGCACAGAGCATGTCCGAGGTCACGTGGTTGCCGTACACGTCTGGACGCTTGCAGTAGTGGTCCGAAACCAGGCGCAAGAACCCTTCCTGGAGAGTGGAGTAGACCCCCTCCTCTGCGAAAAAAACAGAGCGAGTGGTTATTCTGACCTCGACTCTTAAAGATTCGAGGCCTGTTTCCTGCTTCATGTAAAGAAAGCTCGATCAATCGATCAGAAAATAGGAAAAAGTGCAAACAAACATGCTTTCTAATGTCTGGACAGAAGCATTGGCCTCTGGAGTGGAACATGGAGGAGTGTAAAGAGCTGGAACTATTCCACTGAAGCCACACAGCATCACTCACTCTCATACTTGTGTCCCCAGCCGCTGATGGCACAGCAGTAGCCGTTAGGAAACAGCGTGTTTTTCTCCGGTAGGCAGATGGGGCTGATGTACGGCGTTCTCCTCGCGCAGCGCCCCTCCCGCTTCTTCAGTTTGATCAGGACTGGCGAGCAGACACACAAAATGTCAGGAACCGAGCGGCAGAATCTGAGCGGGCGCTGGCTCACGATAGCCAGGCCCAAATGTGTGTGTGTGTATTTTGACGGTTACCGATGTCATGCAGAGTGGGATTAAAGACGGAGAACTGCTTCGGGAAGACGTAGGTCTCCACTTCAAAGGTCCGGGTGTTGGGGCTGCTCACGTTGAAACGATGCTGGCCGAGCACCACGCGGATCTGAGACTTCAGGGGGCTGTGGGAGGACAGTTTTCACCTTTTAGTCTGCGGCTAGAGGACAAAACGAGACTTTTTTTAACGTGAGCTTAGTAAGCATCATAGGTCTGCTTTCCCGTGCAAGCGGTAGCAAAGATGGAGGGGAAATGTGGAGAAGGAAGATAAAAAGAAAGAGCAGCACAGATGTGGATTGTCCTCCATGTGGACCTAGAACGGCCATAAAGGAAATATGACAGCAGCTTCATCAATCAGTCCTACACAACTGTTCATCAGTTAATTAAGTTTATTCCAAAGATGTTTCTTCATCAAAAGCGAGCCTGTTCAGTAATATTCCATATATGAAGGATTTCAGGACCAGATGTCCCCCCCCACTGAGGTCAGAATGAAGAGCATGCAGGCCATTTTAATTAAACACTGTTTGGTTGAAACAGGACCAAAAAGCAGAAACATATCCTCTTTTTTTTTTTGCCTGTAATTAGTAGGAATGGCATACTTGCGGAAAAAGCAGTGTGCGGCTGAGACGACCCAGCAGGAGGAGACCAGGCTGCCGGCGCAGAAGTCCGACTGGCCGATGTAAATGGCCGCCATCCACGGGTGGGTCCCCGGCAGGGCGGGGGTGCCCCCCAGTATCCGGGGCATGGGGAAGGACAGCCGCTTCTTATGCTTTCTCCCGCAGACGGGTCTTCTGGCTGGCTTGGAGGAGTCGTTCTCTTTGACGACGGGCATGATCTGATTGGACGAGATGGTCCTCCGAGCTGCAACGGGTCAAAGAGCAGGACTGACACCAGCCTCGTGGGCCCGGGACCTTGCAGCACAGACTAAAAGCCTCCCAAATTCCTCTTTTGAATGCTTTTTCCCATTTTTTTTTACTTTGCAGCTAAGTTTTTGCTCTCTGAGCAAGGGCCAGAAAAAGAAACACCGAATGGTTCGCATTGTTTGGGTGACAAAGCCCGCTCTGGAGGAGAACCCGTCTGTGAGGCATAGGGCAGAGCAGACGGGGAGAGCGTCCTGACAGACATCCTACTCACGACGTAAACGTTTGGCTCCGCCGGACGGGCCGCGCTGACTCAGGCTGAGTCAGGCCCCCGAGAAGCACCACCTGCCCTGCATCTCATCAGGCATGCATCAAAATTTAAAAAAAGAAGTTAAACTCCTGCCAACGAAAGCAAGGGGTCAACTTCAGAGCGCAGCGTGACTCGGCAAAGAGTCCTGCTGCATGCCCCGTGCTTTCATTTTCACCGCTGACTCGCAGGTTTTTAATCAAATGGGTGGCACCGGAGCTGTTTTCAAAAAGGAATGCACCGGCTGTGTCACACCATAAAAGCACACGGTGTTCAGGCACTGAGGAACTCTGAGACTTTGTAAACTTTGTAAAGTGGATTAAAAGATTGCCAGGGACAGCTAAATGGATACGCCATCTTTGCTTAGATCACCACTGCGGGGATGTTAAAAAGCTGAAGGAATGATGAAGAGTAATGATTCCATGATGATACCTGATACATGTTTGGATGATACGAAGAACACAAAAAAAGTCAACACAAAGTCCAGGACATCCTGAGTCAAAGAGACACACGACAGGAAACTGTACAGATTTCTTTTCTGCTTCTTTGTTTGCTCATGACAATATGTTTTTAATCACTTTAAGACATTTTGTGTCCCTGTTAAAATCTCAGTTTGGCCATCTTATGATGTTTTTGTGCCATTTCTATAATTTTCTTTCCATCCTGAAGTCATTTTGAATGAGAATTTTGATTTTTTAGTTTTAGTCTACGGCTTTTATGTCCACAGCAAAATTGTGGATCAATCCATAGCTGTTTTATATCATTTTTTACACTGGTTTGCGCATTTGTTTCGTGTCATTTTGTATTTCCTGCCATTTTGAGTGGTTGTCTAAATCCACATTTTGATTTTCCTTCTGGGACATCCAGCATGTCAGCGCTCGGGCATAAAAGCTGCCGCCCCTGACCTCTTACGCCTGGCGTGCTCGCTCAGAGATCTGTCAACGCTGCCAACAACAACTCCCGACTCCTTTTTCTCCGTGCCCCAGTTACTCACACAACGGCATCCTGCAGGAGGGGACGTCGCAGTACTCCCAGGAGATGGCACCGTCGTTAACCGTGTAGCACCACGGCTGCTTGTCTCCGTCTGGGTTTCTGCACACACACACACACACAAACACGGGGGAGGGCGTGTGTGAAGGCGCCGCCTGCTGCTTTCCGTCACACAAAACAGCAGCTGAAGAGCTTCGTCAGCTTTCAGGGGGAAAAAGGTGACGGCTGCTAATTCAAACTGCTGGGTTTTATTTCTCATTTAATTAATATGACAATTAACCCTCTAAGCTTCCGGTGATGACAGTCAATTACGATGCTTTCAATAGTTAGGATGAAAATATACTGGATCAGTGTGAAGCCCTCACGTGCCTCTGATGAGTGTGCCTTTGTATATTTTCACTGATATTTTCTTGAAATGGGCTTTTCTTTGATGCACAGCTCGTTTTAGGACGCGCACCATTAGCTGTGAGGTTGTCATTTGGCTAATGGGCAGTCAGAGCCACAACAACAACTTAAGAAAGCTGAGTGGAAACGACGCACGGGGACTGTGGAGGAGATAAGGCCTGGCTTCAGCAGGTTTTGTGATGCCTCTGGATGCCTCTGCAGACGCGCTGCTGGCAGCCCGCTGAGTGACGAGTGTCGGCACGTGGAGATAAGGAGCAGAAAGCTTTGGCTAACTCGTGGGAGAGCGGCCGTGTGCTTCACAGACCTGCAGAAGGCGTGGTGGCCCAGGCCCGCGGGGGCCCACGCGGCCACCGTGCCCACGTGGAGCTCGTCGAAGAGCAGGTCGGAGTTCCAGGGGAGGCACCGGGCGCCGGACAGCGTGGTGCCCGCCACCCCTCTGTAGGCCGTGCCCCGGCCCCTGTAGCAGCCTGCCTCTGGCTCTGCGCACACACACACAAACCCCAGGCAGAGTCAGACAGACAGACAGAGAGGGCAGCCCCGCCTCGTCAGCAGCACCAGTCCGATTCGGCCATGACGGATTTTTTTCATGTCGGAATGAGTGGGAACAAGTCTGAAAAAGTTCTGCTCAGGCATTCTGCTCATGCTCACTCGTGTGTGCACCCGCCACCGTTAATCAAGCCACTGTTGTCCACACGCAGGACGCAGGACAGAGCCCCCCACACACACACACACACACACACCCACACACACACACACACCCACACACACACACATACCGAGGCTGCAGCGAGGTCCGCCGAAGCCATATCTGCAGTAGCAGGCCTCCTTCCCAGTGGAGGTGATCAGACGGCAGGTCCCGGCGTTCTGACACGGGTTAGTGCGACACCCTGTGCCACAACGGGAGGAAAATTAATGAGACAGAACAATAAAAGTGAGTTCGGAACCAATTCATTGAAACCATCATCTTTTTACACAAGTCAATAATCTCCATCCTCTATACGCTTTTATTCCCGGTAGGGTGGAAGGTGGAAAACACAGACACTGGAAGTATTTTTATCTGATAAAATCCCCACTGAAGTAAGTTAAAAGCAGCATCAGAGCAGCTGATTTGGCTGAACTAACACACACAATGAGCTCTCAGACACAAAGTAATAAAGGAATATTTAGCAGTTAGTCCCAGTGGTTGTATAATTATGGTTTTCAGAAAAAAAACAACTCAGTCATTTCTTTTCTATTCATTTTAGGACTCAAATTATTTACAAACCATTGCACAGCTTCCGTATTCAGACTAAAAGGAGGCAACCAAGTTTTTTTTTTTTTTTTTTTTTGCGTGACTAGATGAAGATAAGCCTCTACCACCATCACAAAAACAGTTTCATCTGAGGGAGCATGAAAACGCTCCCCTCCCCTCCCCCCCTCCCTCATTCTTTTCTGTCAGCGAATCAGTGAAATGCCCACGAACGTCTTTCCCCTGACATAGAAAAAGCGCGGCATGGCCCCACGGGGTGTGCCCGCTCCCTCCACTCCTGAGTCACGGTGAGTCATATAATCTGCCTCCCTTCAATGGTGGGGTTACTTTTGTTACTATGGAGCTGCGATCAAAGAGAGGGCAGGGCCTGTCTTTCATATCTTCTGTAAAGGGAATATTTTGGAAAAAGAAAAAGAAAACATTTCGTCAGGCGGGGAGGAGACCCGATACCTGTTTCTTTCAGGTATGAAACGGAAGAAAAGAAGAGTTTACGCAGGTTCAGTTTTTTTTTTTTTTTCCAGTTCTGAGTTTTGTCTAATGTTTTGGCTGGATGTTAAAAGCGGGGAGCTCCAAAAGGGGGGGAGGTGCGTCTTACTGGTGTAGGGGACTCTGTCACACTGGATCTGCCCGGCCTGGCATGTGCACTGCTCCACGTTGCGGAGGTGGATCCGTCCCCAGGACTCTCCGGTGTCATAATAGCGCAGGTGTACGGTTTCATAGCACTTCTCTGAAAAAGGCAACAGGTTGAAATGAGAGGGGTGATAAAAGAGCTCAGCCGGGCGTTGAGAGAGAGGCTTTTTTCTCAGAGGAGTTCCGGGTTCGCTGGGTTTCACAACAATTAATGAATTAATTTTGCATCCTGTTTCAGCCACAAATCACTGTCTACATTCACTAACGTCCATTCAGGTGAATACAGGCTTGAACGCAGATTTAAGCTAAGTCAGATCTTTAAAAGTCATAAAACTGAGTCATTTTTGTGGTTTTTAAGTGTTAAGTAGATTATGTTAGGCTGGAAGTCTTTAGTTAAACACAAAAGAGATGGCAGAGTTTGTTCAGTTGTTAGGATAAAGTCAAATGTCAGACTTTTCATGTCCAGTGCTGGACATAGGAAAACCCACTGACGTTCTACTTCCTGTTGAGTGAATGGCCGCTAACGTGTAGGCAAACCCACTCTGTTGGCACCACTGGCCGCTGAAGCCCTCCGGGCAGGAGCACTCCGGCCGGTCCGGAGCGCAGACGCCTCCGTTCTGACACGGATTGACCCCACACGGATCTGTGACCCCACGAGAACTGTGGACCAGAACTGGAACCGGTCGAAAAAAGGGGAAACAGCAGTTAGAGGAGGAGCGAACGTTCCCCCTGAGATCCACACGAAGAACGATGAACCCACCGTCCGACTGGTTCCTCCCTAAAGCGCAGAAGCCCATCCTCCTGTCCCGGTCAAAGTTGTGCGTGAGAGAGCACCTGCGACCACACAAACAGCATGACTGTACAAACATCTGACCATGATCCTTTAGAGAGGGGGAAGTCCATTTCCATGTTTTAAAGTTGTCCCACAGCAGGATGCGTCTAACTCACATTCTGATTCACTTAGATGTTTCATTTTCAATCCATTTCAAAGTTTTGGCTAATGTGTCAACAGGATTTCCTCACAAAGTGTCTCACCACAAAGCCATGATGCAAACCCAGAGGAATTTGGCCTCCTATAGGAAAACATACCTGCATGGAGAAGATCATTTGAAAGAGAGTGAAGGGATTCCGTATCACTTCTGTCTACAAACCCCCCTCTGAATGACTTGTTTTCCACAGCTGATGTCACACATTTAAGTGTCCAAAACTAATTCTCTATGGCTTTGAGCTCACAAATTGCCACAATCTTCTATCCCCTCTTCAGCTTATATGCATTATGGGCTCATTTAAAAATCAATGAGAGGGATTACAGCCCAGTAAGCGAATGGCGTGAGGCTCTTCACGGGGGTTCAGGCTCTCTGGAGAAAGCTTCTGCCTTATTCCTCCCTGCCGAGGCATACCTGTGCGCCCATTTCTGACGTAGAGCGTCACCTACACCTAACCTCAGGTGTAGGTGGACGGGAGCGGTTGGCCCATATATGATTGCATACCTGTTGCTCCAGCTTGTTTACATCCACCCTTTCTGTCTCACTTCCAAGTAATGATGGGCGGGAAAGCCCTTCAGCAAGGCTGGGGTTGTGTATTTTCCAAAATAATGAATAAAGTAAATGTTGCTAGGTTACATTCTGCCGCAATACAAAAATGACTATATTACAGTTTTACTGTGGCAGCTGTTTATATACCCCCGGGACCAGTTTTGATATAAAAGAAAAACCGCAGCTATGGGCACATCTCTTGAAATTCAGACAGCTTTAGAGACAGAGTTCTGCAAACAGTCCGTATGTATTTCTCCTCTTTCTGCCTGCTGACTGAGATAACACTGTGTGTGATGACACGATGACAGAAACCCTGCTGACAAGTCAGCAACAAGTCATTCATCCCGGCTTCTTGGTTCATTATCATGTTCTAATCTGGGCCGTTGCCAGCTGTAGCCAGCTGTTGCACGGAGAGTCGCTGCTCTTTAAACAAATCCACGGTAATGCTTTCAGGTTTGGCAGAAAAGCACTTTTGCTTTTGATCCCCCCCCCCCCCCTTTGCTCTGAGAGCTCCCATTTGTGAGCCACGGGTGTCCCGGCAGAGTCTGGGATGAGGAGCGGGCTCCGACATGATGCCCAAAGACGTGTGCGTTCACTCCCAAACGGTTCCGCGCACGTCAGGGAGCAGCTGTGTGTCCAAAACAATTGGATCCGTTGGACTCACCAGGGCGAGGACAGAGAGACGGTGATGCAGCGGTGGTGGATCCTGCCGCCCTGACGGAAGGGGAACCTGCACTCCTCGCCCGTTGTGGTAAAAACTGTGAACACAGCAGCAGAAAGGGGTGAGAAAAGGGGAAAAGTTATCTTCACACCAGTGCAAACTGTAGAGGAACCAGACTAATCTCTGTAAAAAGCACTTTCTTGGACACAAACTCTTCCTCCACTTTGTCCATAAATAGTCACATCCCCCTTCTCACACAGCTGCATCATAGACACCCAAACCCAGATGTGGCACACTTCAGAAGCAGCTCCAGATGTTTCAGTCAGGACAGAAGAAACACCTAAGGTTCTCCTCACCCCCCCACCCCCCATTGAGGAACCCACCTTGTCGGCTCTCCCTGTGCGTCTCGTTGGAGACGTCTGCTTCAGAACCGAGCTCTGCCAGGTGCTGGAAACCAAGCAAAAACACAAGATGAGGACTCGGGCTGCCCTCCTTGCTCCTCACGCACGCCCAGAAGGGGCTGAAACTCACCGCCGTGGCGCCGAAAACGGCTGAGAGCCAAAGCAGCGCGCCGGGAGTCATCCTGGGCTCGTTTCCCGAAGTCGGAAGAAAAAAGTCCGGGAGCCCCGTCACGTTATATCTGTCAGTTTCAGAGTCCGCAGCCCACTTTTGGTCATAGGAAACCCTGCAAGTATTATCCTGTCCCTCACAATTTCGGAGCGTATTGGGTAAAGCCCTTGCGTCATCGGGCTCGTCTAACCGAGGCGCATCCCAGAGCCCGGGCGGCGTTCCCCTCAGCACCTGGAGTGTTTATCGGGCTCATCGACGGAGGGAGCGAAACTTTTCCGGCTGACAGCGGAGGCGGGGGCTGCAGGGGTCAAGGGGGAAAGGCTCAGGCAGGACGGTCCCTCCCCAGCCTGCAAGGAAAAGACGCTTCTGCGTCTTGGTCGGTTTTGCTGCGCGCAGCCCTCAGAAACTGGACCGTCAGCCATCATTCCCCCAACAGGTGACCCTGCACACACACTCCTCAGCCTTATTGGTTTCATATGAATGTGTGCCTGCAAATGTGCCAAATTCAGCCTAGACTGCAGAGTTGAAAGAATTTCAAGGAAAAGGTTTGTGGGCATTTTCGTCTCTACTATTCCAGTCTTCTGTCAGGTTGGGAAAAGAGACCAAGACTGTGTCTGTCCATCACTCCCAAATCCCAGATCACAGTCCTGCAACTTCAAAGCTATTTAAAGCTAAACCTTTGAGTTAGAAAAAAAAACATTGAAAACTTATGACATTTATGAGCCTGCTTGTGAAACTGAGTTCATTCCATTTGTGGGCTCACTGTAACACACCCTCCATCAAACCAGAAAAATACAGGGGAGTGGAGGGCTGCATTTCTCCACCTATATGTAATTAATTTCTTAAGACGTGTGGACACCTCCAATTGTCAGCACTGGCTGCTGAGCCGTGGAAACTCACTTTTGGATGTTAACTCTTGAGCTTGAGCTACACCATAAAACTCAAGTCAGTAAATATCTACCTCTGATTCACACATAACTTTGCTTTTTTACCATAAAAATGCTAATAAAAGCTCGGCTTCGTATGAGGATGACCCATTTAGCCCATAATAACACGGTGTTAGGCCACTAGAAGTTCAGAAGTCAGTGGGTCTACCTAGGGCTGACTGTCCTGTCAGCATTCCAGCAGTGGCATGCTGCTTCAAGACTAAATCTCCAGTACTGTAATCTAACCTCTAATTTTCACCAGCTGTAATAATGTCTTACCAGATGCTGAGCTAAATTTAACACAAAGAGGACGCTGCACAAAGTGTGAGGACTTCCACCAAAGCACTCGGCCCAAGCTGGACATTTTTTAACCGATACAGCCGCCCTGTTAATATTTGAAAGCGTTGACTAACTTAAACTAAATTGAAGACGTAAAGAGAGAGGCCTTGTGTCTGTGAATGTAAGACTTTGGACTATAAGCTGCAGGGGGATGTTTTTTCAAAGCTGGTGAGAGCTCTGCCTGGATTGATGAGGGCCTCCCTCTGAAACCAGACCACAAAAGTCAACAGTCGGTTTGATAGCAGCAATCAAAGCTTTTTTTCTTTAATTATCATTCAACAATCTGGATAACCTCGAAACCACAGAGGGAATAAAATACAGACAAATGTACCATAATGTATTATGTGTTAAACACAGAAAGGCAATCTAAGCAAAGGAAAGTCAAACATTGAAAAACAAAGAATTGCCTGTTCTGTTTTTTCCTGAAAACAAGTCCATGGTCCTAAGCTGTGTGCCGCTTTCTAACAGAACAGCAGTTTGAAATCTATGCAAATCTAAAGCCTCACTGTCTGTCTTAAAGGTTTTAACTACGTACATGGAAAAGCAAGTCGGTGGAAACTTCACCGATGGAAATCTGGTTCAAAGGTTTGTGAAAGAACAAAAATCTTCTGGAGGTTTAAGCTGATTTTTGCTGTTTTACCTCAGCAGAAGACTGGAAACCCGGCACAAGGACGCCGGGGGGAGATCCTTCTGCCAAACGTGTGAATGTATCTGTGTGTTCATTTTTAATAGCTTCATTGATGGTTAATCCCTTTGGCTGGAATTTATCATTCATTTTCCCTTTTTAGCTCATTCTCGCTGTAGAGCCTACAGCCTTTAAATTACACCCTCTGAGCGATTTGGAGACCACGCCTTCCCAGAAAGCGGTACCCAAAGAAGTGAGTCGAACACTTGTTCTGTGGTTATACAATCTAACGTGACTAATAAGAACATTGCATTTCACTTAATTATTAAATAATACAAAAGAGACAAAACCACACCACAATCCCAAAAATACAACTAGCAATTACTGTTCAACTTGAAGGCTCCTACATTAAAACAAATGTACAATGTCACCATTATATTCATTATTTCAGGGAGGAAACTGACTAATTCTCTTTCAGACATCAGGGCCCTGGTGGGGCTTTTAAAAGTGCAGAAGTGGGGGATCCCTTTAGACAATCGTGGCCTTGTACATGTCCGTCTGGCAGTCCCTGCCCTCCGGAGGGTTGCGGCCGGCCTGGGGCATCTGGGCATTCCTCATTTTGGATTGGCACTGTCGCAGCTCGGCGACGTAGCCCTGGAAACTCAGGCTCAGCTCAGCGTCCTCGCCCTGAGATGTGTGCGTCGCTCCTTCCTCCAGATGCACTCCCTCCACGTCCGTCGCCTCGTGTTTGGCATCTGCTCCGTTGGCCGGAGGTTTGGTGCCCTGGAGTGTTTCTGCTCTTCTCTCTGTGCACGGGAGACAAAATGTGGACAGTTTAGGATGAGCCGATACATTATATTTGATCATATTATTGTCACGTTTTTTTTTAAAACTAGCATGAAATGGAGGCCCAATAAGTAGAGAGGCGCAAAGAGATCACAGCAGTTACAAAATGAGTATTATCATTAGACAGCAAGCAGCTATTAAGGTACTCCAAATCCCTCAAAAGTGCTGAAAGGAAGCTAAGAAAGACCAGACAACCTCAAAAGATGGAAAATAACAACAATTTACATGTGTTAAAGGAAACAGAGATAAAGAGACACAGCCACACAGGAAATCCAAATGACAGCTGAAAAGAAATCCCCAAAACTGTCATAGCAAAGTCCACCAGAAAAGTCACTGAGTCACCTGGATATCCCCAGAACCAGTTCAAGTTAAAGTTAAAAACTGGGAACTTCAACCGTGTGACATCAGCTGTTGCTCTGCGTCTGCCTGTGGTTTATTTCTGGTTTTAACAAATCTGCGCTCCATATTCACCAGCGAGAGGTGAGTCACGGTGTTGATCACACAGAGACGTAAGCAGCAGGTTTAACCGACTGAGTTCGGTGTTGACTCGGTTTAAAGTTCTCTCCTGGTCCCCACCGGCTTCAGAGGAAAATGTGTGTTTGATTAAGCAGATAGTTCATAATTACCAGTTTTGTCTGCTGGGAGCTGCTGGGTGGGATAAGTTTGGAGGCTGAGAAAACCCAAAACATGCAGGTCAAAGTGACTAAAAAAAGAACATTTTAAGACAGAAAATATACACAAACAACTGAGTCACACTTGGTTCTCGTCTCTCAGAGGATGTCCAGCGTGACTACAGTGTGTTCCGGATCGCTTCTGAGGAACTAATGGCACAGGTGCAGATGCATTATTTGTTATTATTTCTTGACTGAACACAAGATGGATGCATTAGTGCAGGTCAGGCTCCGTTATACAACCACTTCCGCTCAAACTTAACTCACCGAGTTATGGAAAAGAACTGCATGAAAACGGTCCAGAGTGAAACAAAGACTGACTCACTGCTCTGATGTCAGCCGCGGTACGCTGAAACATCACTTTGTGTTTCACGTCTAATCATCGGGAGAGGCGGGATAAATAAAACATCCCCATGACATCAGGCCCCAGAGTTGCGGAGGTGGGGGGCCACCGCCGTTTTGATGAGCCACAAACCGCGTGCGTGCTGTAAACACGGAGGGCAAACACGGCGCTTTAAAAACGGGGGGCCGCGGCGCTCTCCCCAGCTGTGATTCACATCTGTCCGACCCAGAGGTAAACACAGTATTTGAGCCACGGCAGCTGACCGCCCGCAGAATCTCAGCAAAGCCAGTGGGTGAATGGCCAGAGCACTCAGATGGTTTGTGAAAGTTGTGAGAGATGTTTGAGGACGTGATTCGGAAAAAGTGCTGTCGGGGACAGAAGCCGTCCGTAGCTTCTTCCCAACCGTTGCTAGCTGGGCGTAAATATTTGTGAGTGGCCCTTCCGCACAGATGCTGGCACGCAGCGCTGGGAGATGACGTCCGATGAATCGGAGTGCGCTCCGTGTCACGAGGTTCATCATCCATCTATAAACGGCCCTCTCTAAACAATCTGTACTTCAGAGGTTTGCAAAGTGAAATCCGGAACTTCCCTCGGGGATCATAACACAGAGATAGGAGATAAAAAACCCACAGAAAGTCAATGGAAATGCCTTAACTGTCATCTGAGATGGATTTAGTCAAAAATTCCAAACTCTTTAACAGGCCGCTTGATCTGATTAGTTGAAGTCAGATTTAAAGGGGGGTGAGGAAATTAAAAATGAACTAATAAAATATAATCTTTTATCGAAATGTAAGTCAAAACACAATTTCAAAAACGGACTCAGCACTATGAAAGAATGTAATCTTGGGGTTCATATCGGTAATAAAAAAATAAACCTGTTTGCTCTTGGAGGGATAATAAAATGAGGCAGTTTATCTTTTCATCTCCAATTACCAGCCAGAAGTTGTTTGGTTTTTTTCCATGAAGTTTTACAGTCTAATCTTGGCTCCAAGGGGAGTAAAAAAGATCAAACAGGACTTTCTGCTCATCTTCCCCCCTCGATGAGTCAGTGAGTAGAGGAGCTCAGCCTTCCCACTATTTGCCCCCTCCGTGGTGCCTCCGGTGGTGGGGGATCCCGGATCTACTGCCGGGCGTAGAAATGACGAGGGCTTTTGCGGCGGCCAGGAACTCCTGCGAGGAGCTCCGTCAGCCCCCAGCTGTCCCTGCCAAGAGCTGTGTCCAGCTCTGACCGCCAGATGGATGATAAGGCTGGCCCCGGGGGTCAGCGGCTGTCGGCTTGGTGAGCCGACACCGAGACGAGACGAGGCGATGCAGGGGCGTAAAATAAACAAATAAATAAATAAATAAATAAGAGCCAGAGGGAAATCTGAGCCGAGTGGTGCCTCAGGTGCACGCTGCAGAAACAGAAACATTGCAAAGCACTTTCCCAGAAAAATCTGGCCTCCAAAGAAGAGTCCTTTAATCTTCTCTGTAGTGGCCAAACGTTGCTTCAGACCACAAAAGTCTAAGCAGTGGACATTTGAGTGGAGAAAAGAAGTATCCCATTATGGACTCGCCTCTTCTTCCACAAAATACCCAAATAAAGGAAGGAGCTGCTCTTATCGTTGTGTTAATCAAACAGAGTGTGTCTACAGTGTGGATCAGGGCCATGTGGTGGTTACACTGTGTCATGTGGCCCCCTAGTGGACAGCCAATCCCCTTCAGAGAGCAGTAGGAGGGCAGTAATTACACCGCCGCTTCTCTGGGTTCGGTTTTCCATCACAGTCCAATCAGGGCTAATCTACATCTGGAAGACCAAGTCGAGGCACGGAAGCTCCTCACGTGACACACTCACATAAACAAACTCCTGAAGACACACCGCTGTCAGGTTTTGCAGGTTTTTTTAAGCCTGGAAGGAATTTAGCAGTTGTACACATTAGTATTTCAAATGATCCTGAAATCCTTTGAGCATGTGTGCAGCCTGAGGATCGCATTGTAAGCTGCTGTAAATATACTAAATACTTCATAAACTAGTTTAGTCTGTTCCTGTCAAATAGGATTCAATATTATATGACACTTCTGTGAAGTCAGCAGATGGCGTCAGTCACACATGACTCATCAAACTGAAGATGTGGGGCAACGAGCAGAGGGAAGGTAAAAAAGGAGGGAGTGGGCGTTTATCTTTCATGAAGCCCAAAACCCAAAATACGAATGTGAGAGCTGAACAAAGTCTGCGAAAAAGTGTGGAAGTGGAGGCGTATTAACTTGTTGCGTTTCCACTTGGTCCAGCACCGAGGTGGCTTCACTGAATCACAGCCAAGTTTCTATTCTAGCAGGTGGGAGAAGGAGAGCAAGGGAGAAAAAAAAAAAAAAACAGGCAGGGAGATGAAAACCAGTGGTGACAGTATCTATCTGTAGCACACTCATCCTGTGGATAAGGTTACCATGGCGCCCGGTGGTGGGGAGAATCAGCTCGATGCACTTAGCAACCAAAAAAAAAAAGGCTGACAAGGCTTCAGTCGCTCCTCGTCATCTTGTGTTCATATCTCCTTACATTTAAGAGCGCCTTTAAAAACAGGTCGCGGCACGTCGGTGATTCTTCAGCAGGGCGCTTTAAGGAGCAACTCATCACAAAGAAACACAGCAGCACGCTATTATCTCCTTTTTTCTTGTTTTTATCAAATTCACATATTTTGAAAAAGTCCTTTAATGCAATCAAAGCCCAAAATGACAGGATGTGATTATACGCAGACGTCTGAACACAAGCGGACACGTTCTGCCACCACCAGATCGTCTGCAGGGTAAAAGCCACACGTGAAGCAACAAAAGACACAGCAATCACAACTTTACAATGCAACCCTACTGGAAAGTACACACTAAAGAAGCCCGGCGAGTGGCTAGCAGAGGACACAAAAAAACCAGACACCTGCAGAACGGGGGCCTTTCACCGCATGCACAACGCACCACGTTCAGCAACAGACAAGACAGACTGGGCAGATCCACCACGTGAAGGGCGCCGGCCCCATTAGGAAGAAGCAAAGATAACACAACGAGCACGCGGGCCGAGCAGCGGCGCTGAGCAAACACGGCGCCCGGCCACCCGGGCAGGAAACGCATCAAACGGCGGGCGCCGCCAAATGAGCGGGCGCAGAACAGTACACAAAGGAGTGGGAGCGCATGACAGGAGAACGCCACCAGACAAAACTAGGCAGAGGGAGAGGAGAACAAGAAGAGGCATGCGGAGGCGGAGAGGGGGGGGGGCGGAAGGGAGGGGGAGGGGGGGGCCGGTGGGAGAGAAAACTGATCTAACAAACGTATAAAGGACAGACAAGAGTGATTTCCAATTCTAACATTTATTAGATCTATTCAATCACAGGTACAGAGTTTATTGGCAGTGATTATCTACAACAGGCACCTAAAGAGGAAGTGATTGAGCCAGAAAAAGAGCGACGGGCACTTCGAAAATGTCACTGACACCAAGGAGCACTTGTGCTCCGATGACTAATCATTTTCACCACTGCTCAAATGACTACACTGACAATGTGTAGGTGACTCACCGCTTGCGAGGAATTGCCCGAGAAAAGAGAAATAAGGCTTTCTGACACCAAAATGGTTGAACTACTTTTAACTAGAGGTGGTGGGATGGAGGGGAATACGGCGTTTGTCCTCTGACGACTGTTGGGTAGTCAGAGGTCCGACGCCGTGAAGCCGCTTTGTGGCTCACTCCCTTCTGATGTCATCACTTTTGAATTGTGTAGCTGTGCTGAATTGTAATCTTCAGTGCAATGTTATGCAACCACAATACTGTAAAATACTGATCAAACTGTGTGCTAAAAAAAAACAACTCATCATATCTGCAGTGAGTCGTGTTTGCATGCAGCCAAAATGACTAAATAAACAGGAAATGTTTAACTGGAGTCAACAAATGCCAGTCAAATGATCAAGTCAGAGCTCTGTGGCAGCTGATTTCCAAGTACACAACACTAACAGGAGAAAATATACACATCGCTATTTACAAGTCAATGGGAGTGTAACCCTGGTCAAACACACACACGTGCTTTACTGAGTTTAATAAAAATCTGGCAAATTGAGGAAGAGTCAGTTTCAATTTGTCGTTAAAGTGCGTCAGTCAGTTTAGAGTTTTATCGGGAGTGCGGTCCATTTTGGGCCACAGAGAGCAAGATACACACACGCACGCACACACACACACACACACAAATGCACTACTTTGTTACACTGCTGAAGTACCTGAACTGGACCTTCCCTCTCCACCTGCATCCTGAGGCTGGGAGCAGGGTGTGGGCGGGGTGAAGTTGGCCTCGGGGAGGCTGCTTTCGAAGGACGGCGTGGTGGACAGAGGCGGCGGCAGCAGAGTGCTGTTGGGACTGTTGATGTCGCCCTCCCCCACGAGCGTCAGGTCGGCGTTGGCGTCCTCCTCCACCGTGCGCAGGCTCGGCCGGGTGTCTGAGGGCCGCGGGATTGGGGACAAGTGGGTCCCAAAGGTCGGGTGGCGAGAAGGGGGCAGCAGGCACCGCCTGGCCGCGGAGTGTCCGTTGGCACTGGAGCTGAGGGAGGAGTCCAGGCTCTCTGAGCGCAGGCCGGAGGCCAGGCAGCCCCGGGGGGGCACGCCGTTCTCTCGGCTCTGTTTGAGGGCGGCGGGGGTTGAGCAGGCCAGATCGGAGGAGACGGAGCAGGAGGAGGTAGGCGGAGTCAGGCGAAGGAAGTCAGGAAGCACTAAGTCTTCTTTTTTCAAGAGACCACGCTGGTCGTTGGCTCGGGTGCTCTGAGCTCGACTTAGCAGCTCAAAGAATTCTAGAAAAAAGGGGAGGAAAAAAACAAGGTTCCCTCACATAAACTTTCAAATATACGGAGCACACCCATTTGATGCTGCACAGCAGCACCCCCCCACCCAGTAGAGAGAAAAAACCACCAGAGCAGCCAAATATTTGAGTTAGTCCTGAGGCAAAGCAAAGCACAAAACCACACCACAAGTTTACAAAAAGAAAGAGGAATACAGAAAGGGAAGGGGGGTTACCTTCAGCTTCATCTATATTAATCTTTTTCTGTTTTCTCTTTTCTCCTGGTAGTGCTGAGTCTGGTCCACTTGCTCTCACAGAAAAGTCCTTTGGTGTTGACCTCTCATCTCCCTGCAGATGCAACAATAACAATGCACTCTGTTAGGGGATGGAGGGGATGGGGCGAGAGGGGGTCGTAAGGGGAAGGCTAAGCATGAGCTGCTAAGCACCTTACTGAGCAGAGACCAGATTTATGGACCCTCATGAGAAGATGAGCTTTGCCCATCTGTCAGCCAAGGATCATTACTGACGGTGGCAGTATCGGAACTAAGAACTATTTGCCTATAAATGGTGCAACGTGAAAGCGGGAAAAATATGAGCAGCTGAGCCAAAAAGAGGTGGAGGGAAATATACAAATATGTAAAAAAGAAACAAACGAGAAACACCAACACCAACTGAAAGATAGTGATAGTTAACAGAGATAAAGCAGAGTCACCGTTATATGAAAAGTAAAGGAGCAGTAAAGGCCACAAAAAAGCAAAGAACCAAAAACAGAACACCTAGAATTTTTAGAAACGTTTATTAGAAAAAGTGTCTAAGGTACTTACTGCTGCAGAAAAACTCCTGGTTGGAGGGTGGTTTTTTAATGAGGAAGACTTGGATTTATCTGGTTGACGAAAAGAACACATTAAAATTCATCGGTCTGATCAGAGGGGGGTGAGTGAGAGCCGCAGAGGGTACTTGAGACATGAGACACAGAATAACTGAGTGGGCACGATACCACTGCCAGCAAAATGCCCAAAAATTTGTGTTTATGGGTCCCACTGTGAGGAACGCTACTTTAAAATCAGTCCTTTTCCCACATTCTTGTAGCAAATATAAAACAAATATGCATATACTTTTAACAAAAAAATATATTAAAGAGTTTAAGAAGGTTATACCTTTCCCTGAACATGGCTCTGCTCGCTCCAACACAACTCGCAGGCCGTCCAGACTGGAAATGGGGGCACCCAAATCCAAAGGCTCAGACTCGCCGTTCTAGGACCAAACACAAGTATGTATTGTCACCTTTCTGTAGATATTTGTGGACAAGAGTCTGGGCTTAATTTATATCCCATCTTTCGGCTCTATTATACTCTATAATGCTGTTATAATGCCTAGAAACCCACAGGACCAAAAATAAATCTGACAGGGGCTAAAAATGGGGGGGCTGAGCAGTCAGCATGTTTGAGGAGTGTCGTCATTCTTAATTATAGCCCTGCTGCTCCATCTTCACAGGCTGGGCTGAGTCAGAGCCCTAACCACCGTGTAGAGTTGGAAAAGGATGCGGTCGTCTCCCTCCCCTGACCATGATACTCCACCCTGTGGCACCGTCACACACTACACAGGCTGCTGTCTGCACACACGGGAGCTCAGCAACATTAAAGCGTTGTCGTCCCCGGAGATAACTTACTATTTTGGCCACGAGATCGCTGAGATGGAGACCATATTTGGCCACCACAGGACGCAGGACCTCGGTGACTGGTTTAGTGGGCTTGGCTTTCAGCCCAACAGAGCGATTAATGGGTACCAGGTCCAATCTTAGAAAGAAAAACAAAGGGAAGTCAGTAAGTAAAATAAACTTTTAAAAAAGGTATCAACACAAAGGAGATATAGAGAGGTTCACACCTAAACAAGGTGCGCTTTTCCAGTCTTAGGTCCCGTGAATTGAGGGTCATGCAGTCTTGGTCCAACACCAACGGCTACAGGGGAAAAATTGGGAAAGCATATAAGCAACAAAGTACCATACTTATGCAACCTTACATATTATATTGTTGCTTAGCAATCCAAAGACAATTTGACTCACTTTGTATTGGTATTTAAAGTAATACCTGCTCTCCTCAGATAATATGCTTAAATAGTAACTGTCTGAATTCTAATCAACACATATTTCTGAATCACTAATAACATTTTCTGCCATGTGAACCGGCTCTGTGATGCTTACCTTCTCTCCTCCCACCAGGAAAAGGTCGACAGCGGCGATGTTGACACTGATGTTTTGACACAGGTCTTGCAGGACATCTCTAATGGAGGATCCGGGCCGAAGGGCGACCGAAGAGCTGGAACCGTCAGGCAGCAGCACGCGACACTGTTTGGGTGTTCGATCCCACCCGCCCAATGAGTGACGATTATCAGACTAAGATCAGAAGAATCATAAACGACTCAAATTTTACAATTATTATTGTTTTTTTAATTATTCAAGAGATAGAAAGAGAGATGTAAACTAGACGAAAAAAATATTATGTGCTTTTATTGTGGTCTCCTGAGACCCAGCACTGTGTTGCCATGGTGATCAGAGGAATCTTACCTCAGTCCTGTTAGCCGGACCAGAAGTGGGAATATCCAGGCTGGCACTGGAGGACAGAGATCCCTGGGACTCCCTCCGTCCATTATTGCCCCAAAAGTCTGAAGAAGATTATGCAAATAAAAAACATTTAGACTTTTTTTTATTATGGTACTTTTTTTTGCTGGCAACCATGAGCTAATGGAAAAATAAAAACCCCATTTTACCAGACATATAGCAACAATGATTTTCCTTCCATTAAAACTCCTTTGATTCCCCTAACTGATGAAATTCTGTGTAATACAGATCGCTTCCTTGCATGCAAAGTACCTCAGAAGCTTTTGATGTGAAAACAGATAACCTTGAGGATTCTTAAAATCAGCATTTCATTCTCACCCAGATTAATGTCACCTATGTCCTTCTTCTTCGGACCCTTCCCAAAGCTTCTGTTGCGGGACCATGAGAAAAATATGCCACGTTTCTTGTCTGCGCTCTCTTCCCTGTTGTCTTCATTCAGTGATTTTCCTGACCTCTGCTTTCGGGCTTCCTGCAAGTGGAGATGATAAAAAAACTCAGTGTGAGCAGGTGGTGGCCCTTTCCCGGGTTTCCATGAGCAGTCCCTTGTAAAACAGCCACATGTGGGATGGTTTGCCCTGCGTACCTTTTTTGGAGTGGAGAGGGTGGAGCGGTCAGAGCTGGCGCTGTGTTTTGAGGGCGCAGGACTGCAGGGGATCTGATAGGGGTCCGGCAGGGGCTGACCATCAACCTCAGCACGCAGACACTCCTGGTAGAGGGAAGACTTGAGGAATCGTGAGTAGCTGTCAAACTTCATCAGATTGAAGATCTGTAGATGTGACAGGAGAAAAACAAGACGAATGAAGACACAAGGACAAAACAGATTGGGAGAGTGACAAGTTTACAAAACAGAATTTGGCCTCAACAGTTAAGGATTGAGACCGAGAAAATGAAACAGGGAAACGGATATGAGCTACTAGTAATCACTTATGGTTACGGTTAATGTTATGACAGAGGTCCTAACAGCTCACATTCAATCATGCTCATGAGCTGGCCGAAAATACACAGATCTTCGACTGGACGTCTATGTGTGTAGCATGTGCTTGGTTCTCTGTGGGCGTGTGCCAGTTCGTGTTTATCTCTCTGGAAAAGCCTCGGAACCCTTCTGTAAACAAACCCAGATGGCCACTGAAAAAATATGCTTGTGCAAAGTGACTAAAAGCGAGACAAGAACAAAGCCCCCCCACTGCACACAGAATCCCTGCACCAGTAATCCCGTCTAAGAAATGTTTTGCTCTTCACTTGAAAATACTAAATCACTTAAGTGAGGGTAAATGTAGCGCAGTTTTAAACTGAATAACTTGTTGGCCACCGATTATTCGTCACCCTGACGGCTGCATTTCTGGTACCTGTAGCTGCTGGGTCTTGAACATGTCGGGCCGTGGGGAGGTGAGGACATCATCAGCCAGCTGGGCCTGGCTGTCGATGTTGACCGGCATGGTGGCCTTGCTGGACAGGAAGCTGTTGTAAATCTCTCCTGCTCGCTGGGATAGCTGCGGAAAGTGGCGCAGTGAGAAGTGCCTGAGACTGTGCTCCTTCATACATGTTTGAAATATGTTCAAGAAAATATGGTCATTTTTCCCCTTCTATTGAACCAGTCTTTGGCTCATAATCCCGACATAAGTCACCGGCATAATTATGAAATGTAGCCCCATCTGCAGCCGCTCCTACCTGTTTTTTATCAGCTGGCGGGACACGACTAAAGTATTCACAGGCCTGCCAGAACAAGATATTCTCATCGCTGAATTCTTTCTTCAGAAATTCCTGTGGAGGCAAACAAGAGCTTTAAACCAGTGCTCGCTCTCATCCTAATAGTGCTGTTGTTGTTCACACCATTAGCGAGGGCAGAAATTACTGAGTATAATGTAAGTGTAGGCACAGGATGGTGTGGGCGAGTGCAGCTGATCGGTGTGGAGGAAAGGTGAGGAGGGGGGTGGTGCTGAGAAGTCAGAACTTAGCACTGAGCTTGCTGAAGGTGTTCTTGGCTAAATTCAAAGACATATTTTCTATGTGGGAGGAAATTGCAACACATAATGTATGAAAATTGCCTCCGATTAAAATGATTATCTTTAAATAAATTGTTCTGCTCTGTAACCAACTGCAACAAGCAACCCTTGATTATTATCAATTTAACACTTATGTGCATTTATGTAAATCATTTTATCAGCATACTTTACACTTTTACTTACACTACACTTTCTACACTTTCAAGATGAATTCAGTTCTTTAAAGCCACCCCTAAATAAGACACAAAGATATTAGTAAGAACTCCATTTGGTGACCTTATGTTAAAAAGAAAAGGCAAACTTTCTCCAATCCATGGTTAGTTACACACAGGAAGTACCACACAACTGACGCTGAGGCATTTTCTCTTTTTTTAGAGGGAAACATCTTCATAAGTGCACACAGACGTTGTTCCATAGATGTATGGACTGATCTTTGTGGGGGTTTTTCATAACTCAAACTGCTAAAGCTGCTGCAGCTTCACACAAACTAGCATAACAAGAACTTTATCAAAACAAAGTTAGACACATTTCTATTGGTTGGTTTGAAGCAAATAAACTAGGCGGAGCAGAGTCGCCAGTGGGTGGCAGTATAGGCTCCGTCACTTGTGGTTAAAATTTGGTAGAAGTTGTCCTCAAAAAGTTAAAAAGTATTTTTTCTAATGTATTTAGAAAGCTGGCAGTTAGCAAAGAGGGTTTGCTGGGTAGTGGCCAAGATCAGAAACAGCTGGTAAGTGTCTTAATGTAATCTTTACCAGTTCAGACATGTTTTGTTGAAGTGTTTCCATAACCTCTGACGCCTGCAATTCTAAACTCCAAACAGTACATAAATAAATGCACTTTTTTTTCTTAACCATTTTGTGTGTATTCAAAAAGATTTTTCTTATTGGCATCTTTCACAAGTGAAACCAAAAGAGGCCCAGAAGTCCTGCCAGAGGCTTGCTGTTGATATTTTGACCCTTTCTTTACAAAATACTACAACTTGTTTGAGAGAAGGGCACAAAATACAATTGCTGTTTCACCTCATACTGTCTCGGCATAGGTTTTTTTTCCCAAACTGTCCTGTGTAGTCTGAGTGATGCTAGAGGGTTTGTCCAGGATCTCCCATTAGATTAAAAACTACACATTAATTTAAAGCACCAAGAATATTTAATATTTTTAAGGAATTCTGTAGGGAAAACAATCAAGTCGAACTCTTTTCCCAACGCACCGAGAAGTAACGCACGCCCACGGGGTCCTGGAGGAGCCGCTCAAAGCAGGTGGACCAGCTAGCCACACGTTGCTCTGGACCGGCGTGATGGCTTCCGGCTCCTGGAAGACTGCCATTACTGTTCAGGCTAGTCTGGCTGCAGCATCCTGGCAGCTGTAATCCACCGTAGTCTGCAAACAGAAAACAGAACATTCTGATGCTGAAGAATAACTCTTTGATTTCCATCCATCCATCCATCCATCCATTATCATTTCTTTAAAAAATGTAGGAAGATTTTCATTTTTCATTTCTCTTTCTCCACCATGTTTATCTTCATCTATTTTGTCGAAAAATTCAAGAGAGGAAACTAAATTTCTTATTTTACTGAAAGACATTGTATCAATGATCCTAAAAGAAGCCTTAAAAGCATTCACGTAGGATGAAATATATATATTTGTCTATATAGAGAGAAAAAAGTATGAACTTCTTCTTTGGTTTGAGTGCTACTCCCCTAATTTTGACCATTATTCTCACTAGAACTTTTTTAACAATCTCAATAAGAGTAAAAAGTTAGTTTAAAAAGATTGTGGGAAAGGTTGTACTTGCTCTAAGACAGGTGATAACATGAAGGATTAAAAGGTGCCACAACAAATGGTAATGGCAAAGTAAATAAACAGAATACTACCCGTTGCTACATCAAGCTGATGACTATAGTTCGATAAGGGATTCTTAAAGTTCAAAACCTATAATGGCCGGTGTGGAGCACAGGGGAAGGGGGCAACACTGCATCCCATAAAAAGTGGGCAGATGTTGCTCATTTTGTAATGGACGGGGCAGCAGAAAGGGAGCTCAATAAAAGGCGAAGAAGAAGCAGGGGGGACACAAAGAGGAAAACAGGGGGACAATGTAGGAAGCAGTGGTGGGGCTGCAGCCTGCACAGTACCTGCTATCATGGCAGCAGATGGCCACTTTAGAGCTGTGGGCAGACCAAGCAAGGAGCACACAATAAAAAAAACAAAAGGGTCAGAGCAGCACTGGCTACAAATGCTATCCATGTCATTTTGTGGACAGTCAACTGGTTGTCATGGGCAACTGGAGTTACTCGAGTTTATCTTTGCATCTGAGAATAGAAGTGTATGTTCAGGCGAGTAAGGAACACAAGAGCATATCTTCACCCTGCCAATACGCCTGCAAAAGCGGAGGGTTTTACAAACAGGTGTAATGGAACGGGCCCTGGGAAATAGAGGCACTGTAAATAGTTTCTGAGATCAGAGTATGACTAAGACGGCCTCAGTGTGACCTTTCAAACCCACAGTGTGTCTTAGTTCAGCTGGAAAAGTAGATTCATCATTGTAACCACACACGGCAGGTTTTATGACGACTATGGTCAATAACTGTGTGTTTTCTATTTAAACACAGCTACATTATTTGTTTCCATGTTTAGTTTCTGGAAAGCCGTTTGACTTGAACTGGGCTTAATGTATTAGGACTGAGGCTTTGGGATCTGTCTTTACCACACTACCTGTTGCTCTGCTAATGAGACGGATTTGAAGAATCAGCTGCCGTCTTTGTGTGATCCACTGCAACAACAAAAGGAGCTGAGCGGAGAGGAGCACTAGAGAGTGTTTTTAAAAGTGCTACAGACAGCACATGCGTTAACCCCGACTGAGGCCCAAACACCAACAATAAACATTTTTTCTTTAACGAAGCATGCTGCCTAAAGTTCTTACATCATCCCCATAAAAATTATTTTTATTACACCATTTCACCAAACAACTATAGTGCTCTGTGCTGAGGCTAAAAGAAAAAAATACACAATGCACCACAGTCTGGTTAAGATCAAAGTGTTCCTTCTAGATCGTAAAGTGGATGAAGGAAAAGATTTAAATAGTTTATATTGCTAATACAAGGTAGCACAGCTTGAAATCCTCTCTTTATTTAACAGGATTTTGTTTGGATTACTTTATATCTTCCGTTCGGAGAAGACTTTTATAGGTATAGATAAAGTGACTGTACTCACCAGCATCAGAAGAAGCCGCCGACTGAAAAAGAACAAAGACAGACATGAGTGAGAGGCTGCCCTCATGACCTCCTGTGCTGAGACCAGAGACTGAAGCCTGAGCTGGTGGCAGAGCTTTTTCAAGCATCACGCCAGCTGCTTTGAGGTGTGTGTCTTCAGATTGTGTGAGTCTGTGCTAGGCTGGGTCTTTGGGACTTTACACAAGCCCATTAATTTAAGTGTGGGTGGACCCTTAGCCTCCACCACACACACAGCTGTTCGCACCTCCCCATCAAGACCCACCTTTTATATTACCATCACACACACACACATACAGAGAGTCACACATTCACATGTCTGATTATGTGCATTGCTACCTACTGCAGTCACATTGATAAAGCTCATCCAGGCAACCGGCTTAAGAGGCCATCAGTGCCTCCAATGGTCATCTTTTCACTTGCTAATTCAGGAAACGAGGGGTTCATATGTATGCACATGTGTCTGTGTGAAAAGGTAAACAGCCCATCAAAAAAAAAAAACTGGTAGACACAGAAGGGAAACAGTGAAGGTGCCATTATTTGGAGTTAACGTAAAGCTGATTAACCATTTTTGCTCATTTCCTTCAGCTGGAATGACTAATTTCTCTGCGTGCAAATTTTCTGATGTGTGTTTACGAAAGCAAAATTAAACTGTGTTTAAATCTGCTCATCATCCACTTTTGAATACCCAAATTTAGTTTAACTGAAATTAACAATCAGCAGATGAATTGATCATGGAAAAACTCTTTTAATCCAATTTGGATGTAATCATATTATGCTGTAAAACACAACTCATGTTTCATTAAGGGATGGACCTTCAAATACGGATTTAATTTAATCAGAATTTTTTGTCCAAAGTGTAAAGCCAGAGATATTTAGAGCCCCAACTGTCAGCTGTGAGAAGGAAGCTACTTTTAGAGGTAAATGCAGGCAAGCATATATAAGGATTTAGTCCAAGCATATTCAAAAACTGGTGCGTTGGAGGATTCATCTGAAAAGGGGAGACTATTTCCAGAAGAGTGTTTTCTGAGCTGCCACTTCAAAGTGAGAATATTAAAAGCTGATAATACGCATAAACAAGGCTCTTCTTTGCAGGCTTGAGCTTTGCTTTAAGCAGCACACATAATTTTAAGCCTCAATGTGCTTTCAAATCACTGAACTGCACAACTGATATAGAAAAATAAAAACAATAATAATTTCAAATGTTGGTGGAGCTATTTTGGTTTCAGAGTTGGATTTTTTTTCTTTTTTTTAATTAAAGTTGGTAGTTTCAAACTACCATACAGCTGCCTCAAACCGAGCTCGGTCATATTGTGGACTTTATCTGCTACAGAGTGATCCGGTCATCTAAAAGAGCGCTGGGGTGGCTGTCGTGCGCTGACGTGACGCCCCTTTCCATTTTGGGAGAGACCACATGTAAAAACTCTGAAAGACAAAGACCACTGAACCACTAATTGTCTGCCACGGCCTCCTACAACTCTGCATCTGCATCCACCCCTAAATTGTCAACACCCAGAAGTCCCCGCTTCGGTGGTGGCTAGCATATGTACAGTAATCATGGGCGGGGAGGAGGAAGACCAACATGAAGCCAAAACAGGAGAGAGAGACAAGAGAGAACACCCACTCCATCTGTTTGTCCATTTGGGTCTAAAAACAGCTAAACCTCAAACCTTAAATACCAGCGAAGTGCATGCTTGGAAAAAACTCGGCAGACACCGTGTCACACAACCTGACGTCAATTTAGGTTCTGACTAACAAAAGGTCTGAGGGAGACTGAAATAATTCTGAAATGGCGTTATAACTATTGCATCATTGCTCCCGGGTCATGACTCCGCGTATTACTGAAACTATACAAATGACAAATGTGAAAAATATCCACTTTATGTAAGAACAGGGGTTATCCAGGGAAGAATGGGAGAGTTGCACTCAATCATGCCGACTTGACACATGCGGTTTATGCAATATCCCAATCTATTGTTTAACCCCTTCTCAGAAAAATGATGTTGAAGAGAGGCATGTCTTATGGTTACACCACTGCCTCAAACCGCCTACATTTATTCAGCTTGAATGTAAAACAAAACAGCATATAAATCTTGAGTTTGCAAACATGCATAAAGTGGCACATCATGTTTTTAATGTTTGAAGCTGCACACCAATCTGTGTATGTGTGTGTTATTTTTATTTGTTATCGCACCCTTGCCCTCACTACAACAGTGATGCCATATTGATGACCCATGTGGGCCATCATCACCTCCCTTCCTCTCCTGACACCTTTGCCAGCAAACTGACCACAGTGGGTGGCTCTGCAGCACCACAGGACCTCCAGGCTTCCCTCTATACAAGTCTGGACATCAAACATCCCATTTCCCTGCTTGTATCCTCTTTAAATGTGACCATCTCTGGCTTGGGGCCAAACGGAGCGAGTCAAACGTAGCTTGGGGATTTGAACTGACCGCATTGGTTTTCAAGTGGAAATCAGTACAAACTGGCGCATACCCCACGTTATACATGCATTTAATCCTTCAACAAAGTAATCACACCTAATCAGTGTGTGATCTGTGATGAGACAACACCAGCAGTACAAACAACGATCACAAGTCAGTCAAAGAGACAATATCAAACGCACCAATTAACACCTTTCACAAAGGTTTTAAAACTGACAACTTTCATCTATGAGGCTTGTTTCGACATGTCTCTATCCTTAAAAGATGGCGTAACCTATATAGCACTTTGCTGCACTCTGAAAAATGAGACTTCCTCTAAACTTTCACACAAGTCAAGTTGGATTCGAGCACCCCGCAAACAAACAAGCGCGAGCCCCAGTCGTTTCAAACAGCTGCTCTGAGTGGGAGACAGCGAGCGGCAGAGAAGGAGAATAATGAGAAAAACAGCTGACTGAACAAAAGGAGTCTCCTCGTTTCATACTGAAGAGGAAGAGGAGGCTCAGCCGCTCAGCCACTGTTTACTTACAGAGTTGAAGTTCCATGTCCTTTTGAAAGAAAGTCTCTTTCTGAGACTCATTGTTCCCTAGTCTGCTACACCAGCAGCGCGCAGACAGAATACGTGTGTGTGCGCGGCCGTGCAGTGTGTGTGTGTGTAAACACATACCTGAACATTCCCCACCCAGATCTCCGCAAACCAAGTCTGTACAAGTCGGAGAAAGGGAAAAGGAGGGCGCGAGTAGGAGGAAGAGATTTGACAAGGTACTGGACAGGAAAAAAAAAGAGCAGGAGCGCGAAGGAGGAAAGGAAGATTTCCTTACTTTGCGGCTGTTGCTATGGAAACCCGTCTGACAATACACACAGCCTCTGCCACATCGGGATAGAAGAATCAAAAGAATTAACCCCCATTTATTCCCCCTCGAAAAATCTACACAGTCATTATTTGGAAACCACACTGGTCTACAAAGCCCCTTCTTTTGTACCCAGTCAGGGAAGTCTCTCAGAGTGAGAAGAAATGCCCAGTCAGTTTCAATTGAGTCCATATGAAATTTTCTTAATCTAAATAAAAGTTTGTGAGGCCGTGAATAGACCTCAACTCTGAGGCTCATTATGCTGTCACAGAGCAGTATTCTTGTTCTCCAAATGGTAGTCGTGTCAGCTAGTGTTTTCTGCTTACAATTAAGCCCATGTACCAGAAAAGAAGTGTTTTTTCTCTTTTCTTCTCTTTTTTTCCAATTGCTGGCATCGGCCCTTCTCTCTGCCGTGGTGCTGTGCCTCCACATTTCCCTGCAATCAGTATATCGACTGTTTATAGACCAACGATCGCTCTTACAGCACAGGTGGCTCAATGCAGAGGAGACAGAATTCTTTCAATCTAAGTCAGCTGTACATGAGATACAGTGTGCACTGACAACCTTTTTCTCATAGTACATTTCCCATTTCATTAGATTTTACCATGGTCCATTGGATTAAAGATTAGATGTTTATCTTACGTGTGCATGGCTGCGTCTAGAATTTGGAGTGCAATCTTGTTGACCTCAGGAGTGGGGTAATTTGATGGATGTGAAAACATTAGAAGAAGGACGCATACTGAATAAGGGACGGATTGTCTCTGTTTGTCACGGATGCACTGCTAAGCAACAATTTACAATTACAGCTAAATAACAAAAAAGGAAGTTTGATCAAAATTGATCTTGAGACTAAAACCAATCCAATTGTTTTCTGTTTTAAAGCAGGAACTGGAATAAAGTTCAGCACTGATCGATAAATGACAGCATATCTATCGCCAATTTAAATCGTACAAAGACTTTCTTTCTAGTTTACGTAATCGTCGTTGCCTAAAATGCATTACAGGGTTGGAGGAAAGTCAACCAGCATACCAGTAATTGGAAGTTAACAGAATTCAAACTTGTATTCAGGTAATGAGGAACACAGGCTTTTGCTAAAGGTATTAAGCATCCCTGAAAGGTGAAGGGGAATGCCTTTTTCTGCTATCTGCATCGGCACTCACTGCGCTCTGCACGCAGTCTCCGATACGTTGTTGCAGATTATCAGTCATCCAGGTCATGGCAATCCTACGACCTTGAGTATAAAACAATTCGACTTCTTCTTGGAGAAGGAAGACGTTCAAGAGCCAAGTCCAGATGCTTCTACTCAAGCTCGTAAAAATATAGTTTCAGATGTTCTGATTAGCTCCAAATCTAAATAAGAGAAAGAAGGCACTTTCCACATCGCTGTATTTTTCAGTTTGTTATGGCCTCACAGAAAAAGAGGAAAATTTGTCTTTGCCTAATCCATTAATTCATTTATGAATATGCCTCGGACAAGCCGCAGTCTCAGCTAAAAGGCTTCATTGTTTTACTTCACATGGATGCAGCTCCTGAAAGCTCCAGGAAAGTTTGAGGGTAACAGTCCTCCTGTGTACTTTGGGATATGGTGCAGAACAGCAGCTCAGAAAGACAGAATGTGAATGCTTTCATGTGAAGATATAAATCTGCCACGCTGTAATTAGAAGCTATTTTTGTTGCTGAGCTGAGTCATCGATAACCATGGCCTCATAAATCTGAAGGACAGACAAAACAGCCCACTTCAGCCCTCCAGGTCTGCTCTTGCCCTTTGACCTTCCGGAGGTAGAAACCTCACTACAGACAGGTGAACGCACAAAGACACACACACACACACACACACACACAAAAAAACACAGCCAAGTATTTCGAAACCCATCAAACATAGAAATCTCCACTGAAATGACTTCAATTGTTCCAGTCTATGGTGCTGCTAAGTGAAGAAACAGTGAGCAAACTGAGCCTGCACTTGATTTAATTGATTCGTGAAACAATTCTAGACAGGCTTCATGGCATCAATAACTGCTGCTTGTCACAAGACTAATTGCATGCCAAGTCCTCCGCAAAGCAATCTTGACCCAAGACTGAAAATAATCTAGCCCTGCTATCTGCGGCAGACGACAATCTATTCCCTGAAAGTAACATCAAGAAAGAGCCTTGCATGGAAGCCACTTCCTTTTGAGGGAGGGAGAGAGGGTGCGGCAACTGATAAGATGGAAGACACATTTCTTTCTAACCCATGCACAATGTGGAGGAGAAAGCAAGATAGTCCGATTTGGGGAATTATGAATGTCTTCTGACACTTTTCGAGTGAAGACACACAACCTTGTGTTTGACTTTAAAAGATGAAGAGTTGCATCAAGTGTTTTTACAGAGGGAAATCTTGGCAGTCATAACAAATTTGCACAACACTCCATCACATTAACAAGGATCTGATGATGTCAGAATGGTAAACAAAAGAAAACTTAACATCCTTGTAGATTTATCTGCATCAGGTCCACTGATTAAAAGTGTGACAACATATTTATGATGTAATTCGTACCATCCTGTTGTTGTGCTGGAGCTCATTACTGTTTGGAAACTTTGGCTTGCACCTTAAAAAGTCATATTAGGGGAAAACAAGTAACCTCTCGATATGAATATGGGACGCATTTTTTGTAGAGACCTGGATTCATACTCATAAAGGTAGAAAAAAATGTTGACAAAAAAGGAAAAAGGTCTTTTTTAACTTCACCCATAAATAATGAAAAACGTATGCAGTGAGAAACACTGCAAATAATATTAAGAATCCCTGGATCTGAAATGACTCCATAATGAAGCTCGACTCGTCTTCTTGTCTCTTATCGTGGCACCCAGCCATGTAAATAGCCCAGACTTGTGTTGGGGTGATTTTTAAGTGTAATCACTTCAGTGAACAAGTGAGTTGTTGAAAGACTTGCATGTGTGATTTGCATGAAAAAGAGGCCATGGTCACATTGTGTTTCATCTCTTAATCCCCCTGATCGGCACTAATCTACTGCCTGTTATCCAGCTCACACAGGTTTCAGCCGCAGCAGATGGATGCAGAACCACTTGTATGGATTACCATGATTGGTGCGCTGCTTTTGGAGTGTGTTCGTCATGTTTTGTGTTGGTATGTCTTAACCAATCTTAGAATATCCCAAATATGTGCAAAGGCTCTGGTCTTTATGCTGTGTAGCCCATGGCAAAAGACTCCTTTTAACTTGTCGTGATTTCCTTGATTGAAGCATATACGACCAACAAAAAGAGCTTGAATAATTTCATTCAAAAGACACAGTTGAGCTCAGCTACACAAATAGAATAACTTGAGGGGGAAACAAGAACCAGTCATCACGACCCCTCCCACCGCAATTTATTATCGCAGAGAAAGGACTGCGCTCTCATGAGCCCGGAGGGCCCGAGGTGGATAAACCACATAAGATGCCACCACACCCTCCTTCTGCTCTTTTTCTTTTCCATAAAAAAAAAACAACACAGAAATGGACTTTCCAACCTGAAACCCGAGACTTATAATTAGTCCTGTGAGTCCCCCTAATTTTCCACTGAACTACAGGAAAGCTAGAGCATGCTGTGTTCTGACGAGTCTGGGTACTTTGGTGCGTTTATTGTGTTTTGAATAAGAAGATATGTAGTTGTGTTCGCTGTGTGGAAAATTTAGAGGTCCATATGGAAGGATGCTAATGACAGGTTCTACTGACTTTAAAACAAACCCTCCGATCCCATGAGGTGAAATAAACTTTGTCTAGGCCTTTATCCTTTCCTGCATACAACTGCATTTTAGAGAATAATACATGGGGCTGGCCACAAAAAAAAGAAAAAATACAAAATGCAACATTTTGTGGGACCTAAATCTATAAAGTCCCATATAAATCAGGCACTCGCTTTTCCCTCCAATTTCGCCATTAGGAAGAGATATAGAAATGGGCCATGAGGGAAAGTTGAACACCAGGCCAGCTGGCCGCTTCAACAATCAATATTTATGACTTCCACAGGATGAAGTAGGCAAGACCTCGGCCTTCAAAAACATCTTCCTCCAACACAAGGACGGCGATATTCAAAACTATATTTTGCTCCCTGAGCCTACTATCCACCCCAGTTCCCTCAAGGCAAGACATGAAGCCAGCAAACTCAGGCTATCTGAGCTACAGGTGCAAAAAAACGAACACGTAGAGAATTCCCCTGGACATGTTTGAACGGTTACCAGAGAAGTGATTAAAAAAAAAAAACACCTTGGCAGTTCCAGTAATGTTCCGTGTGCAGTAACCTTTGCACCCCAAGCAGAAAATTCTCCCTCCATGAAGGAGAGAAAAATAATAGTTCAAGCAAGGAAGTTAAACAGAGTGGGGAATGACTCATTCCCAGAGGCTGAACTCCTGCTTCAGTCCCAGACAATCAGCAGGGGATCATGAAACGCTCTGTGGCAAACTAAGATCTATACCATGATCCCCACTGTTGATAGATGATGTCACAGCACTGCTGTGACGGCAGCCAACAGCAGAGCTGGAGAGCATCTCCTACCAGGGATAGCGAGTGGGTATTTTCCGTGGTTCCAATTCGGTCAAACGGCTCACTCAGCAACCACAGCCACATCTGGTCATCTGGTTACTGGCTGTCTCCTATTCATACCCCGAGCAGCTGGACAGTTACATGCCTTCTACTCAACCTGTGTTGCCTTACTGTTTTTCCAGTTGGTGGGTTGTGAGAGGCCAGCATATGTAATTGTCATAAAACACATTGTGGGAGTAGGAAATCGCCGAGAAGAGACGTTAAGAAAATGTCGGGCTGCTTGGTCTTTGCCTCCTATAATGTTAGCCTAAGGACCCTTTTCGTGGGCAAAACTGTCCGCCCACTCTCCAGAGCCAGCTATGTGATGTCAGGGAGATAAAAGTGTGTCGTGTTCTCGTGTCTCTGTCGCAGATCCCCAGGAATGTGCAAATTGCTGCCATCTTTTCAAATCTTAATATGAAAAAACAAAAGCAGGACCCAATCAAACCAAGTTTGAGATCATATTTTTGCCTCAGTTGTTATAGATTACTCCTATAGGCTTTCTTGGCACATGCATCTCTTATGTTATAGCACATTAACATATGACCAATAAAGGTCTAAAAGAAGGCGAGATCTAAGTAGAGCTTGCTTTGAGGAAAGAGATTAAGAAGGGTGGTGAATCACAGAGGAGACATGCCTCCACACAGCAAACAAGGGCAAGGTAAAACCACAGGCAACTATTTCAAGTTCAAACTGATCTGCGGCTGAAAAATGATCCCCTCCGATTACACTGCAACTGAACGTTCGCTGTGGATTCTGTTTTGTCTGACAGCGGCCACCCCACATCTTTATGTCATTCCCACAAAATTCAACTTCTATCAGTTTTGCCCGCCGCCTGCAGAAAGGGTGATTTCCTCTTGGGGCAAGTGCAACGGAGCACGCTAAATCCAATTTCCCGTGCAGTTAATAGGGATGAGCGTGGGTCACTTCACAAAACTCTTAGCATAACATCTAATTCACAATCAGCGCGCATCCTGGCATAGGAGCAGGAGCGTATTTGGCTTTCCACAGCGGCGCAGTGTGTCAAACAGCACATGGGAGTTCAGCTGGCACTGGTCAAAACATTCCTCTGACAGACCACACAAGCTAACCACTGTACACCACTAAGAGCCCAAAGAAGGGCAAAGTGCGAAAGATGAAGATGCTATCAGGCAGAGAAGTCAAGACAGACGAAACAACAAAGACCTCAAGCTTTTTGGACTTACAGAGTTTAGAGTTAAAGTTTGCTCCATGTGTGGCACTGTGTGTGTGTGTGCGTGTGTCTGGCTCGTCCTCAGCGCAGTTCCTGGCGGCGGGTGTGTGTAGAAGAGTCCATCCACTGGATCTAAGCCGTGTGCGAGTCTCTTTGCAGCGCAGAGAGTCAGAGCTGAATGGGGGAGGAGAACGCACGCAGAGGAGCCGAAAATCCTGACAGCTACTGGGAGTTCAAAAGCTCCCTCTCTCTTCCTCTGCTGCCGGTTCCTCTCCCTCCCTCCCTCCCTCCCTCCCTCTTTGCTGTGAATTCCTCCTCTTTCCCTCGCTGTTTACCTCCCTCGCTGTCCCTGTGTCTTTATGCCTTCTCTTGGTTTCTGTTACGCCCACAGGATAAATCTACTACCCGCAAGCCTGCAAACAAGACCAGCTAGAGAGAAGAAACCTCATGGGGCAAAAGAGGTGCCTCAAATAATCCCCCAGCAGGGATGTGGGGTACGCCTGAATACAACAGTGTGCTTGGGCTAACGGCTCACATTAACAGATGCTTTCACATGCAGCAACACCTCGGAGGACAGAGCGAGCGTGAACGCAGGCACAGCAGCCCACTAATGGTGTAATCTCTGCATAGCTGAACATGCGGTTATCTGCATAGCGTCACAGGAGTAAAGCATCTGTTTGGAGCAGCAAAACAAGGAGCCCGTGATGAGAATCGGCTTCTGGTGGCGGAGCAGTGGAATGTGGGGGCATCGGCAGAAAGGGCTCTGAGAAGCTCTGCAAGGTGGCGCAACGAGGAGGTTCAAAGCCGTACATTCTTTGACGTGCACAAACAGAAAAGGGATCTTATAGCGCCACATCACAAGACGTAGGGAAAATGAATCAGAACAAACACAACACTCAGAACTCCTCAGCTGAATAGGACAGCCTTTCAGATTTGGTATTTCTTGTACTAGCTTTGACACACCACCAGCCATGGAAAAAGCCCGATAGCCACCTGGCCAACAGGTCTGCCCTCCTGTACTGCTCAAATCAGTCATATTCTTTTTTTTTCTTCATAAGTCTGCCCTAGGTGATGATTGGTAACTTCAGAATATCTCTGTGACCTTGAGAGTCCAAAAAATGAAGCATTGGCCTCTTATTAGGGTTAATTTGTTTTGTTCCCTCTTGCAGATATCAAGAGCAGACTCAAATTTCCAGGATTAAAGTGATGACTATTTATTCATATCTGTGGATTGGTTCTGTCTGTGCCAAGTCCTGAGAAGACAGGTGTGAAGTTTGGATATCACACATACAGAACATTGTGTAACTAACTAAAGGTGTAAGTTACAGATCGACATGCTCCCCAGAGGAAAACATCCAGTTCTCCATTCATCCAGAGTTCTTTTGAACACTAGCAGATTGACGGATTTGAACGGGTGGTGGGAGAAATACCCTATTCCCAGAACAATGCTTAGAAAAGCACTACATGAATTGCAGAGGTGATCGTTCTTTGACTGTTGAGTGGTGCTGGGCTATAGACTGTTTGTGGGAACCCATAGTAAGTAACATAATGAAATGTCATTGAGGATATAACAACACGAGTCCAGGTAATACTTATGCTAGTGCTTTATCACAACAAAGAATCTCAAGCCTTTTTCTTAATGCATGAAGATGACAAAAGAGAAAAATGAAAAAGCGCTGCAGGGACTTTTCCTAACCATCCGGGGCAGATGAGCTCAGAAACTGGAGCTCTTTACCAACAGCAGTGCTTAAGGTGTTGGATCAAACCTGAAGGGTAGACCCTCAATCAGCCTCACTGGGTAATAAGTATGGTATGCGGTTGTGTGACTAATGCATAGATGTACAGTGTGGTATGCACGCATTTGGCTCGTTTCTGTCCCTGTTCATGGAAGTTCAAAGCAGCAAGAAGGATTGGTGTGTGCATTTGCATATGAATCAGTGTGTGAGTAATGAGTGCATGCACAAACAATTGGAAAATGGAGCCCTCCTTGGTGACATTAATATGAAAGAATGTAGGCCCGATATTCAGGGGCGCAGCAGTTCTCATTAGCAAGACCAAACAAACAGGTCCATGCCTCTGGTCCGCACAAAGACCACTTTGTGAGCCACTCCACGCCACACGTTAGCAGCAAACACAGAGTTCAAGGCAACGGAAATGAAAGGTTAGGAAAGGGCTGAAAGTGGAGCAGAAAGAAAAAGGGGGATGGTTCAGCTGCATGTCTAAATTAGTGATGCAAAGTAACTTTAATCATTCATTTTTTTATTCCAACAGAATAGGAAGCTTGTAAAATTCTCCAGGAAATCAACGTGAAATGGAAAACTATGACGAATGGCTACAGGAAGTAAAATAACATGATGCCTACCTCGAGATCATCCAGTGACCGTGCCAGGCTGAGACGTTTAGCAGAGCGCCGTCTAGAAGCACGGACACCCCCCATTCCCCAAAACCTGGATCCCTGTTATTGTAAAAAAAGATTGCATAGCTTTTTCAACATCAGATTGTCCCGTTTGTGTTATTCCTCCTCATTATAAGCAGTGCAATTGCCAGTAATATCATTACTTACTCTGCCGTCAAATTTGACAGCAAAAAAAGGTGAAAAATACTATAATTCACATGTATTTAACTACCTAAATCGAACACTTACAGTCATTTCTGGCTGACACTGAAGTTAAACTGACATAGATGACAAAGTGACTCATAAGGTACAGGGTAAGTATATCAGATTCCAAGCTAGAGCCTTTGTATTCACATAAAAGGCGTGCTTCTCTTTCTAATTGTTTAGTCTACAACCTAATAAAAACCAACATAAATCTACGCAATTCTGACCAGGCCACTCTTGGGTAGAGCCTAATGTTTAAACAAGAGTTTCAGAATTGCAGATAATTACCACTGCATGACATGGGCTTTACCCTGTAATTTGCTTGGCTTCCTGTCCATGTTTGTCTTCTTTCTGATCTTAAGCGAGCTGGGGGACAAATGCGCAACTCATATTCAACTCTGACATAGTGAGATTTAAAATTACACAATTCCATAAAAAAAATTCATTAAGAAAACTAAATTAATTAAATGAATGCAGCTCTTGGGAGCTGAAACTCACACGCTACAAACTTTCAATACGTAAAAATACTCACTAACACACTGAGTAATTGGGAGTCCACTGTGTGGCTGTCTGAGAGAAAGTTCCCTTTTAATACAAGCTTATACTGAGAGAACACTTTGTCTGGGACTACATGGAGTCATAATGACATCTTGTGGTCAGAGAAGAGACCAACACCCAAGATATCTAAAAAGATTCACATTTTCCTTTAAAGAACTCACGAGTATAACCTCACACTCTGTCAGCTCTGTGTGTTTAAATAGGGGCATTGTATTCATTTCAAGGTTCTACCAAAAGCTAATTACTAACAAAACAAAACAAAAAGACCATGTCTTACTATTCACTTTTACTGGAGTTATTATAAAATTATTGAGTTAAAAGATTTTATACTTTGCTTAGATTTTTGTACAAAAATCAGCACACACTTTCAGTTAAAAAAATACCACAGCAAAACATAGGCCACACCAAGGAAGTTAGTGAACTTGTCCTAATTTTGGTTTGTTTGCCTGAAGTTGTAATTACCCCACTATAAAGCAATACATCTGTTATGATAATTTATGACGCCAAAATATAAAGAGACATATTTCCTTAATATCAGGTTCATTTAACCATGTTCTCTTATCCGAATAATTATTGGACTCTATTCAGGAGTCTTAAAGCTATCCACGCTTAAAACACAAATATCTATTTCAGATTCCAGCTTAGACACAGAAAAAAAGTCTCTCACTTACATTTTTATTGCTTCCATCTGTCCGCTGTCTCTGCCTCTGTTCAAGAAACCTTTTGGTCCAGTCCTCCTTTGGAGGCAACATCATGACTTCTGCAGGCTGGGCATCTGGTGTGTGGCTTATTGGAGGAGGCAGGATGTTTGTGCTGGCAGCGGGGCTAATGTTGGAAGACCCATCATCGGTTAATGTCTCTTGAGGAACTGATTCATTACTTAGGGCTTTAGTCCACTTTGGCTTTGAGAACCATCTTTGGCTTCTTCTGAGGGGATCGCCAAGGAAGTTATTTTTTTTACCCATAGGTAGAAGAGGGGGTGGGGGCTTGAAGTGGAATTCCAGCCTGGGTGGGGGACCTCCATAAAAGCTGGTTAAAGAATCTGGGCCAGGTAATAACTCTAAAAGGCAATGATTGCTGGCACTTTTCTCCGGATTAGGAATTGGGCGATTCTTGGAGGAATTTATTGAAGTGAGGTCTTCAGCCGGAGGATAATCCCAAGGACAGCTGGGGAGGTGGGCCCCAGGATGGTTTTGGATTTCAGAAGGGAAATCCCTGTCCGCTCTCTCTTCGGGGGGAGAGGCATTTCCAATGCCACTGTCTCCTTGGCTGCTGGCACTCCCGTGCTTGCTGGCGCTGTCGTTCTCTTTTGCTTGATGTTGAGCCTCAGAATCAAGTTTGACTCGAAGTCTGTCGACTGCCTCCCCCATGTCTGTGTACAGGGCTGCCACAAAGTGAAGCACATCCTGAGGAGTCTGAGGGAATTCCACACAGCCAAAAGCGTCTGGGTCTGGAGTACATTCAAAGCCAAAGCGGCCAGCAATCCCAATGTGGTCGTCATGATTCCCCAGCTCTGGGTCAATAAAAAATACATGGCAGGAAGCCCGCAGAGGCCCGTCGTCTGGTGCACGGCCATTAATAACATGTGCAGTGGTGACCAGGCAAAAGAAGCGCGGGTCCTCGGCACAAACAGCCCCTAAGACAAGGTTTTCAGTTGGGAATGCGGCCAAAACGGCTCCTGCATCATCACACAGTCGAATGCAATCAAACATGATCTTCATCATCACCAGCGTGTGGGTATCCTGCTCTGTGCCCAGCTGTCGGATTCTCTCCCGTATGGCCTTCAAACTTTCAGCTTCCGGATCGCTCGTGTTCAAAATCAGCTCTGTAGAGCTCAGGTACCCCACCACCAGAGTCATGTTTAGAACGGTCCACTCAGGATTTGCTTCCTCTGACTCTGTGAAAACAGAATCTGTGTCCTTCTGTGTCCTGGGTTCCTCCTTTGGCCGTTTAGATAAAACACTCCACTGATGTGACCACTGCGACATATCGGGCTCTGAGACTGGCCTCTGTTTAGCAGGGACATTATTGCTAGCGTTAAATGACGGCTTGTTTGAATCAACCGATATTGTGCGAAGAACACCTTGTTTTTGGTAGACAGCACTCTTCTGAGCATAGCCAAAATTCACATCACTAAGAATAGGGTTTTCCATTAATCGACCCTCTGTCTCCACCACTAAATGCAAGGGTCCCTTGCAGCTGCCGATCAGCTGCACCACAGTCTCGTGCGTCGCAGTGGACACGTCGGCCCCATTGATGGCCATGATGCGATCTCCCTGTCTGAGTCCCACCAGGTTAGCGGGGCTGCCTTTCATGATGCCACTCAACAGACACGGCCTCTGACCTGAGATAGTAAAGCCATACCCAGCACGACCACGGATGATCTCCACGCCCCGGAGCTCAGCGGGAGCCGCACTGTAATCCAAACGCCGCCGAGCACCTTCGGGCTGCTTCTGTATTTTCATTTTAGTTTGCTGTTGTTATCCTTCAGGTGAAAAAGGAGGGAAAATGATCTGAAATTAAACAGGCTTTAGTTCAAAGGGTGTCTAGATTCCACACATAAAAATGAGAGAATTAGCATAAAGCGCCGCAAAATATTTGATGTGATGTGATGTCACCTACAAGCTTTTCAAGAACACAGGTAGCATTTCACATTATATTCCAATAGTTTAATTCACAGCAGCTAAAAACACAAACATGTCTATTTCAAAGCCATCCGAGACTAAATTAAATCTTTAAACAGCTTCAAGGAGTTGATAAAAAGAAATTGTATATACATATTGTTGTAACTACTTATTTCATTACTGAACACTTTCATTGAAGCCATTTAACAAAAACAAATCACTCACACATAAAAGTGTTAACCCATCTTAATTCTACCCTCAGTTGCTAATACAAATCAGTTTACAACCCAAACAATAAAGCTCAGATCCATCTTATTTTACCAATTATCTGTCAAAGATAAGAAAAAGGCGGCTTTCGTGGTGTCAGCTTGCTTATTACTTATTCACCCTCCACCAGCTCCCCCAAAACAAAGTGCCAGCTGGCTCCCTACTCCTCAGGATTTAATCACAACCACTCTTTGGTTTTGGTCAAAGTGAGGTTTTTCGTCTGTCTTTTGAAGTTCTCAAACTGAACAAACCACAAAGATTTTCCAACACATGTAACACCTATCGGAATTTAGCTTCGGTTTTGCTAACAGGAACAATTAAAGCATCAAAATAACAACTTACGCTTACTCTTGCAGGTTTTTGCCTTTACTTCTTAAGCGGTGAAATCTCCCAACAACCAAAAAAACTCCCAAAGTTTTACGTTTTCCTCGACAAAACTACACGCGTTTACATTGTTTCACTTTAGCGGTAGTTTATGTTTGTTTTCACAGTTGCTGAAGCCACATTTCCTTGCGGTGTGTCGGTAGTCCATATGGCAACACACTTGGGGACCAACTCCCTCCATTCACTCAGCATGGAAATCACAAAGCGTCTTTCATCGTATCCATGGCAGCGTAACGTCCCTAGAACACGTGACTTCTCCTTCTGGCCAATCACCATGTTGGTCACGTTCAATATTCAAACAGTTGAGAGTACGCTATTGGCTGATTCTAGTGGCAGTTGGCAGCCTTTGTTTTGCATTTCAGTAAGTGAATTTTAAAACCCAGAATATTTTAATAACCAATTCCACCAATAAATTGATAAATTGGTCGTTTACTTTAACTTCATAGTAATCGCCAATATGTACCATAAATGAGCACTTTTAAATGTAACGCAGAGCAGGAAAAGAGTTACTTTTTATATCTTTATAATGTCATATTTAATCAATAGAAAAAACTTACCCATAGACTGTTTAGTGTCTCACAGTCGCTTTTCACGTTGGTGACGACAGGTATTTATCAAACTAATGCCACGGATCGTGTGTGAACAGGTGGTCAAAGGGCTGCAACGGCTGCTTTTACTACACATGTGCAGTAGAGTTCACACGTTTTTCAAAAGAAAAAGGGAGGGATATCAGTAATTCACTATGCCATGTGACGAGGAAATGTGGACAGGTTCTAATATGTAGAGGCATGGAGTGTAAAAAAACCAGAGCTGCATTGTCATTGTAATGATGGCTGGACTGTAGCTGAACTAGTAAAGTTTGAGATGGAGCTAATTTAGTCTCTCATTCATTCAAATCCTCTTAAAACAGACCTGAAAGCAATGATCTTAACATTCCAGCTCTACCACCTTCTGTCCTTTGTATTTCAATAAGTGGTACAGAAGAAAAGGACCACACAGCGGCTTTGAAACAATGCATGCCTACAGAAAATAAAAATACATTCTGTGCTTTTAAATGTATTTAAGCCTGCACACACATAAATCCACGATTAAGTGTTGTACAAATACCGTAGGCCTCACGAAGTTCCACCAAGCTTGCAGAATTTTGGGGATGGGAATTAAGGCAGATCTATTCATTGTATTCAAATAGGTGTCTAGATATTTACAATGAAAGAATCTGCTGCTTTATTACAGGCACACTTACTCATCTGTCTTTTTCAAATCTTTGCTACATTGTGAATTCAAGGTCAGCAACCGTTGTGTATGTAAAATAAGTTCAATATGTTTTTGCCAGAACTGCAAATAGCATGAAAATATCATATTTGATGGCTGTAAAAAGAAAAAGAAAAATATATAATCCTTTCCCTCGACATTTGAGCCCATTCGTGTTGGTTCTGGAGCCAAATTCTGGCAGCTGCTTTCCAATAGTTTTAATAACAGAAGGGATTATAACTTAAATTCCTGGCTCAGGATGATCAGCTTGCCATATTTTTGCACAGAGCCTTCATAACATGCAATTATCTTGGCACTATGAAAAACACTGACAAGATTTCATGAGGTTGTTGTTCCCACAGTTATTTTAATGGGATACTTGACATGTAATCAAGAAAGATTTGGTAGAGCTAGTATTAAAACTAAAGTCTCAGATATGAGTCTAAATTGCTAAAGTTACAGGAAATATGTCTATAGTCATAAGGACAAATAGTCTCTAGAAAGGACATTTAAGCATTCATAAGAATGGTACAAGGCATGTTTTGGAGCACATGTGTATCATATATGTACTAATAGGTGTTATTACACAATAAACTTTAAATTAGTTTACTGTTAAAAGTAAAATCCAAAACAATGTATTATTATGCCATTAAATAAGGCTATAATGCAGGAATCTCTTCCACGCAATCACCACTCCCCGATGCTTTAAGGTTTTCCTGGATCTTTGACCCCACTCTGAGCCCATGGCGTGGTGGAGACAGGCTGGATCATCTTCTCTAGAAGGTTCATCATTCTCTCCTGTAGCTGCAGGCACTGGACCTGAAGCAGGTTCTGTTGATGCATGGCTCGACGGACCTCCCTGCACGTCTCCTCGATGGCCCGGCTCGACCGCTTCTGCTGCTGCAGCATGGCCTGCAAAATGTGAATTTTCTTCTTCTTCAGCGACAAACTCCTGTTGGCTTTTTTCTTCTTGGCTGAGATAGGATGGGAGCTGGAGAACAGAGATGGAAGCTTTTAGAGCAGGTCGTCTGTTTAGAAGAAATGGTTCTTATGATATGACTAAATATGAGTGCTAAGAGCTAATTGGGTTGATTTCTTCCAGAGAACAACCCAATTCCAGAAGAGAATTGATTAAAAAACACACATTTGTGCGACCTGTGTCTTGTTTTGCTCGTTTTACCTGGAGCCCTGCGTGTGCTCACTTCCAGAGCTCAAAGAGTCCAGCTCTTGTTTTATCTCCATCTCGTCTGAGGACCCAGTGTACTCTGGCAGGAATCCCAACACGCCTTCCTCTGAGTGGGACAAGAGGTGGTCTGTGGACTGGGAGGAAGTGGAAGGACCTGCGTTTGGGGCCTGGAACTCCAAAGAGTCCCCCCTGCCATTCTCCAGTGGCTTGGAGAGGATCTTTTCGATGGGCTTGAAGTAAGGCCAGTCCGGTGCATCACCAGCTTCCCCAGCTGTGGCTTTCAGTCGCCTGTGAGAGGAGAAAGTTATTCTTACATTGACACAACAGCTGGAATCTGGGTGTGCGTTTCTGTGTGAAGACTACTTGCCTGTACTGGAAAGACATGTTGGTGATTTTCATCTTGATCTCTTCTTTGAAACGCTGTTCTCCAGTCAGCTGGAAAAATCTCTGGGACATCTTCTCGTAAACCTTGGCGTTCCTCTTGCTCATTTTCAGTTCGTTGTGGTATTCCTCCCACACGTACAGCAGGGCTTTCATTTCCCCATCGGTCCAGTTTGGGGCCCGTCTGTGTTTCTCACTGTGGCCTGGCATCAGGTAGCTGAAACTGTCCTCTGTTGCCATTTTCTGGCACGCTTTGCAGAGATGAGATCCTCAGAGAATGAATTTGAAAGCCTTTTACTGTGCTAAGGAACTGAGTCTGCAGCACAAGAGGGGACACATGAGGGAAAGCAAACACACCACCGTCCCTGCCTGTACCCTTCCCCCTAGCCTAGCTGAAAGAGGACTCAAAATGGGGCCTAAGGCAGGAGAGCAATCCGGTTAAAAGCTTTTAATGCCGGATGATGTCACTGTGACATCAAGTTGCCCTGGCAACGGTGAGAGAGGCCCTTTATTTTCCCTCCCCTCTCCTCTTACCACTCCCATCCGCTCTCTTTTGCCCTCCATTCTGCTCCACTGGCAGCACAAAAAGCTTTTAGCTGAAAGGCAGCAGTGTGAGCGTGTGAGATTGCTGACAGTTTTGAAATATGAGCCTCCAGGGAGGAGGAGGGGGGAAAAAAAAGAGCTGAGAGGATGTGTTTCCCTGGCAACAAGGCAATGGACTTGGTAGTCATCCAGCACACTGCTCCATTTAAAAGCTTTTAATAATAGACAAGTCGTTTTGAGAGGGTGGAGAGGGAGGATTTGCTTTATCTGGAATCACGCCGAAAAAGAAGCCAACAGAACCAGGCTGCAGCTGGCAGAGCTGCAACGGAAGCAGAGGCATTCCTCTGAAAACGTGTCAAGCCCTGTAGGTGGGAATCGCAGGAAGACACATCAGACAAAATGGAAACATGCAGTGCTGAACTGTGGGCAGTCCTGCGAAGCAATACGGCATGCTGACCTGTGTAATCAGCTTTCTTTGCATGGTCACGGGCTGTGACTCCTGCCGGGGATACACCCCGGCGGGGGTTGTTTCTCTGCCCACTTGAGTACCCCTCCCCCCCCTAAGTCTGTAAGGGGGCAGAGCCCCCCACATTAAAGCACCTTAATATACCATTGGATCTGCATTTTTTTTCTCTCCTCTTTGGTGCACGCCCTCTCTCCTCCCTGCTCCTGTTTCCCTTTTTGGAACATTTCTGCAATAAACTAAAACAGTGTTTTGCTAAAATGCTCCTCTCTGCAGCATTTTGCTTCCTACTGTGTACCCCCCGTATGTAGCGTTTAGCACCTGAAAATAGACCGAAAATACAAGCCATCTTTTGTCACTTCATCTGCAGTTGAGCTGTCAGTCCCCCCCCCAGCTCAGTTGTGGTTTGATTAGATCATTAACCCCTCAGCTCTTTGCTAACCCGACCGCCAGCCGGGGCAGTTTTTATACCACATTTTGGCAGAGCTGCTCAATCCATCACATCTGTCACTGAAAATAAAACTTCTGTTGCTGCAGGAGACGAGAGGGAAATGAAAGTCGACGCGAGTGGTTTTTGGCGTGAAAAGAAATGCGACCGGTCTTATGGGCGTCATCTCATTTTCTTGCAGATGGTAAAATCTAACTTTTCCAGCATCCTGTTTGCTACAAGCATTTAGTTTTAAATGTGTTTAGATAGCACTGTGAATTTTTCATTCATTACGGTGGAAGTAATCCTGCCTGCTAATCCATCAGACAGACTAATCTTCAGATGAACTACTTGAGTTGAGAGGTAGAAGTCAGAATTGTGGGTGATATATATAATCTAACCATTTGCTGTCATTCTAAAAAGGCATAAACGTCCCTTTTCAGAAAATATTTGATATACTTTACGGATGTAATCCTCCCTAAAATTATACCAATATTGAACCCACCCAAAACATTTAAAAGAATCTACCTAATGTGGGATTAAGATGCATTAATCAGCTTATTAAGTAAGGGCTTGGAGAGTAAACTAAGCAACCTTAAATACCAGCACTCTTTAGTGGGCGATTCCACTCTCTGCAAATTCAGATTTGATAGCCCACAGGATTAGGTGCAGGATGAACACTGCCATGAACAGAAGTTGGTGAGGATGCACAGAAAGAAGTGTGACAGGTATACATGCATGAAGTACATCAGTATGAACCACAGTGCATTGCAAATTTGTTTTGGATACAAATACTGTCTCCAAATTCACTAATCACGTCATATTTACAAGTTAATAGCTTTTATTTTCAGGCAGAGGGGCCACCTGTCCGGCATCGTCCATAATACGATGTGCCACAAATGTTTATCCCTCAGCTTTTCTTTTTGTTTTTACATGTAAAGACTTGAATTGTGTTCGTATTGTTGTGTAGAATTGTGCCATATTTACAATTATGCACAGTTTTATGTTTTTTTGTAGAGCTGGAAGCCATGTCGCAGAGTAGTTTATGATGAATGTAATTGGTAGCTTCAGACATATTTTCCCACAGGGAGTCGAGTAACCAGAATGTTGCCTTTGGGATTTCCCAAAGGTTGATCACAGCGTAAAGGTAAAATGAAAGCAAAGGCAAACAAACGAGAAATGTTTGGGCAACATGAGGCCAACCTCACCATTAACCTAAAATCTATAATTAGATCAACATCAGATAAGCATTTGCTCCCTTAAAAAAACAAGGTCCCTGTAACATGTTTCACTCTGTGAGGAAATGTTTTGTTTTTTTAGCAACTTTTGACGAATGCATCTGAAAACAGGAGAAAAATCTCTGTGTCACTGGTTACTATCAATGATTAATTTCAGAAAAAATGTAAAGTGCAATGAAACCTGTTTAAAGGCAACAAAAGGCCCATCTGTGGACTGAGCACAATCACCGCAGTGTAGAACCAGAGGAAACCACTTCGGGATCGATTTTCTCTTTGACCCTTAGAAAAACATTTAATGCAAATATGTGCACAGAAAACACATACATACACAGCGCATACATAAAGTAGGTAAAGTATAAATGCTTTTAATGTCAGCCTACAATAGCATGTCCACACACGGCAAACATCCCTCAGACTTAAATCAGCCCACAACAGACTGACAGCAAACAAAAATCTGCGTCCACATGACGGCCCTCGGCCCCCGCTCATAGAGACAACATGACTAAACATCTGATGGCCACATTCTGGAGTGAGATTAGAGGCTGGCCTGTGACCCACACGGAAATAAAGAGCCATTTCCTTATGAAATGGCACTGAGAAAATCTGTGCTAAATCCAATCCTACCTTTTGGGGAAATTACTCCTCCTAAGGGGGGGGGGGGGTCTTAATCCATGGTTTCCCTCTGTCAGTCTTAATACAAGAGGACACAGAAAGCTTTTGTAGACACACCCATGCTCTGAAGACCAAACTATTAAGGAATGTCAGTTTGTGAGTTTATCAAATATAGAATACTGATGATGACTGTTTTTAAAGAAAGGGTCTGGCAAATAAAGTGGCATGCGGACCACCGTACAGCAGCAGCTTATCGGAACTGTCAGTTCCAGCCAGTCGACCACACCCAAAATCACCATGAGATGCACCATTTAAAACGAAATGCAAAATCAACATATAAAAACATGAGTAAATGGAGACGATATCAGATAGAATGTATTCACAATGTGCAATAAGTTAAAATTCAAACCTAAAAAGGAATGTAGTTCTGAAAAGTACCACTAGAGGTCAGCAAATATCCATGCTCGGGTATCCAGCAAAACATCTGAAAGAAGGGTTGCTTCTGCTTATGGACACTTAAAAATCAACACAAAACAAAAAATATTAAAAAATCAACACTTCTTTTCTTTCATTTCCCTTCCCCTCAGTCCCACATAGCAGCAGCAGGGGTGGTAAACATGTCACCATTTCTGAACAAATCACTTAGTTACATTCATGATATGAAGTGTCACAGTATAAATGAATGAATAACTTTTTTTTTCTTCTTTTTTTAACTAACACTGACTCGTGCGAGCACATCGGCCTCGAATGTCTCACTGCAAACTTGATGCTGTCACTGCATCAGGATGGACAAAACTGACTCATGCAGTCATAAGACGCTGAAACTATTTCTGCAAAGTTTCTCCGAACAGTTTTCTTTTCAAATTGGATTCTGCCCGTTCGCTTTGCCAGACAGTAGCTCCGAACGTTGGGAGTTTGGAGATTCCAGCTCGGTTATTTGTGTCTTCTGTGCGCTGAGTGTCTCTGCTCATTCTCTGGGTAGACACTCCTCCTCTGTGATCCCCTGGACCCTCAGCTCCTCCAGGACATTGTCTAAGTGGCCGGGGTCGGGGTAGCCGTGGCCAGTGAGGTTGGACCCGAACTCAGTCTTGTGGTGCACCTCGTTCCAGATCACCGTGTCGGACTCGCCGGTGGTGCTGGACGTTCCCACGGAGAAGATGAGCCTGCGATCCCACGCCACCAGAAGCAGCCTCAGAACCTGAGCAAGGAGACGAAGGACCAACAAATTCAATCAAGCTTGTTGGGAAATTTTAAAAAAGAGAAGAGAGGAGATGTTTAGTTATTTACCTTGCGCCCCTTCTCACTGTCAGGGAGGTAGCAGTGTCTGGGGAACCCTCGAGCTGTGAAGGGTTTGCCTGGATTCGGGTGTTCGGGTCCCTGAAAAGCAGAAGAAAAAAATCATGACATGATCTCAGAAAACGGGAGGACGTCGGCCTCTTGTATCGACGATTTTGTAGCCAGTAACCCCCCCGTGACGTAAAACACATACATATCTGACATCTGATCTCTACCTGGATGCCAGGAGGGATGTTGTATATGATTCTGATGGTTTTGCAGTCGGGATGTCCAGGCAGTGAGTGGGGGATGACGTGGTACTCCATCTTGCCGGGGGGCTGATTGCCGGTCTTGACTCCGTAGATGGTCTTGCAGGTGGGGCACTGCAGGCTGCCGTCTTTGTTGCCGTTGTTGTACATTGCAACGAGGCACTGGAGGTGGTACTGGTGACCACACTGAGCCAGGCGACCCACAGATTCGGCCCGGGAAATGCCCCCTACGCCGGGACCCTTGTAGCCTGAAGGTCCGGCCAGGGCCTCCATGCAGATGGTGCAGTCCTGCCACAGGAAGACCAAAACAGAGTCCATCTCCAGTTTCCATCTTTAAATAGAACTTCCGCTTGTTCTTTCAGTTTAACAGTGCGTTAACTCACCTCCTCTGGAGGATTGCGGACTTTCTGAAGGTAACGCTTCACCACTTCCTCGGGTGTCTTGCCTAAAAGAGACGAAAACGAATGTTTAATTTGCAGTTCGTAAGCCAAACTACTGCATGAGCTCAAATTACAGAGGGAGAGGCCGTTTTCTCCGTCAAACCCACCTTTCCGGGCCTGTTTCTTGGTGGTCTTGCGGCAGCAGTGGCCTAACCCCGGAACAGGTTTGATGTCACTCTTGCTGACAGGTGGAGGATGGAGCACCAGCTTGGGAGGACGGGTCAGACAGACAGGAAGTCCTGCCGCACTCATCAGGATCCCGGTAATGCCTAAAGATAGCAAACAGCAGGGGATTATGACATACAGCTTTGGTAATTCTTTATCCAGTGAACTATTTGACCTCATAACCGTCTTTAAAGCATCCTGATTGATCAAGTTGGATACTATGGAGCAGAATGCCATCAGGGATGGGACAACTTCAGGGATTTAAGATAATGTTGACATGTTTACCTGCCAGTGCGGGATGTACAGGACTGGATCCATTCAGGTTCTTCACTGGAACTGTTGGCACTCTGAAACCCAAAGAAAAACAAGCTGCTATGAATATCTACACATGGCTGACACACAAGGAGAACACACCTGACCGACTGGGACACTACGGCTCAGACAAGAGGAAATCCGCTAAGTCACATGTAAACAAGTTGGCCCTCCATACTGCTGGAGACAGCAGATGCTCATTTCTAGTTAGCGGGTCAAGAGGCTTTCTGCAGAGTCATGCGGAGACACACACAGATGTTGCCGGCCGTGGATTGACACACTTTCCGAGAACTGCCGCCTATTTGGCTCGATGCTGTCAGAGGCTTAAAGGTCGGATTTCAGGGCAGCAACAGGAAATCGACTGGCTGCGAAATGTTGCCTAGAAGCTTTGAAATGAGTTTCTCAGATGGCGTTTGACAAACGTTGACCGCAGCATAACATTTTGAAGTTTCATTCGCTGATCTGGGACATCCATTTTTGCACGTCAAACTGAGACAAACTGCTTTCAACTGAAAACAGCTTTGACCTGGAGATGCGCCCCCATCAAATATGTACAGCAAGAAAACGAGCCTTTTTTTCAATTTTTCTAACCACATACGTATTTCTATACATTTAAAAAAAATCTACACACACATTCAAACTTGAAACTATTGGAAACTATGAGCAAAAGCACATCTCTCCTTCATGGCACTTACGGTCTGCCACTTCTGATAATCGTCATCGTTGCTGCTCAAAAGCACCAAAGTGTCCAGGTAAGAGTCGGGTTATTCCACCGGCAGTCCACTTGCTACTGTGGGGTGTTTCTTCTCCCTGTCCCTCTCCCTCCGAGTTTGAGCTGCTGTCACACCTCGTCGCTGCTTTTAAAGGGCTAAGCCACCTGTTCCCATCTGTTGATTGAACTCTGGTTGTAGGCCAGCGACTCGTTACAGAAGGGATTACCTGTCAGCTGCCACGTCACAATGCCAGGCGGTCACCAGGCTGCCAGACTAGAGAGGGCACGTACAGCCGCAAGCAGCAGCAAAACCGTCCAAAAGCAGAGCTATTACAACAACGCCCATATGAGAGAATGAAGAATCTGCATTTCCACATGTTGTTGGCACATATTGAAATCACTGTAATCACATTTAGACTCTCAGGTACAGACAGTGTGACTAATGAATAGTTTGTTGATAACGTAAAACCCAAGTGGGACATTGACACAAAATAAAAAATGGGATTCTTTTTAAATTTTAGGTGCTTGCAGGTCAAAGCTGGATAACCAGGTGACCCCCTAGAGGACTTTAATCTCCTGAGCTACGATGTTCTTTAGCATATTTCACAGGAATCAAACTGTGTCCTCGTCCCATTTGTTCTCGTAAACCTACCTGATGGCCTTCTGATAGTTGTTGCCCCAATGAAATATAAAAAAATGTTCCTTAGTTTGGGCAATAAAGGATGATGCTACACAGCTAGTGAGCAAAGATAACTCACGGGGTCATCTTAAATCCAGACCACAATGAATAAATCAGCGACACATTGCACATCTTATTTTTCTCTTTTTTAGGGAAAGGCAGTCAAAATGTCGAAATCTGAGCTCTTTGCCCAGATTGTGACCGTTTACTCCTCATTTGATGTGTCCTCACCACCACCAGAGTCTCCTCTGAAACCCTCTGGAGCCCACATCACACTTTGAATCACCCTTATCTGGAGTGTTTTAGGAATATATTTTTAAGGTTGTCCGGTCACTTTCACAAAAGCCCTGCTCTGATGTGAGGGGCTAGGCTTGTATCTGGTGTAAATAAATGATGTAATGCTGACTCGGGAAACCTGTGCTCCTCACTTTTAGTACTGGTCAATCTGATTAGGCCGTACCGTGTCACTATATTCATTTGTTTACCACAACAAAGTGTCCTTGGGGCAGCATTAAGTCCTCTCAGAGTGTTCTTTCCGGGGATAAAAATACTTTTTTTTTTTCAAATGACACTGATTCCAGCCTGCGCAGGAAGGAGCTGACTGACATTTGTGTGTCGGGCAGGGAATCTCGAGCGTTATGATGAAAAGATTAAAGCCGGCAGAGAAAGGGAGGAAAACCAGAGGGGGGAGAGGAGCGTCGCCCTGTCACGTTTTTGTGATCCTGAGCTAATCTAGTGGCATTAGAGCAGCTTCCATCTGCATGATGGAAACACACCAGCTGCTGCGTATGCCAACAGTTGTACACTTAGCATTTCTTCACACCCTGAATCAAGCAGAACAACAAAAAAAAAGAAAAGAATTAGTTAAACCTCTGCTGGGCCGGAAATGATTACGGTGATGCTCTGTGAAGGGCGTCACACACTCGGTAGGGGAAAGGTGTGTGCAACAGGTGTGCGCGCCAAAGGCGACTCTCGTCACTGTGATTATCTGTGACGCCGGAGGCCCCTCTAACTCCAACTACTCACTTAGAGACCACCTGTTTGGTTTCACTCTCTGCAGACGCAAATGCTCACCCACTAATCCAGAGGCAATTTCCCCTCAAGCTTTTAAGAAACGTCGCACTGGGATTCAAACACACGGCGAGAGTTTATCTCTCGTGTGACTTTGAGAAGAGAACTTGATCTGCTTGTTAACGCGATGGCTTTCCCACCATCATGATGAAAGGCCGGGGAAGGCAAATTGTGAAGGCAAATTCAAAATGCGTTTGGTTTTCAGTCTAATGTTTTGCAGAGATCCCCAGAATAGAAATAAGAAAGAATAATCCGGACGTTTATTCAATCTATACAGAAGGGGGAAGTACATCTTTCAATGACTGAAAAATAAATGTTCATTAGACTCTGAAGTGCTTTCAATCTTTTTTTCTTTGCAGCAACGCCTGAAAAAAGTAGTCATTTTCATGGAGATACCAGAATTTAACTTTCCTAGATTGAAGATATAGACTTGATTAAAGTGGCAGCTTTTTAAAAGCCCAAGAGTATTTATATTTTGCGGTGCGTGTTCGAAAAAGTCGGATTGCTATACACAACTCAAGATGAGGCGAGGGATTAGGAGCCACCAGCTGTCTGTGGTCCACTCACAGACAAGAACAAGTCAATGTGGGCTCTTAGACTACTGTACGCGCTCTCATAGTGTAATGTGCGGTCAGAGAAACCGCAAACCACAGAATTGGGTCCCTGTGTCATTTCAACCAGGCCCAGATATGTCATGAAGACCTCAGAACGCGGCCTCAGTTTATGAACACAAGGCATAATATATCTCCTTGAAGAGACATTTCGTCAGCCACAAATCTCCCAGTTATACCGTTTCCTTTTCCCTCTACTTTCCTGCTTGAGCATTAATAAATTAAACCAGCGGACGGAAATGAATCTTTGACAAGTTCTGAACGAAACATCAACTAAGAGATATAGCAACAGAGCAGACGGCCTCTAAATAATAAAGCAAAAAGAGGCGGGTTAAATTGAGGCAGTGCAAAGACATACAGTATAGTGTGGATTTACAGCGTAAAACTGCAGGTTCATCACGTTAAGGGGATTGTCCCTCCTGTGTATTGGTTTTTATATGGAGCCATGACTCTGCGGGTAACGCGGTGAGCACAGAATCCCAGGCTGATGGGATCAGAGACACTCCTGATCTGTGACGTTGGTGGTTTTACAGCAGGTTCAACCATCTGCTTAAAGCAGCACTCTCATCGGGTCTGTTTAAAGAAGTGTTCGCCCACGCAACTGACACAACACGCAAAGGTCACAGGGGATGACAAAGTAACATTATTTCCATGTTTTGGTATCCGACCCAGGCTAGATAGTCGTGAGAGTGGTTGGCTGAGGAGGCCGTTTCGGCTGATGGATGGATTAATTAGGTTGGGTCAGTGTACTGGGGCAATGTTGGATTTAGGAACTTATCTTCAACACATGGTCATGACTTAAATGTTTGATCACATTTGAGGCGACAAACTTTGTGCCGAGCTGCTCCCAGATCTGTAAAAACAGGACTGTTATTTAGTGGATATTTCTCCTGCATTTCCATGTATTTATATTCCAGGAAACCGCATAAAAAATGAAGATCAACGACTCAGTGTGACTCTGTAACACGTACGGTTAAAATCTGAAACACCCTTTCACAAACACAAACAGAGTTTAGCTCGCTGGCGCCCTCTGCTTACGACCAGGGGCACTACAACCTCCATCACTGATCATCTCTCCTGTCGGATGCCTATCAGCAGATAATACCATGATTACTAGTACCTTGGATTTCTTTTTTCAGTTAAACCAATTTTTCTACAATTCAAATCAGAACTAGAAAATTTCTGAAGAAATTTTGGAGGGGGGCCACCCGCTGCCCGTCCGGGAACCCGGGGCGGGTCGGCCAATCGATGTTTGGGCTCTCTGTAATGTGGGCTCGCGCCTATGAGAGGGCCTGAGGTGATGGAGGGACCCGGCTGAGCTCTGGGGCCCGCTGACCGAATGCGGATGGGGTGGGCAGGTCGGGGGTCACGTTGGCTGAAAGCTGAGAAAAAGACCTACGCGACGAGGTATGACATGGCCCCGGTCCGGTTCCGACCCGGTTGGGTCCTATCCCTAGAACCGGAACCAGAACCGGGTCCTGACTAAAGCCCTCTAAGCGGGCTTCGCCCGCCTTAAATCACAAATATTGTATTTCTTTAAAAATCATTGAGAGCGGGCTTCGCCCGCCTTGAACCAGGAGTATGACAGGGCCCCGGTCCGGTTCCGACCCGGTTGGGTCCTATCCCTAGAACCGGAACCAGAACCGGGCTCTGACTAAAGCCCTCTAAGCGGGCTTCGCCCGCCATGGTAACAAAAAATACTGTATTTCTTAAAAAATCACTTAGAGCGGGCTTCGCCCGCTTTTTGCCAGTATCACTGTCTTAGTTAAATCTTTCTAAGCGGGCTTCGCCCGCTTTTTGCCAGGAGCAGAAGCTCACAGAGCCCTGCAGAGACCCACAGGGCTGCTGTGGGTCTCTGGTGGTCGCCACGGCGACAGCAGCCTGGTGCCAATTCTGAACATTCTAAACTGACACACCTGTGACTCATCACTGACACAGACCCAACTGACAGATGGATCAAAAGTATCCTCCGAACGGCTGTACGCTGTTCGAAAACTATATCACAAAACTGAAAAATTCTTGGACCGTGAGCGCCTACAGAGTTTAAGGTCGAATCCAATGTATTTAATTTTCGACTGCTCCCAGCGGTTATTTTTTTATGGCAATTTCAAAATGAGGGCCGTTTTCTCTCTGGCGAAAAAAATCTCTCCTTTTTTCCATTCAAATCCTATTACAGAGGTTTGTGAAAGTCTGGACTCTGGGCCCGATTGCCGGAAAACCGTAAGGCCGAGGTCCAAAGCGGGCACATCGGGCGAAAGAGGGCGCCCGCGGCTACGTTTTGAGGCCATTTTGGCACCGCTCGGCCCCACGGATTGGTCGCGAGGGGCAATAGTTTGACTTTTTTTAGGTGAAAGTCCGCACAGCCAGCTCAGAGGCTTTAACGAGCATAGTTAGAGTGTGGGGAAAATTCTAAGATTTTGTGAATTTCACTAAAACGTCAACAGCGATTGCGGTCAAACGGTGCGAGATCTGGCCTCGTGGCTCCAATATGGCGGAGGCCCGTCTTTCGTGTCCCGTTCAATGTTCGAACGACGTCTCTCGGACGTCGTGGGCCAGAGCGATGAGGCCCTGACGGGCCTCATCTTTCGGCTTTTTTTTGTGCCCTTTTTTCTGCGTCCCCCATGCATTCCTATGGGAAAACGCTCGCCACTTTTTCGCCGTTTACTCGGAAACGCCCGCTCCTTTGAGAAAGTTTTTAACAAGCACGCATGGCTAGGTGGGTCCGAACGCGCGTGCCGACTTTGGGCCCGATCCGTCGAACCGTGCGGGACGAGAAGCGGTCCGCGGAAACGGGAGAACTATAATAAGAAGTTGCGGAATAAGTATTTCGAAGAGTAATACGTGGGCCATGCCGCAGGCGTGGCCCCCCTAATTAATTAGAAATGAAGTGCTTTTTGTTTTCACAAACAAAAGACCCAGATTCTGAACACACAGCATATGGGTGTGTTCGGTCTTTTCGCACAATACAAAAAAAAAGAAATTCTGATAACTGTCCATGTGCATACATGAGAGGCACCTTTTAATGCAAAAAAGTGCACAACTGCTGTGTCCTCCGCACAACAAGTGTGAGCACAAGAAAGCGAGTGTTGCCAGAGCGCACGGCCCGGGAACATTCTCAGGAGGATTAGCCGCCTCATTCACATTTCATCCACCTCGCCTCTCCTCTGGGTGTGGCGTTAGGCTCTGCAAAAAGTCCAAAAGAAGTCCGGCGCACGTTTACATTCTTCACACTAGGAGCACTGCAAGTGGAAAATGTCCCGGTCATGTTGAAGCCACAAGACATCCTTCCTTTTGGCCGATAGGTTTCATACATGACTGAAGCTCTGCAGCATAATGGCTGTCGGTGTGAGTATTCACATGCAGCCGCAACATCCCTGGTGGGAAACAAAACTTAGGGCTCTTAAACCACAAACCAGTGACGAAATAGGTCCCCCCCCCAGACGGTATGTCTCCATACCGTCTCGAAAAATGGAATTGCAACCACCACAAAGTCCAGCTACCATCAATGATGTGCAAATGAAATCTAAAATGCTGATTTTTAAAGTAATCCTATCTCAATCAATAATGCTTTCATGTGGTCAGGCTCAAAGAACCATGTTTCGATCAATTCAGCAGGTTTAATCTACCCAAGAAAGAGCCAATAGTGATTTATAAACTGAAAAGCGGGCGATGTACAGACAGTAATTTATGCTCCAGATGTTCCTGCGGCCTGATCAGCAACTGACCAGGAGAAGATTTGAGGACTGCAGAGTTGCTCTAAAACGGCTTACGGAGTGAACATTTTTAGTGGTTTCCACTACAAACTGAACTGTATGAACATTTGCCTCTTAAAATCAAACAGTTTTTAAAACCGCTGTATTTAAATGCTGGGATGGGTACTGAAAAAGACCCTGGATGCAGTAACTTCCAGCCAAAAAGCCTCATGGATACATTTTGTGTGGATTTCAAATGTGGTCTCCTGTTTAAAATCTAGATCCTCTTTCAGTGTTTTTAAATCAATGGCCCTATATTTAGTGCTTGTTTGTGCAACGTTGTCATGTACCTGTCCCAAATCCAACGGCTGGATTTACAATCGGCTAAAGCATACCTGGAGCCTTTGAATCAGAATCAGACTAAGTCTGTGGACCACAATAAGAAACAAAAACCAGGTTGTTGCGGGTTCTCCAACATGTTGACGATTTAGTGCTGTTACAAAAGGCAAAGGGGGGCTCACATCCCACTGCCACCACTGTGCTTGCCAAGCACTATTATCATAGAACATTTGCATAACAAATGCGAGGGAAACACTTCTGAGGGCTCGGCTCGCTCTGTATGAATGCCTGTCATTGTTTTTTCCATGGAAATGAACAAGGCTGATGAGCTTTGTCACGAAGATTAAGGGCTCAGGAATGCTAATGAACGCCGATGTAAAACACTGTGTGCAGAGAGCTCCAAACAAACAGGAAAGTCCAGCAATCAGCAGCAGTGATCCCCCTGTTTAACCGGGCTCGCCCAGTTACTGTAAACACATTATTAACATGCAACAGGATTATCAGAGCTATTTCATCTTAAGATGATCTTTTTTCTTTTTTTTTGCTGACATCACAGGATCTGGGTACTCATTTTCCGAACTTCGGCCACTTTGACCAACTGTTTCCACGTCAGCTGAAAAATGTGCCCCAGAAATGCAGCGGACAGCAAACACTGAGGGAGGAGTTGTGGGTATTTTGTAGCACAGTGAAGGAGCAGCGTAAGCAAGAATGTGACCCGGCCGTAGAGGTCAGAAGACGGGATTTTACTAAGCAAATGATTAGAGATAGCTTTGTTTGGTCTGGTGTCCAATCAGCAAACACGAGTCCTGATAATGATCGGGTCAAAAGTCACCCGCTCAATAATGAATGACTCATGTTCTTAATAAGGGACTTTTTCGAGTTAAATCTCTACTCTCTAACAACATATAGCACACATTTCTGAAGATGCAACCACATTCCCTAAACCTTTGACTAGTTAAAATTGATGTAAAGCAGAAAACCGTCTCTAGGGGAATACATTTGAAAAAAAGTTAAATTCTTCTTTCAAGCAGTCATGGATGCTGGTCCCCTCGGATAAAGGGGGAAGATCTAACTTAATTCAACTAGACAATGTATTACACCAGCATGACACCGAATTAAAGAACTCCACCATGGCGACCACACCCATGAGGTGGAGGCCCGGCGAATGGGATGCGGTGGTGAGGTGTCGGGGGGTGCTCACCCGGAGGCGATGAGGGCCCGGGACTGAGCCATGGCGATGCGCTGCAGGGCGGGGCGGCTCAGGCCCGCCAGGCTGGAGCGGGGGGGCAGCGGCGCCGCGCAGGCGGCGGCGGCCCCGGACGAGGACACGGGCCCCAGGACCCGGGCGGAAGGCGACGGCGTGCAGGTGGAGGCCGCGGTGGAGATGAGGGGCGGGGCCAGGGCGCCCGCCGAGGACACGGAGAGGGACGAGGAGGACGCGGAGGGGTGGGGCGGGGAGGTGGCGGACGAGGAGGGGGCGGTGGAGGGGGGGGGGGGGGGGGGGGGGGGGCGGGAGGGGGGGAGGCGGGGGCCGGTTGGAGGAGATGGAGAGCGCGGCCGTGGCGGAGCCCAGGAGCGACAGCGAATGGGGGAAGCCTCCTCCGAAACTGAGGCCGCCGGCGCCCATCCCGCCGGGACCCATCACCCCCATGCCCCCGGCCCCCCCCATCCCGGCCACACCGTACCCCCCCGTGGCCCCGACCATGGATGTCCTGTGGGGGGACAGGGATCTGGAGAAAGACGGAGGTCTGGGCAGGGTGAGCGAGTAGGACCCCCCGGGGACCGGGTAACTGCTCAGCTTGGGGCTGGGCGGCTTGGTCTGCGGCGGCCTGCGGCCCAGCGTGTGAGCCGTCGCCATGGCGCCGGCCTTGACGCTGAGCACCAGCATGCACTGCTGGCAGGCGCAGGGCTGACCCAGCGAGGTGATGGCCGAGGCGGGCAGCGCCCCGCTGGGGTAGGCGCTCCCGTTCCCGTTCCCGGTCCCGGTCCCGGTCCCGGTCCCGCCGCTGCTCATGCGGACCCCCATGCCCACGCCGGACACGTCCACGCCTAGGAGCCCTCCGTGGCCCGGCGCGGACGCCGGCGCCCAGGCATGGTGGGACTTGGGCAGGGGCCCGGACACCAGCGGGTAGGCGAGGTCGGAGCGGCGCTGGACGCGGCGGCAGCGCTGGGTCTGCCCGTTGATCTGCGTCATGCTCTCAAAGTCAATGACGTAGCAGAAGCCCAGCGGCGCCAGGTCCAGCCAGGGCTGCTGGCGGTCGCGAGCGGCCTGGATGGCGATGCCCACCTCCGTGTCGTACGCCGTCCAGCTGCCCGAGTCGTTCTCCCACTCCCACAGCCAGCCCTGGCCCGGCGCCGAGGTGGGGTCGTAGAAGCTGCGTCTCACAGGTCGAAGCGTGCCTGAAGAGGAGGCCACAGGACAAGCACAACATTGGTAAGACTGGTGTCTTTCAACTGGACGGAGTCAGCGTGGGTCACATCAAGAGCCATTTTCCCCCCCATGACTACTAAAACCACAGCGTGATGCTGGGAGAAGGGAGGTGTTAACTGGCCTCGCTGTTTTCCTTTGAATAAGGAGATTAAAACCCCTCCAAATTCAACACGCCTGTATTTTTCTTACCAAGAATCTGGGCAGACAGGTTGCCCCTGGTAACAGCACTCGGTGTTCTGAATTCTGATTGGTTGGTGGCCTTGGTCTGACCCAAAGCTGGCTGTGTTTGCTTTCCCTGGGCGTCCAAAGAAACTCTACAGAGTACTGAAACTGTAAAGCCCCCACACAAAAAAAACCCATCTCTGGGAACAGAGAACACTTTATTTTCAGAGCAATGAAGTTGAAAAAATGAAAAATCTTCTATGGAAATGGGTCCTGAATCCATTTGAGCCAGTGTTCTCTGTCCTCTCTTTAATCGTGTTGCAAATATGCAATGGAAACATCAAAACAGAATAAATGCACGTCTTTAAAATCTGCTTTTGTCAACTTCATTGCATCAATGTCCTCAGATTCCTCCACCCCCCCCCCCTTCCCTTTCCCCCCCTGATCTCTTTCATTCAAGCTGGAACTCCGTGCCAATTTCCACTTCATTCTGTTTTCGGTACAGGATACACAAAAGGAGTTTGTGCCAGTACTTCAAGATAAAAAAGAGTGGCTATATGGCAGTGTGTTGGTTAAAATAAGCTACGGCTTTACACAGGCCTTCTTTATAGAAGACATTATCTACATGTTTTTCTTATAGAGATAAATGATTGGGAAATATGCCTATTAGACATTTAAGTAGACATTTTAAAGGTGGGACATATCCCTTATATGTAATCTTAGGGGAGATCAACTAAAAAATAAGCAGGTGGAAGCTGACAATTGTCAGAAAATGATCCAGAGAGATCGAAAAGACATTAGAGATGACACAGACTCTAGAAACAGAGAGGCCTCCCTCTCCATCAGGCCTAGCAGAACCCTTCCACCCACCGTCGTGCGCTCTCACCTGTGTCCTGTCGGAACTGGTGCATGGAATGCAAATCGATGATGTAGGGCGAGAGGCGAGAGTCCACCTGTCCGAGGACGACGCTACCACAGCGCGGGTCGCTCCGGATGACCGCCTCGATGTGATGACAGACCGCCGGGCTGTACGGCCGCCAGCGTCCGTGCTCGTTCAGCCATTCCCAGACCACCACGGCGGACGCTAGTAACATCCTACTCCTGCAACAAACAAACAAAAAAAAAAGCCACAGAGGAATAAAAAAAATAATAAAAATAAAAAAGCGCACATGAGCCCGAAAAAACGCGGGGGTGGCGGAGATTTAGAGACACAACACCGCCTCTCCGCCGCGCATCCCTGCGCACAGAGGCGCTGCATCCATCTTGGGCACTTTTTGCAGCCCCAGATGTGTCCTCTCTCTCCCCCCCCCCCCCGTGTGGGTTGCAGATGCATATTTAGGTGTGACAGCGCATGCAAACCCTACCTTCCATGTCTGCGGTTTTCAGACGTGCAGCGATCGCCGGGCGCCCTTGTGGTGCATGGGGAAGAATACGGGGCTTTTTTCGGGGCGCGAGAAAAGCCTTGCAGGATGGTTGCATTTTACTCCCTATGCAGATGAGTGACGTCACCAGAAAACATTTTTTCTCAGGCACAATCAAGTTTGGGTGAGGAGGAGAAAATGCCACTCGGATGCTGAAGGTGGCGCGGCACTCTTTTAAATAGGTCACTGTGACAGGTTGGCTTTAGACGAGCCATAAATGGGTTGTTTTCTGTTTAGTTGAAAATAAACCTCTTTGGTTTGCAGGATGTAAACCTTGAGTCCTATCAAACTGCTGTTTTGTGAAGCAGTTCAATTGCTTATCGCATCTTCAGGATCGAATGCCAGTTTCTGATTACGCAATAGACATGTTTAGGTGAATTTACAGAATATTTAAACCTGACCTCATTTTGTCAGCCTTGGTGTCGCTTCGTGGTTCAATCAGTAACGCTTCCATAAAGAGAGCTCATGTGTTTAGATGTCAGATTAGATGTCAGATAAGGGTGTGGGAAAGTTTAGTAACTAAACTTTACACTCCAATCTGCCCCTGCACAAAAACTGGCCAAAGTATGTCCAGGTAGCCGTAACAGTGTTATTTACTGCCATAGACTAATTTTGCTAATCCCAGGATTTGTTAAAAGAAGTGGAGATGCCGGGGATTGAACCCGGGACCTCATACATGCGAAGCATGCGCTCTACCACTGAGCTACATCCCCTTAAATAGCTCTCACAGGAAGGTAGTGATATATTTCAATCTATCATCACGTTTTCGTTTTTCTTCCTAAATTTTATCAAAGGTTTTAAATAAAATACGTTTTATTTTTAATGAAATTTCGCTTTTATTAAATGTTTTTTGTTACAGTATCAGTGGTATAATTCACGTAATAAAACGCGTTAAAGCGTTTTCTTGACAAACATGAAATGTATTCCGGAACATTCAATAAACGGAAGTGAATTTAAAAAAACCCATCAAATTGTCTTTTGTAAAAATTGGAACATACAGAATAGTAAATTAAAACAAATATTAAAAACATAAAAACATATGTTACAATCACACAAGTCAAGTCTTAGACAAACATTTAAATGCATATTTGACAGCTTCATCCATAAAAAAATCCTTCTCACCCTGATGTAGCACTAAGACCCTAAGCCAGGATGAGGCTATGTCCCTGATTGACAACTTTCAGGATGATATTGGTATGAAGGGAAAGTAGGGGTGGGGCGGGGGTTGGCTACTACAAACAAACTAGAACAATCTCAACAGCCACTTGAAACAAAAACCTCAATATATTTTCTCAATTCCGTTTGAAACTAGATTTCTTGAATTCCAATTTGTATTTCCTGAATTGTGCTTTCACAGCGCAGTCACATCACCACCCATTCCCTCTCCTCTCCCCTCTTCAGACCAGATGGCACTACCTGAGAACTGCTTCAGGTTTATCAACAGTCCAGTCCCTCCGCTTGCATCCGCCTTAGCCTGCTCTACTTCCGCTTTCTCCTGATTTTCCTCCCTTTCCTCCCCAGTCTCGTCCTTCTCCTCCGGCTCCTTCAGAAGCCTGTCCTGATCCCCTGCCTCTGAACTGTCCAAACTTGAGTTGTCACCACTTTTTTCCTTTGCGTTGCCACTCTGGTCCGTGCTATCTCCCTCCACCTCGTCTTCTTTTTCCTCCTCATTTGTCTCGACCCCCTCGCTGTCACCGTCTTCCACCTGTCCCTCTTCGACCCTCTCCATCTCTTCTCCCACTTCATCACCCCGAGGCCACAGCTGGATCCCAAGGCTTGACTCCACGGCAAATACTGCACCTCTCGCCCGGTCCCGCAACCCTCCTTCTTTGTACACCAACCGATGGACAGTATATTCATTATTTGCCTCCCGATTCAACTTCTTGTATAGGAATATGAGCAGAACGACAAGAACTAGTAGGATGACAAAAAGGGTTGTCACAGTCCCAGGGGAACCCATTCCTGAAAAGAGTAGAGACAAGTGGTCAATTCTATTGGCAATTTGAGTTATTTCAACTGACGATTGAAGTTACTTTTTTAAAGTTGTTATAATAGTTATAAATAATCCAAATTAGAACAAGTAAACCCGCCAGCTAGAATCCATTATTGCTGAGGCTTTAAACTCAAGCCTGTCTCAGTTTATCAGAGAGCTTTTGGCCCGCATTGCCGAAATATTTCAGTGGTAACAGTCCTGGAAAAATTAATCAAAATTATTTTTTTAATGGTAATGTTTACGTGAATATATATATCCATATATATTTCAATCTTCATAAACTGGCATTGATGGAAAAGTTACATCAGATATGTAAAAACTTTTTGAAGTTTTTGAAGAAATTTGGCGCTTACTAGTCATATCGTGCTCTTCTTGTTACAGTCATTTGAAAATGACAGGTCACATGACAATAAAGTTGCATGGTTGCTTGGTTAGGTGTGAGCAAGTATGTTATGACTCACTGGAGTCAACACAGGTCATTATATTAAAATTTGATCAAAGCTTTTCTTCATTTTATGCCTAAAAAGTCAGTAAATCCAACCAAAACTCATTTTTAATTAAATGGGCTTTGCCTTTGGATATGAATGACACTTTGATTTAAAGATCGTGATCTAAGTTTCAATTTGGTTAATTCATTCCCTTAAAACAATATGCTATGGGTGTACTATTCTGAGTTCAGTATTGAATAGAAAAGTGCTGTACCTCTTCAGAAAATCCCAAAATGTGTGCAAAAATTGCAAAGAAAAAAAAAGTCTGAATGGTTTTGTGCCTTCAGTCTTCACAGCCAAATTTAAAAACTCCTTCGCTTTTTTTAACGGAGCAAGTAAACCTCAGAAAATCCAAAAATCCATTGGTGCATTTAAATTCAGGACCTAAGGAAAAAAACATATAGCAATATAACAAACTTAAAATCCACTATCTGAACCAACTTGATGTCAATAGAAAATGACAAAATTAAGATAAAATCATTTAAAAAACACATGAATGGTTGATCATTGCTATTTTAACGGAGACTAAATATATTTACAAGAGTAGAGAAGGAATATACATACATGAGATGTCTGCTCTGCCTTGCCGCGCAAAATTACAAGCCGTGTGTGATGACAGGAAGCTCAGCAGACTGCTAGCACCACTGCAGGTTTCCTGTGATAATTGAACGGCCTCAGTCAGTCTTGCATGACAGGAAACTTTTTGGTGGCTCATGACAGAGAGCTATAATATCAAATATAAGATCGAATATTATATTATAGATAAGAGTGAGAGTGCACTTAAGCTAAACAAAGTGGAGCGTGAAATTAAAACGCTTTTTAGATTTGCAAAACACTTTAGATCGATGGTGTTAAAACAATGTCAGCTGTCCAGGAGAGCAGAGCCAAAAACGTACAAAACTAGTGACAAACAAATTAGGGAAGTTGATATTTATCAAACTTACCGAAATTGTAGGGAGGTTTGGGGAGCCAAAATGAGAAAGGTGGTTAGAGGCAGACGGAGGCTGTGTTTGAGCTGCATGCGTGAAGAAGTTGCAGAGAAGAAGAGAATGGGGGGCGATGCAGGAGATGTGGTTAAAAAAAAGCTTTCTGAAACCTTCTGAGGTATGTGGAGGTGCAGATTAAAAGACCAACTGCAGCAGGAACTTACTGTTGCAGCAGGGTGTGGCGAGAGCAAAGATAAGAAAAGGCACAATTATATATAGAAAGAGGAACAGACATTTGAATTTTAATCCTCAACATAACTCCATACTTTAGGTTTCCACACAGTTGCTGATGGTGTCATAATGACATCAGGATTAAAATAACTTCACCCAATCCAGATATAGTTAGTCATATTTTGACTCCAGTGTGTAAGAATCTCCGCATCAAGCACTTTATTTTTGCCAAACAGCAGGAATCTAGTCACCCTGAACGACCCACCGCTCAAACCGTGACCAAAAGCCCGGCTTTAACAAAGCTCTTACAGCAGATGCTATTCTTTCACCCCTCAGAAACGCATCACGTTCAGATGATGAGGCCTGTGTGAGAGCGCTGTCAGCCACATCCTGTTTGCGCTCGGCTGGCCGGGCTGACAGCTGCTGCAGTAGGCGAAGACGGCACAGCCAAATCTCTACTGTACATGTAGGCTTTCAGACGGGGGTGTCTTGGTTTGCCTCAGAGACAAAGGACGGGCTATTCATATTCTAACTTACCTTGTAAGGCTAAAAGAAGAAAGAGTGGTGATTTTCTTCCTTTGCAAAAAAATCTATCTTATTTGAAAGGTTTTTTTCATCGATCTACTGTGTCTCCCTCAATGCATGTTTATATATACGTGTGTGCATGCACAAAAGACCCCGGGGCTGCAGGTTTGCGAGCTTTCGGTTAGGCCAAAGCCTCCAAAGGCTCCAAAGAGACGTATGGCCACAGACTTCTGCATCATTCAGACCTGCTTCAAAACCTCTCCCCTACAGATGTTCACACTTCAGAGGCAGGACGGAAAAGTTGCCGTTGGTTCCGAATTGGTTTGCACAGTTGGTTGGGTTGACTCTCCGCTTGTCAGACCACAGATTATTCATATAAATTTTTAGTTTCTTACAAATCTTAGAATCAAATGTGAATGGAGCTTTCTGATACAGGCCAGACTTTATCCTGTCGTACCTTTTTCTACTCACCTTATTTACACTTAAATAATTCATTTAACTGGACACTAGTCAGACAGGCTAGACTTTTAAAAGAGTAGAGAGAAGACAATTTAACTTTAAAATATAACAAATCCTGTGTGTTTGTGCGTGCATCAATTCAACAAACTTGAACATAGTTTTGCAAAAAAAATTTTTGATTTGTACTTAAACACCTCACTGTGAGAAGATAAATATATATAGAGAAAAAAGGCTGTGTAATAAAAAGTAGCAATTAATGTTTAATGAGTCTTCACAATGTAGTCTCATTGAACCTGCTGCAGGTTTTACAGTTAGTGTTCAGAGGTCAGTGCATACACAATGGAAGTAACAAAGGATTCATCTGGATGTGGAATGAACAGTGCCATTGTTTTGCTACAACTCAGGTACATACTGTACATAACAAATAAGGACACAATACTGTCAAAAACATGAAATCAAGAGTAAAAATCATTAGTGCTTTCCGTCTTTTACACCTACTCCGACACCATAGGGAACTATAAATTGTGTCACTTTTCTGTCTAACTTCCTTTTTCTGGCGGCTGCAGACACTTAAAAAAAGATGCAAAGACTTTTAGAGTTTTACTGACGCTCTCGAGTATCAAATTTCTTTTTTTATGGGGGAGGGGGGGGACCCTTTCCACACGAGACAGAATTAAAACGAAAGGAAATAAAAAGTGTTTGATTACAACACGTTCAAATGCCTTTACAGAGTCACTTTTTAAAAAAATATTCAACTACATTCTCATCACTTATCACTCCCACTGTTTTCACAGCGAGCTCTGATTTGTGTTGCAGGAGATTTTCTACTCAACACAGCGACCTACGAAGAAGAATGAAAACAAAGCACAAGTCACAAGTGAACGGGATATGACGTCACAGTTTAGCAGCTCAAACTACCTGATTAAATAGCCCTACTGGTTATATTGGTGAGATTTTAAGAGAGAGTGGTGAAAAGGAGATACTTAACTGCTTTGCTATATTATGTCAACCTTCATTAGATTTAATAGATGCTAAGCTCTTTTTTTTTTGCATTGGTCTGAGGCAGTGCTGTTACTGTAACTCCTTTAAAAATCAAGCATTGTGCAAGCCAATTTGCAACACGCAAAATGGTTTGCATGCTTTTGCAAAACCATTAACTGACAGTTAGCGTTTCCTTCATATGAAAAACAAACTTATTCGCTGCAAGGGGGACACCCAATTTTTCAACCACAACCTGGAAAGCCATCTCCAAATCGAGTTGTGATCTCGATCACGGCAGCTGATGGAGATCTGAGCCGTTTGGGATTTTCCTGGTTAGCCGCTACACTACATTCTTCCACTCGCACAGCTTAAAGGTACAGTTGACTCTAGTAAGGCTACGGTCTATTGGTTTACAGGTAATGCTGTCCGAATGCAGTGACCCTCCCGCGTCTTCATACGTCGCCGTCTTCGATCCGGGCCAGCTGCCTCTCCAGCAGCTCGATCCTCTGGTTCTGGGCCAGGACCACGGCCCGCAACGCCTTCATTTCTGCCAACAGCTCGGTCAGCATCTCATCCTGAGGGGAGAGAGAAACAACAACTCAAACGGCAGCTCTAAAGAGGAGAAAACAGAGGCAGGATTAACATCTGTGGGAGCTCAACCCACCTCTCTCCTCGGCCTCTCGCCAGTCCCATCCGTCTCTTTTGAAGCCGCTCGCTGTTGTGGCGTTTCCTCCTCCATCTCCTTGGTAGGCGCATTCCCCGCGGTAGGCGGAGAGGCCCCGGCACCCGAGTCCTGAGAGGCCAGCTTGGGCTTGCCTCTGAGGGTGTCTCTCTGTTTGGACGGGGGAGCCGTGTAGCCGCCGCTCAGAGACACCAGCAGCGGGGGGGCGTCCTGCCCCGCGATCCATTCGTCGGCCAGCAGCGCCGGCTCCAGGCCCGCCGTGTCCGGGTACAGGTCCCCCTGGAACAGGTCTGACTGGGGAGCCAAGCAGAGACGTGTGAGGAGGGAACTGTCAGCTTTTGTGTTATTCTGAATCAGCTTTTACAGACTGATACTGAAAATATTCTTCTGTCACTGGCAGTGTGAGACTTACCTTTCGTGGTACGGTCATCGAAATGGGTTCCACTTTCCTTTCATGCAGTTTAAAGAACCTGAAGGGTGCAAAGTCAGTGTGAAAACTGCAGTTTACGTCAAACTGGGCAAATCTACAGGACTTTGTTTCATCCAAGGTGGCTTAATGCTAAAGGTCCGCAAAAATCTGCTGACAGCAGGGTCTAAAATCAACTGACGATATCAGCCTTTATCTGTTAAGGACACTGAATGGATCTTGTGTTTCACACAGCGTACAACACAGAAGGAAGCCGTTTCCTGGTCGAACTATATAAACAAAAGCATTCTAACCGCATTATCTACCTCAAGTGACATCTTCACGATTACCACTTCAAGTAAACAGGAAGGTCAAAAATAAACTAAAACAATGAGAAGATAAAAACAGATGAATAACTGGGCAAAAACATTTCCAACAACTAAACTCACTGGGGGGGAAATTGTTTAAAAATAATGTAAATACAACCAAAAATGAATGTTTTGAAGACTATGAAAAAAAGATTGAAAAAATAACTAAAAAGCAGCTTACAGCTTCCTGCTACTTGTTCTTTTTCTGATGGTACTGTCATGACCTTTCGCCTTTACCATGCTAACTGACACCTATAGAGTGTGAGATGGAACGTTTGAGTTCTGTCAGATGTTTGCAGATGTTTCTGAAAATCATTCATCTCAAAGACATTTGAGCAGAGAAACCATGCTCACCTGGCAATCTCGCACTTGTTGACATCTAGCCCTCTTTTACACAGAAAGCCGGCGCCTCTCTGGGGCTCTTTGCTGCTGTACAGACTGAGGAAGTGAACGAAGGGAGATTCGTCCGTCACTTCAAAATATCGGATGGTGCAGTCCCCCTGAACGACGGGAGCACAAAGAAACCCGGTCAAAATCACGCCGTGTATCACGGGCTGACCTCAAGTCTGCCCAGCGCTAGGAAGGCTTTACCTTTCCAACCAGGTAGACCATGTTCGTGTCCGGGTCATAAAAAGGGAGCAGGACTCCATTGCTGGTGTCCATTTCTTGAACGACCATCGGCTCGGAGAGATCTTTCTGCGAGACAAAGTGCAGTTATTGGAACGGGCTAACGGGCCGAACGGTGGGGGCAAAGCCCGGGGCGTGGCTGAGACTCACCGTGTCCCACAGAGACACCTGCCTCTCGCTCATGCGGCTGAAGCCCGTGGTGAGGATCTTCCCGTCGGACAGGAACACGGCTCTCATGGGCCGCGTGCCTTCGTGCACCTTCTCTCTGACCTAGGAGAAAGATGACAGGCCGGTGAAGGGGCTGCAGCCTTTTGCCGGCCGCCCCGCACTCGTCTGCGCTGGGTACCTTGAGGACGGAGCCCCTCCGGGGGTCGACCACGCGCAGGGCCTTGTCCTTGCACACGGTGCAGATGGCGCTGCCGTCCTTGTTCCAGCACACGCTGTAGATCAGGTCCGGGTGGATGTCGCCGAGCTGGTACACCAGCTCCCCCGTGCCCACGTTCCACACGCAGATCACGTTGTCACAGCCTGGGGCAGAGAGCGAGCAGCGGCTCATCAGGAGGCAAAGCCCCAAACAGGCTCTGCTCCTGTGGACTGAGCCATTCTGAGCAGGGATAAGGACACGAGTGCACTTTATGAATCAATAACGCCCTTTTAAGTGGCGTCGCGAGTGGAGATGCACTTTGCCGTGCACGGGTTTGCAGATAATGGTAGGGAGTTCCTCCTGACTCGACAAAAAGGCCTACTGAAGTCAGAAATCATCTACCATCAACATGCCTCACTCATGCGAGGCTGAAAACGGGGCTGTGTGAACATCACCAACTAACGGAAGTGAAAGCTAACAGTGTCCGGAGCTCATATTTGTATTATGTTGCAGTGTTCAACCTGGTTGTTATCGAACACCAACTTAACCACGTGAGAAATTCAACTCTCACTTTTTGGTTAGACGTTTGTGTGAATCTATATCTGTGTCACTTTCCCCGCTCGGGTCACCGTACATGTTGTCTAATATTAGAGAAACAGGGCATCTTTAGAAATGAGAGAAAAAGCAACTAATAAAAAATCAATTAAATGAAAAATTTTGAAAGCATAGGGATTCCATATTTTTATACGTGAAAAAACGTCTGGTAAATTTCCGATAAACAAACTGTTGGGTATGCAGAACGCGGGTCTTTGCCGTCGCTCAAACCCAAACCTGACCGTCCAGGTTGTTTCCACACAGGGAATCAAACAGGCTGACCGGTGACCTCACCTGCAGTCAGAAGGATGTTGAAGGCGCTTGGGTGCCAGGCCAGGATTCCCACCCGTTTACTGTGTCCCTCCAGGGTCAAAATGGCGTCCGTCATTGGACCGGTGAGCCCCCCGTCTGGGATGTGCCACACCTTCAAACAACAGGCAGCACAGAGGATGCACGGCAGTCAGGTCGCAGTTACAGCTGGCTAAAAAAACTCTGAAACTAGCCTTTAGTCTGGCTGTTGAATTTGACCACAAGCAGGCCTTAGTCTTTTGCATTACCACTGAGGTCAGGAGTACAAGGTAGATTAAGCAAATGAGGTGTGCTGAAATGTGAAGCCTCGTCAGGATGGCAGCACAAGAAGCGAGCTTTGGTTATATTAACCAGAAAACCTGTTCATGTTAGTCCCTCTGGGAGTTTTGATCATTTTCATTGGCCTTTGCAGTAGCAAGTAGCCCACGATAATTGGTTTAGATTTGACAAAAAAGTGCCGATCAATGTCAAAACTGATTTTTACCCATTAAATATCAAGCTTGAGCATTTTGGATGGCCTGTGTTACCAAACCAAATCAGACCGAGAGTCCAGATCAGAGAGTAAATCAGGTGAAAACACCCGATATACTCGTCTGTGGTCATCTGTGGTCTGAGGTGAGATGAGTAAACCAGCTTCCCACTCCACTGATAAGAGGGTGCTATGTGGGCAGCAGCGTTGACCTGCCTTCACTGTGCAGTCCTCTGAGGCACTTGCAATGATGTTGTCGTCATGAGGGGACCACTGGATGTCCAGCACCGGGGCAGCATGTCCGCAGACCGTGGGGGAGGACTGGTCAATGCGGCCGCTCTGTGGAAGGACACACAGAGCTCACACCCTCTGGCTGCGGACGGCACTTTGTTCCACATGCGTTAGACATTGCAAAATATTGATCCACTGATCATCCGACGCTCACGGTGAGGCGGCGGCCCGAACCTTGCTGATGGGGACGACGAGGAAGGCTCCTCCTCCACCTGCTTCTATGATAACGGCGATGAACTTGGGGTTGACCGCACAGAGGGAGCTGTCCCACGTCACCCGGGACACTCGGACATCGTCGATGCAGTGCTCGGACTTCCAGGCCTGTGCGAACACGTGCCGGAATTTGCTCTGCCTGACCACACCTCTTCGGAAAGACATATCTGGAGAGAGGTTAAAAAAAGATACAACAATTATTAAACATTATGAACACTGTAAATGAAAAAATGTCAAAATAATACAATATAGAAAATTATCTTGAGATGATCTTATCTTGAGAGAATAGCATGATTTAAAATGTATATATTTTTATGAGCATTAAATGGCTAAATAGAAAAAACTAACTAACTTCTGCACCACTTTTGCTAAGCACTAAAGTCCTGTTCTTAAATATTCTATTTGATTCATCCAGATAATGTTAAGTATGCAAGATCAAATTCTAAAAAAATATTGGATTAAGTCAAAGTTTATTAGTGCATTGCTAGCATCAGTTCACATTTTCTGAGGGAAAAGGGAGGGAGTAAAAAAAAAAAACAATGGTTCAGACTGGGAGAGTGTCCTGAAAATGAGAGACAGGCTTCAGTGGACAAAAGGGCACGATCTGCCCGAAACCAAAACATGCCGAGGCAGCGAGGGGGAGGGGGGGGGTTGGGCAGTCTGGGGCCGGAGGGCCACTGTAACTCTAGATCTGCATCTACACCAGCCTTCACAGTTGTCAAAGCAAAATGTTGCATCCCGGCGGAAGCAGGGGTACAAGTTGCGAGTCGGGAACAAAAAAAAAAATTGGTCCCAGACCCGCACCCAGGAGGACCCCGACACCCCAAACCCTATAGGTCCGTGATGCTGCCGGGAGAATTCCTGCACATTCCCGCAGAATAATCCGCATTCCTCCACCATTCGCACCCTTTGGATTTTTCTTTTGTTGTCCGCTCACAATGAGAGGAATGGATACACCAACTGGCTTGACTACGCGAATGAGCGATTAAAGATGGACGATGCAGAGCAGCTCGCAACACAAAACAGCAATTTTTCCAGCGACAACATACCTGTTTTTTTTTTTTGGAGCGACCTGCCTTAATTGGGGAAAAGGATCACCAGAGACGCGGGCGTGACAGCAGGCCAATAAAATAATCCACCGCCACAAGCAGTAACTTAATCCCCCTCCTGCGTGCAGGCAGGCGTTCACGCGCAATGCGCAGGCTTCCAGCAAAAATATGGATATCAAAGATCAAAGAGCCTTTTCTTAATGAGTTTAATTATTAAACGTTTGGTTTATTCCCGGCCGACCTCCTCTTGGCTTCGGAGCAATTGCGCATGTCTCTTGCAGTTAAAGCCTAACCTGACGGCGCATGTCGCGCGCTAATAACGCCACCCAAAAAAAAAAAAAATGGAGCCCAGCAGAGGAGAAGACCGGAGCCCGACGACCGCCGACGGTTTGGGAAGAGATGCTGCTGCTGTCCGCCTCGGCTCCCTGTACGGGCGGCTCTATTGGGAGCGATGGATTGAGCTGAATCCCAGACACTTCCGGTCGCGACAGGATGTGTCAAAGATGCAAAGAGGACAAGATGGATATCACCTTTTTCTCCTCCGAACCCTATTTGGCATGCCGGGATATGTGTTCCAACCTGCCACAAACAGCAACGAAAAAACATTATGAAAATGGTACATTTGCTACTAATACTAAATACAAAATCAAATACATACTGATATTATGTCACTGAATAAATAAAACGAAGGAGGTAGCACAATTGCAATTTGCATATAAATTAAATCTGTTAGATAAATTCGTCGAAACGATATTTTAAGACAGTCACCTACAAACAGTTTGAATTAGGGAAGATTTAATCGTTTTTTCTTTTTCAAATGACTATTGATAAATAAAAACCAACACACCGTGCATCGTTGTCTGGACGTTCCCTCTCTAGAGGCCCCTCACCGTGACTCTTGAGCCCCATCTTGTGACTAATGTGCAGCGGGTACAAAGTGAATTACTTTTTACAGACCGTTATCTAGAAATTAATAAAGTATACAGTGGAGTTGTTCACGTCATTAACAACTCAAGACAACATATAAAAACATATGTACATATATGTATGTAACACAGTTTATATACCTTACGTGACACCTTGTCAACAGGTGGCTCCGTGGCGCAATGGATAGCGCATTGGACTTCTAGGCAGATGCGAAGGGATTCAAAGGTTGTGGGTTCGAGTCCCACCGGAGTCGCATTTTGTAACTTCGCGATGTAATAATCACTACACTTAAAACTTTGATTACATATTATTTAGAGATGGCTACCTATGATATGTTACATAAATGTATTATTGTTCAAAGTTTTCATAAAAGGATAGTGTTATCGTTTCTATCGCACTATTAAAACAACAAATAAAGCAGATACTGTCAGGATCTCTAATCAACGTCTACAATAATATTATTTGTCAAACACGTAACAGCACCATACAATATGTTATCACATTGGAAACTATACACCGGTTTCGACCGGTAAAGTGTAGAGTCCAACAAGTTTGATGTGGCCAATCGTAACTCAAGGCAGATCGCCTTAGCTGAGTTTCCACACGGGATCCAATCGTGTTGCACCGGATGTACCTTACGAGCTAATGTTAGGCTAGTTAGATGTAGCCAGTTAGCTTTAGGTATTTGTCAACTTGGGCAGATGTAGACTAAACATTGCAATTGAGATATAGTGGTAGTACGCTTCTTTATTTTTCAAACACGTTACAATATTCAGTGACGGCTTTATTTTACCCATTCGCGTTAGCTAGATAGCTGTATCAGCTTTCTCAGCTAAGTGCTGTAGCGTATGGGTGTCATAGTTAGCAGTGACTTCATCTGCTGTCTGGTTTCCTCATCTCGCATTTTGGACACGTCAAGGTAAACACTTAGCTATAAGCTAATTTGAATGCTAGCTAGTGAGCTAATGACTATTCAGTGGGGCATCTTACCTTCAGTTCTTTAGTCAACTGACAAAACTTTGAGCAAAGAGGGCAGTTTATGCTTCTTCGCTTTAGCTCTTATAAGCAATGAGTTGTTATTACATCAATCTGAAGTTTTTCTGCTGTCAGTCTTGGTTAGCTCTTGCTGTCAGGCTCGTCAGGACGTTAAACACCTCATCAGGACTGTTTATTATCCTGTTCCTACTCTTATTATTGTCACATTTCCCTCATATTTATGAATGGGTCTGTTTTTATATCGCTCTTTAAACGGTAATCAAAATGCCAGTTATCAAAATGTTCAATGAGCAGAAAATTGTTGTGGTCATGAGGGCTTGACTACATTAATATATTATATATATTACCCCAGTCCTTAACAAATAAAGATCGAAATTGAAAGATTAACGTTATTTTTTCCAGCATGTAGACAGTTAATGATTGCACAATTGACCTTTGACCCCCTCTGCCAACTACATTGAAACTTACTTTAGCTTCCAGGACGCTTACAAATATTGTACATTCAAAACATTTCACAAAACTTGAATTTACATGAAAATGTCTCCCCTTGTCCAACTAGGATAATTTTTTATTCATAATGTGTCTGTGAGGTGATTGATAGACACATTTACTTTTTGTTTCTTAAAAAAAAATCCTTTTAAGAGAAAAATAGGTCTCTCCGGAAAAAAACCCATCACATCACATCCTAATTTCAACGATTTGTCACTTTACTTTCAAGGTTCCTCAAATCTGTATCTTGATCATCCGGGGGGTGTGATGACAGAACCCAAGACCCCCACTTCCACCCCTGCTGGCGACACATACAAAGGATGGGTCTTCAAATGGACTAATTACATCAAGGGTTATCAGCGGAGGTGGTTTGTCCTGAGCAATGGGCTTTTGTCATACTACAGGTTTGTTTCCCGTTCAAAGGCAGATAATAGTAAAGAGACATGACCTTTGGTTTTACAAACCAAAGGTGACAGCATGATGGTTTAAGGGCACATTTGGTTTTTTGGAAGAAAAAGAAATCTAAGTGGAGCTTCTCTGATTATTAGGACCCAGGCAGAGATGGGTCACACTTGTCGGGGCACAATCAATTTGGCCACAGCAACTATCACTGTGGATGACGCATGCAACTTTGTCATCTCCAATGGCGGCGCTCAGACATATCACCTCAAGGCCAGCTGTGAGGTGGAACGTCAGCGATGGATCACTGCTCTAGAGCTGGCTAAAGCCAAAGCGGCCCGCATGCAGGCTGAGTCAGGTAAAACAGATCCTACCCACAGAGTAGGGGGACAAAAACACGCTGCGTGTGCACTGTCTGCTTCACAAAAAATCTGTTGATTTTATTGTTTTAATCACCAGAAGGAAGTGAGTTTATCGGATGTGCTTCCTTGAAATATTTTTTCAGCCCTGTTATCTTTTTCTTTCCTTCTGGCTTTGCTCTAAATAAACAGACGACTCGGGGGATGACTTTTCTCCAACAACGGCCCCCGGGCAAGGTGGGGGGTCGCAAAATTCAGAAGTCCAGTCTGCTCTCAGAACTCTGGGCAGCAAGGTGGAGGATCTCAGCACGTGCAATGATCTGATCTCAAAGCATGGCTCTGCCCTCCAGAGGTCAGACTTGCACAGTTTATTGCATTTTTGGGAACAGTCTAATATATGATTCTGATCTTTGTGCTAATCTGTGATGTTGATTTGATATTGTCTTAGCTATTTATTCATATCCTACATTTTGATATTCATTTCAGGTCACTATCTGAACTGGACAGTTTACGTCTGACCGGGGAGGCCGGTGATAAGATCCGCCAGGTTACAGAAAGGGCCACATTGTTCCGTATCACCTCGAACGCCATGATTAATGTAAGCACAACTTCCTTACTCGGTATATCTCTTTGCAGGTTAAATGTACTGGTTAGAGCTGCTTGCACTTCACGGCTCGTTGATATTTTACATTTTTGTTATCTGGTTGCCCTCAGGCGTGCAGGGACTTCCTCACCCTGGCTCAGGCTCACAGCAAGCGATGGCAGAAAGCCTTGCAGGCAGAACGGGATCAGAGGGTGAGGCTGGAAGAGACTCTGGAGCAGCTGGCTAAGCAACACAATCACCTGGAGCGGGCGTTCAGAGGGGCCGCGCAGGCTAACGCTAGCTCTGATAACAAAAGTAAGTTGGAACACCAAATCATCACAACCATTTTAGTAGCCAGAGCGCCAGTGAGTCACTTTCTGGTAGAATAATGGTTACTGTTTGCAGGATTTCCCCCAAAGGTTTATCAATCTGTTATAGAGATATTTAACCAATGTTTGTTTTTAAGGTGCTTCTGGGCCTGGAAAAGGCGAGGCCAGTGATGAAGACGATGACAATGAGTTTTTTGATGCCATGGAGGAGGCTCCAGAGTTTATTACTGTACCTGCAGACCCACAGTTCCACAAGTCAGTTTTACCCCTTTGGCCCTTATTTATCCATCAAACCAACATCCTTTTATGACATGGCAGTATGTTGTGTCTCTGTGTTTCCTTTATTTCTTAAAATAACTGTTTAGCCAATATTTTGTTTTTGCTTTTTAGTTGTAAATGATAATAGCTTTATCCAGAAACTCTTAAGACACTGATGATATGTTGAATATTTGTATTATTCCTATCAGAAGGTCCAGCAGTAATGCCAGCGGTCTCAACAGTGAAATGTGTCCAGATGATCAGTCGGTAGGTCCCATTGCTGCCAGTTTAATTAATTTCTAAAGTAAAGGATTGTCTCGAGTTGCTTTGTGGTTTAAATACCCAGTTATGGAAAGATTTTGGGTGGGTGGGATTGTTCCAATCAGACACGATGAAAGCAGAAACCTGCTGTTTTTTTTCTTGGAACTTTAAGGATGTTTATTGATTAAACGTTTTTGGCTTTAGCTTAACGAGGAGCCTCTGGCAATGAACCAGGAGTCTCCCTCTCAGGAGCTGATTCCCCTGAAAAAGAGACGGACGCGCATCCCAGACAAGCCCAACTACTCTCTTAACCTTTGGAGTATCATGAAGAACTGCATCGGTAAAGAGCTGTCCAAGATCCCAATGCCTGTGAGTATTTATAGCCGAAGTTTTAGAGCTATAAAAGAAAAAAACACGCCTCCAGCATTCACCTCTCAAAGCTGTGGAAAACATATTTTTGTTGCCATAACAAAAGATCCTGTATTATTATATTATATACTGTATACTGTATTATAATATTATAATCTCAACTTTTTTTAGACTTGGAAAAACCCTCAGACTTACCTCATCTTTCTTAATGCTGGATGAAATAGATTCACTTCTAAAAGAAGAATGAGACCATGAGCCGTAATGAAATATGGCGCAACATCTTAAAAAACACATCTATATTCTCCACACTGTTGATCACTCCAAGAGCCCAAAGGACATTAGTCTCACTTGTCAGGTTGCCACTTGTCAACTATTAATTAACTCTTTAAATGCCTTTTCAGCAAGAAGACCCAAAAAAAAATATCAGATCTAATCTGAAATGCAAACAATGGACAATTTAAAAAGTTTTAGAACAAAAATAAAACCTGTAAAATGTGAACAATTACAGTTGCATTTAATTATCATGTAATACACTTAATATGTGCTCTATAGTAGATTAAAGCTCAGGTATGCTGTCAGTTGGCCTTCTCAAGTCTCGCTTTTGTAACCTCTGACAAGCTAATCGCTTAAATCACAAATCAGGATATTTTTAACCGCAGCGTCATTTTGAAATTATGCTATCATTGTGAGAATGATCATAGCAGTTCCAGCAAACCGGTCCAGCGACATTCAGTTCTAGTTTTTCTCACGTTCAGGTGGAGGAACCGGTTACTAAGGTATGCTTAAATGGCCACATAACTGAGATCCGTATTGTAGATTTCTGTCATGCATTTTTAAAAGGTACAAAAAAAAAGCGAACCATCTTAGCTGGTACAGTGAAAGGATTCTTTTTTGCATAATTTGTCTTTCTTCGACTTCAGGAAATCCCTTAAAGTTAATATTCCACTTTGTACTGCGCTGTTTGTAGAGATAGTCAAACACCAGATTATTGAAGGTTTCTTTGACTCTCTAATGCATGTGCTGGTTTCACCTTAACCTTCAGTCTGAAGCAGCAGAGCAGCAAATATACCATTGATTCTTGAGCTGTCATTGAATAAATTCTTTTGATTTGACTTCTAAGGCTGACTTTGTTCCAGTAACTCCCTTTTTATTTGCTCTTTGTTTGGTCTTCCAAACAGAGGTCACAATGACTGCTTAGGGCAGGGCAAATCTCACTTCTGTTCACCATAAACAACAATCCCACAGTGCTGGTGAAAGCCTCTCTTTATAATACTGTAATAACAATCAAATACAAATCTAATCTGGGCTCTCTTTTATGTATGGAGCAGGGTTTCTATTAGCTGAGGCCTCATTGCGTTCCTCACTTGTAATAGACTTTGGATAAATGTGAAAACTGACTGATGGTAAATGAAAATAATACAAGCTGAAAGGTTTCTCTTGATAACCTTATCTCGTATTATATGTTCTTCAGCTTTACTGCCTGTCCTCATTTTGATCTCTCGGATTTTGCATTTGGTTATTTCAGTGCAGAGAATAACTAAAGATGATAATAGTAATCTTTTTTTTTTTTTTTTTGTTTCTGAATTCGAGGTGAACTTCAACGAGCCGATATCCATGCTGCAGCGCCTGTCGGAGGACCTGGAATATCACGAGTTGCTGGATAAAGCTGCTAAATGTCACAGCTCTCTGGAGCAGATGTGCTACGTGGCGGCCTTCTGCGTGTCCGCCTACTCGACCACCGTCTATCGCACGGGAAAGCCCTTCAACCCTCTGCTGGGGGAGACGTACGAGCTGGATCGCAGGAGAGAGAGCGGCTACCGCTCCCTCTGCGAGCAGGTGAGAAGAAACGAGGACAAACTGTTCGGGGCTCTCAGCCTGGGACTGGGATGTGGGAGAAAATAGCTTAAAATGGCTTCAAAATTAGTTAAACCCTTTTGGCCTCCATTTTTGTCAGGCGTGCAGACAAATCTGCTGAGTTATCAGTAGAATTCACAAAAAGAATTGTTGGTGATTTTGTTTTAAATTTTAAATGTCAATGTTGTTTTGGGCATTTTGTTAACAAACAAAAATAAATGAATAAACCTTCTCATTTGGATGTTTCAAAGGGTTTTTTTCATCAGAGGCTTGCAGAGTTGAGTGTTGAAGGCTCCCCATCTGCTGGAAAATATTAGATGTTTTTACAGTATAATTAGAATATAATATCATATTGTTAAAATGAAGAGATAGTCTGCAGGCCGGGGATTTCACAAGCCGGAGATCTTTAAAGGAATTTGTTTCCGGCATTGATTGTGCGTCACAGCAGAAATTTGGAAAATCTATGAACAATAGCCCCACACCCAATGTGAGTATGTAATTATGTTTTTTCTAACCCAGGTGAGTCATCACCCCCCTGCAGCAGCACATCATGTGCTATCTGATCGTGGTTGGACTCTGAGACAGGAAATCACAGTTGCGAGCAAATTCAGAGGAAAATACCTCTCCATCATGCCTTTAGGTGAGAGACGAGTGACACCTGTGTCATAACGAAAATTCAAATGGATAATTATGGCTCTTTAATGAGTATAAGTTAAGGTGTGGTCTAAAAATTGTGCACTTAAGCATCACGCAGGGCACCACAAGTTTAGGAATGTTTTTCTAAGCGGGCAGAAAAGGATCTGTCACGCATGACCTGTTATTTTATGATAGGTGTGACCATGCTGTGACGGTTATTAACGGCATGCAGATATATTTTTACACCTGACCTTATGTGAATGTTCTGTTTACTCAGGCACAATTCATGCCATCTTTGCAAAGGGCAACAATCACTACACATGGAAGAAAGTTACCACAACAGTGCACAACATCATTGTGGGAAAGCTCTGGATTGACCAGGTGAGAGGGACAGGATCACACTGGGGCCCTGAGAACCAGGGTAGAGTGTGATGTGAAGTCGGCTTTAAAAAAACTTTTCTTTTGAAAAAGATTTCAGCCAGAAGGTATTCAGCAAAACTCAGTGATGAAATGTTTCGAAACATGACTCTGCTACACATTTCTCCATTTGTTGACACAAACAACAAAAAAAAAACTATACACAAATATTTCCCTCCACTTTTCCTCCGGTTTCTCTTTTAGTCCGGAGAGATCGACGTGGTGAACCACACCACAGGAGACCGCTGCCACTTGAAGTTTGCTCCTTACAGCTACTTCTCTCGGGATGTAGCCAGAAAGGTGAGACAGGAGTGGGAACTGGTTTGACTCTTTTTGTCTGTTTTTTTGTCATTGATTAAAGATAAAACTGAGTAGGATTCTTTGATCCCAAACCCCAGATTCTCTTGCTTGTGTTCTCCCTGCTTTTTAGGCTAACAGGTGTTTTATTTCAGCGTTCATTATCTCGCTGCCTCCTTACAAAGCAATCCTCGCCTGATATCGAGGCCCTTATTTCCTCTTCTGTTTTTCAGGTGACCGGCGTGGTGATGGACAAGGATGGAAAGGCTCACTATGTTCTGTCTGGGACCTGGGATGAAAAGATGGAATTCTCCAGAGTGATGCAGAGCAGTCGTGGAGGCGAGAACGGCACAGAAGGCAAACAGAAGACCGTCTATCAAACTCTCAAGGCCAGAGAAGTGTGGAGGAGGAATCCTTTACCGTGAGTACCGTGGCCGCGCCTCATCAGAGGTCATTAAAGCAGAATGTTTACCACAGATTTTTTCTTGGCTTTGAATCAAGAGTTATGCTAAGTGCCAAGTTCCTGCTTAGATTGCCAGATTTTTCGTGAAACTAGAACAGCAAAACCACAACGATGCAGAGAAAAATGCTTTAATGATAAACAGTTCACTGTCTGTCCGTCGGCATGTTTCAGAAGCTCTGTGGCCATCCGACCCTTCATTTATGCTTTTGGTGGTTTAGGAAGGTTCATTCAGTGCTGGAATTTCGTGACAAAATGTTTCTGAAATTCTCCCCGTGAAATTTCTCCTCTTGTGTCTTTGCGCTCAGCGAGGGAGCAGACACCATGTACTACTTCACCTCCCTGGCCCTGACCCTGAACGAGCCCGAGGAGGGCGTGGCGCCCACTGACAGCCGGCGCCGGCCGGACCAGCGCCTCATGGAGGACGGGCGCTGGGAAGAAGCCAACGCCGAAAAGCAGCGGCTGGAGGAGAAACAGCGCAGCGCCCGGCGGGAGAGGGAGCGGGAGGCGGCCAGCCAGCGCACGCCCAGCCAATCAGAGGAAGGTGAGAGCCAAGCCTTTCTTTATCTTTGTCACCGTCTCACTTGCATGGGGAAAATCCTTGAATTATGGGGTAAAAAAAAAAAAAAATTTGTGATTCCCCCCCCCCCTCTCTTTTTGTTCTAAAAGCCATCGACGAGGACCCTCTTTCTGATCCTTCCTTGAAAAGCAAGTATTCCTCTTTAATCTCACCGCCTGCCACGTTTTGATGCTTTAATTGGCGTTTGTTCCGTTTGGCTCGCTCTTCCGTATTTTCACGAGCTTCCTCTTTTGCAGGCGCACCTCACGATAACTACAAAGCACTTTGGTTTGAGGACTGCGAGGACCGAATCACCGGCGAGCACATTCACATCTATAAGGGAGGCTACTGGGAAGCCAAGGAGCAAGGCAGCTGGGAAAACTGCCCGGATATATTTTGACCCCGTCAAAAGTGCCCCGAAGAGACTAACCAACATAACTGCCTGCTGGGTGGCTGCTCAAAGCCGTGCTTCTCCCCTAATTGGATGGCTGCTTCTCTCCTGAGGCTCTCTGTTCTAAGAGATCCCCGGGACGGTCGCTGCCTTCTGATTCGCTGGGAGCGCAGTATCTGCCCTGGAGCATCCCATTACGGTTGTTGAGCCTCAACATCTACCCCTTTTGTCGCTGTGACATATCTGAAAGGACTGGAATTAAAAAAGAAAAAAAGTGTCTTTTTAGGTTCTGAATTGGGTCAGCAGAAGGAGGAGGGGATTAAATAAGCAGTGCTTCCAAATCGGGTGTAGACGATTCTCTGCGGAGAGACTCAAACTTGCTATCAGCAAGAGACGTTTGGAGCAGATGGCTTTGTGATAATGTAGTGGTCCCTCTCCATCCACAGTACTGTCCGCTTTGGTAGTAACTCTAAAACAATTGTTTAAAAAAGGAGGATGGGACCTGGTTAATATATACATTCAAAATAATTATGCTTAAAATAATCATTATTAAAATGTCAACTGGTGGCCTTCAAAATATTAGCTAGAAGTTTTTGTTTATCTCTGATTTAGTGTCTTAATGTAATGAAGTGAAGGTTCTAATGTGTTTGTATGACTGTTTATCAGTTCTTCCATCTTTCTTCAACACAGCCAATGTGCTTCACAGAAAAGTCCAGAATACTGGTCAAGCATCCAATGTCCTCTTCTATGGTTTTCATTTATCTTTCCTTTGTGAAGATCTAATGGAAGTAATGGTAAAAATCAGCATCTGGTGATAATACTACAACATTACGTACCTTTGCCTTAAAACTGAGCAATCTGCTCTGCGTTTATTTCACAGAGTGAACAAAAGATTTATCGTCGGCTTTGTGTACAAACCTCTTAAGGAAATTCATGGAAATTGACTTAAATCGCACAAGTAGTATTATTGAATTGCTTGGAATGAAATGGCCCTTTTTCAAAGACATTTTGCCAACAGCGTAACCAAGTTAGTTTGTAACAAAAAATGGTTTTACAAGGTTGAGGCGAGCAAGGAAAAACAAAAGCTGAATTGTGTGGTGAAAACCAACATCACGTCCCTGTGTGTTCTGCTGAGGAGTTCGTACATATGCAAGTACTTTTTGACACCAAAAACATTAATTATAGCGTGTCTGTGCGCGCGTGTGTGAAATTCATCATTTTGTTTGTAAGTGTACTTAAAAATGAAGAATAAAGCAAAGAATTTAAAATCATTGCTAATAACTGATTTTATAAATGTATAGAAATTCATATCATAGAATGGATAACTATTGTAGTTTCTTTTCTTGTATTTTTGGTTCTTGTGATTATTGGAAGAGGGCTGTCTTCATTTTCAGAAAAAAGGGAGTTTAAGTTGTTGACTCAGCAGAGACATGACATTGTTCAGTATTTTGTATTAACAGAAAAACATCTGTAATAAATGCTGTGATGTCCAACAAATGCTGCTTCCTCATGTGATTTTACTAAAATGGGGACCATCTTCAAAACAATAAATCAGTTTATTTAAATATGAATGTTTTTTCAATTAAACTACAGTTTAAATTACAGTTTAAAAAAAGTAAAGAAAATCACCAAATCTTTGATTGGCCCTGAATTGAAAAATCCTGTATTTTCACTATTCTCTATTTTCCCTTTGACATTTATTCACGGAGTCAAAAGGAACAGAGTTGAACCTTAAGAAGGTTTAAGGCCTTTTTTTTCCACATAAGAAACTTTTAATTTTGGATTTGTAGAGTCCACTGCTGAGTTTTTTTATGGGATTTATTTATGTTTTTTGGAGTGTTTTTGAAAAAAAAGTACAATTCAAGATATCCTCCTGTAAAAAATATGTATTTCAATTTGTAGAAGAGTCAATTTAGGTTCCAGTTGTGGTAAAAAATGTAATGGAAAATGGGAGTAGTTGGACTAACAGACGTGTGATGTGACCTGTGCCATGGAACACCAGTAAAGGCGCATTTAGATGCTATTTCATAAGATGTCGGCCTGCTGACTTAAATTTTTCATACCGTTGTCGGCCTCAGTTGAGTGAGCTTGAATACATTTAGCCTTTAATTTCCCCCTGTGCGTCTCTGGCTGTTCTCTCCGCAGAAGGGCTGTTTCTTCCACCGTGTGCATCACAGGCGCCTCTCTTGCTGTGTCATGCCAGCAGATTTACTTTCAGCCAGTTTTTCTGAAAGGCAGACTGGAACCTACCATCCTATACATGGGGCAGAGAGAAACAGGGAGTTGGGGAAAGTTGGGGGAGGGGCTTAGGGTTCGGCTAACCTCACAGCTGTTGTGACCAAAGGAAGGGGACTGATGCACCACATCACACTCAGGACACACCCAGCTCCCGATACCGTGCAGTGCTGTGCGAGAGTTGGTTGAGAGTGCATAACGGGCAGCTACAGTCGGTTCAGAGGGAGGGATGGGGAATGCTGAATCAGTGAATCTGCATGAAAGCCTGGGAGAGGGTGGAAGAGGGTAAACGGCAGGGGGAGGGAAGAGAAAGGTAACGGCCAGGGCAGATTTGGAAAGATGCACGGCACCATTCCTTGTCGTTCACGCCGTCGATTATCCGTGGAACTGAACATTTCATCCTGATTTACTTCCAGATTTCCCCAAAGAGACTTTGAACTGACTTAGATCTCAGTGCTGACTTTGGGAAAAGCTCTTTGATTCGGGTGAAAGTCGGAACTGCCCCTTTACAGTTTTCCAGCAAGCCGGAAAGGTGAGGTAAGATTTGACCAAATCTGTGTCTCTGCTTGTGTTTCAGTAATGTAGTGAAGCTGATCCCTTAACACAGAGAAAAAACCTTTTAGGGAAATCAAACTAGCTTATGCTTACTTAATAAGAGATATCCCAACTGTTCTTCTGTTGTATCTTCCCTTCTGTATGGTCCCACAGGCTGAATCTCTGCTTTACCCAGATCGGATGGAGGCTCTGGAGCTGGTCCGTTTGCCCAGGTTGTCCCGGGTCGCAGTGTGTGGGGGTACCCATGGCAACGAGCTGTCCGGGGTGTACCTGGTGAGAGAGCTTCTGAAGGAGAAGGAGCAACGGACGGAGAAGAGACGGGCTGAGGAGGAACTGGAAGAGCCCGCGTCTCCGCTGATGCTGCTGTCCAACCCCAGAGCCATCCAGCAGTGCCGCCGATACGTGGACACGGACATGAACCGCTGCTTCACCCACGCAGCCCTCAGGTGAGGCCATCAGGGGAGGTCCCATCGCCCTGGGTAACGAGCAGGGTCCTGATGATTGGTCTGTCTCCCAGCGGGCCCTTGTCAGACACGGCTCCCTACGAGGCCGTCCGCTCCCGCGAACTGAACACCGTGCTGGGCCCCAAAGGCAGCCAGAGGGCCGTGGACCTTGTTTGCGATCTCCACAACACCACCTCCAACATGGGCCTGTGCTTCATCGCATACTCCGACAGCGACTGGATCTGTCTTCACATATTCCAGCATCTGCAGGTAGAAAAAGACGCTGCCCCCACACTCAAAGAGCAGAGAAAATGTGGTGAAAGTACCATTTCTGTGGAACCTAAAGAGCAATATTTACATTGTTCTCAAAGGAGGAGTTAGGGCACTGCAACAGCAAAGCTTGAGCCAAAGCGTATCCGAATTTTTCTCGTGTTTTTCCCCTTCACCTTGGTTTCTTAACAGACACCTGCAGTAAAACCAAAGCATTTGATTGTTTTCCACAAATAGCTGCTACTCAAAAGTAGTTTTGCAGCATCTGCTGGACAAAGAATTTACGTTGGTGAGATGATCTGCGTCCAATTCCAAGTCTACAAACTATGAAAATCACAAACCAAAATTAAACAGGTGCTTTACGTGGCACTACCTTACTAAACCAATTCATTATCCCCATTCAAATTGAGTTGCAAAAAAAGTAATTATCATACTTTTTTCAGAGGCAAATCCCGGACATACCAATGAGATTCATCCATTTTGATGTCTCCAGGAAAGAGTCATATTCCCTCGATTCAGTGGGAAAACATGGCTTTGGTGTGTTTTTCTTTCCTTTTTACTCAATACAAAAATACAATACAAGAAAGTCTATCAATGCCTTTGCTTGCTGGGAAATGTCTGCTATGTTTTTCCCGCCCTCTGCAGCCATGGAGATCGGCCCTCAGCCCCACGGCGTGGTGAGGTCAAACGTCTACACGGTGATGAGAGCTGGAGTGCAACACATGCTGGATTGGGTCCACTTTTTTAACTCAGGTACATCTGGTGTGAGGTTGGCAACTGTGCGTTTTTTGCCGGGAGACTCAGAAAGATCAAGTTTTTGGTTGCTTTTGTTTAATTCAAAGATTTTAATGCTTACTTTTTTCCTTTTGAAATGTTTTTTTCTTCCGTCAGGGACTGTATTTAAAGGAGGATTTGTGGACGTGTTCACCATGGTTAAAAACATTGACTACCCAAGAGACAGCCTGACTCACAACATCACAGCCGCCATTCATCCTCTACTCCAGGTACGGTATTATGTTTACGGCCTCGGAATCCAATGACTTAATGGCAGCTTGACCTACTGACCCCGTGTACAACTAACCTTGATTTGGATGAGATTATATACACAGCCGACACAATAAACATAAACCGCCCATCAATAAGGTGCAAGGGGAGTGTTTCATATAAACGAACATCAGTCAAAGGGAAATCTCTTTTGTCCAGATATTAGGACGGCCTTTTGTTAAGGGTGCTTATATGAATCATGAGAAATATTAAGTATATTGTGTCACCCTCAGCTCATTAATGAGATGTTTGTGAGTCAGTGTATGAAACGCTTCCATTATGAATTAAACAGAGGGCGGAACCTTTTTGTGCAACATGAGGGTTGCACCCATGAAGGTGATTAATTCACCTAATATAAATCAGCTGATAAACTTTATGTTTACGTGGGCAGTTTACACAGCTAGTGGACTCCACCTGTAGGTGTAGATTCTTTAACCTGGATCTCCATTAAGTCGAAGAACCTCTCGTGGAGTGTGACACCACAAGAGCAGCAGTTACATAATGGTAAACATAGTACCAAACTTTTTTAAAAATACGTTGCAGCCGTCAAATCCAAACTGAGCTACTAATGATTTCGAAATACAAAAAAATCTCTCTTCCAATGTTTGATATTTAATTGGCTTTTCTATCCAGATGGAAACTTTGTAGATGTTTTCCTTTAACTGCATTCTGTTGGTAAAGATCACAGCATGTGCTCAGTAATACATCTGAATAACAGTATGTAGTTACAATCTATTACTGTATTCCCTCATTTTAGTGAAAACTAAAATAAACAAAACTAAAAAAATATATACAGCACAGCATATATATATAGCACAATTCAGAAAAACTGCAATTTTCCCCGGACCAAATATTGGGGGTTTGGGGCAGCTAAGATGCACCATCAAGCAACATCCCGTGGAAATAAATCCTCAATGTAAACTTCAGCATCTTCATGCTACCTTTGCAAAATGAAAGATATTCCCTTGTTTAGATCTGCTGCCACATGTAGCAGCTCAGACTTTCTAAGGAATTTTCCTAGAAGCGAATAGGAATTAGAACTTTGTGGTTGTTGTCTGTCTCTGCTTCTGGTGTTAAATCCAAAGATATCTGACATTTTTTACTTTCAATCCGTCTGCTTTCTCCTCCCAGGACCGAGACTTTTGCTTGCTCCACCCCGAGGACCCTCTATTCCAGACCTTCTCTGGGGAGACCCTGAGGTACAAAGGCACTGAGCCTCTCTACCCGTTCTTCATCAACGAATGCGCTTACTATGAGAAGGGGATCGCGCTGTCCCTGGCCAGGAAGAGGCGCGTGATGATCCCCGCCATCAGAGTTCAGACGGAAGAGGAGAGGCAAGCCAGGGAGCAGCATTTCACATCGGAGGAGGAGTGAAAGATGATTCCCCGCATGATAAGAATGACTTGAAATAAACTTTAAGAAGGGATTTTATTGAAATGGAGCACTCACACACAAAAAAAAGCTATGCGTACAATGTTTAAACGCTTCAGCATCTCTTTCACTAGAGGATCACTAAATGTCACATTCAGGGAGAGAAGAGTTTCTTCTGTTTCTAAGGTGAATGCATGAAATACGGTCAGATTCTTCCCGACACCTGTCAAACATACCAACAGCGTACGGTGGACTGATATCTACTGATTACATCGTGGGGTGTAGCTCATCTATTTACATGCAGTATGGTTTCATGGCTTCAATGGTGTCTCCCCCAAATTAGTTGAATTACTAGGGTATTTACCTTTTCAAAAAAATAGAAATATGCTACTGACCACTAGAGAAATCTTCAGGATATCTTCAAAATAATCTAAGTGCAAAGGAATACAGTAGCTTATCATAATATGGCCTTTGTAGTACATTCAAAATGCCAAGAAGAGAACAGCAGTTTCCCTTAAAGCCTGTTCCATTGAGCAGTTTCTTTTTCTTTGTTTTACTTCGTCTGATGGCAGTAACAGAAAGGAAGAAGTTCTACATTAAATAAAATGACATGAAACACCAGATGAGAAGGTAAATATACAAAATAAATAAATGAGTCTATGAAGTAAAAGAAAACAGTACTATTCTACAAAACATATCTGTGAAGATATTGCGAATATACATAAGAATAACCCAAAACTTGGTAAACAAAAGCCTGACATTGAAAATAAAATAAATAAGTACATGATCTTCACTAAAAAAAACATTGTAGGAATGAAATTCTTTTCAACCACAATGGAACGCTAAATATGGCTTCATCGTCATTGGCGTCACGTTTTCTGACAGCTGAAGCACAAAAGCAACAAATTGCTTCACAAGAAAAGACCCGAAGGTGTGTTTCTTTTGTAAGCGGACGTGAAAGGCGGAGGTCCGGAACACCTCGGCCTTCCAGAGAAGTGGCAGGGCCTGTCCAACAAAGAGGGGTATTCTTAACCCTGCTCTTGCTTTGGGTGCGATCTGAAGCACAAAGAAAAAAGTCCAGCAGGAGAGGTGCCTCCCAGTTTCACACCACAATCGTCCTTCTTTAAACATTCAACAACCACGCACATTCATTGTGTTAGTAATTGGGGCGAAAGATTATATAACTAACAATCCTCTGGTTTAAAAGCTTTCAGTCTGACATAATGCTAAACTCATGTTATGCATTCATTTACAAAAAAAAATCACATCACAAAGAAATTATTCTTTTGCAAGTATGATGTGCACAGAAAGAGGAGGCAGATATCTTCCTACTGAAGAACTGAGCGGCTTGGAGGCGCTTTTGATATGTTTCACTCGCAAAAGAGTTTGTTTGAGTTTTACTGAGCTGGACGAAATGCTCGGTACCAGCAAAAAGGGGAAAAGGCGCCCACACTTTTCCATCGTATGATTACAGTTTAGTATTACCGATTTGTCTTTGCAGTATGAAACTGGGACACAACTCATTCCCCACTGGTTGGTGGAGAGTTAACAGCAACGATTGATCCAGATTTGTCTAAGGTCCGATTTCAGTTTCAAATGTCCAAAACCATGTCAGATTCCCTAAATTACAGCAACAACAGCCTCTAAACATCACTTCCTCCTCATTTTAGTTTTAAATCTACATCAAATACATACTTTTTTCTTTAAAATTCTATTAAATCTGAATGCTTTTCAAGGCTTTTAATTTAGGATTAGGGGGCGGAGTTTAGTTTCTGAAATAAAAATCTAAATCCAGCTTTTATTTTCCAGCAGCATTTCTGAGCTGAATTGCACACATCTTTCTTGACTGGTTTATCAAAGCATAACCCTGGGGGATATCAGTAAAATAGACAAATGTCTATGTCATTCATAGGGTATGTGCATTTTAATCTATCGGGGGGGGGGGGGAGTGGGATGATGCAGATTAACCCACATCTTGCTCCTCTGACATCATTGTAAAATGCATCTTGGTGTCAGAGTGGGGGATGACGATAAACAGGCTTTGGAGACTCAGGGCTCAGTCTCCGACTACGCCACCCTGTAGGCGGTCATGCGGTAGTAGTTCTGACTGTGGCTGCGCGCCGCCCACACCAGCAGCGCGGCAGCCATCATGTGGAGAGGCGAGGAGATGAGGGCCAGGTAAAGGGACCAGCCCAGGGAGCCGTCCACCCTGTCCGGAAGCATGGACACCCTGTGGAGCAGGTCCATCCCGGCCAGGTAGCAGCACACTGTGGCCAAGGTGCAGAGGCCTGCGGGGCACACAAACAGGAGAGGTCAGAGGGGCTGCCCACCGTCTCCCGACTCACCGTAAAGCAGTCTCTGTGGTACAGACAGGCATATTCCTGCACATTTTACAAATGTAACAAACGCAAATGTCACGTTTTTTATTCATTTAGCGTGATGCAGAAACACTGCGTCTGTCAGAGCTGCAGCTGATGCAGCGCGGTAAGATGCAGACATCAACTTCTTCACGGATTTGGAACGTGACACTTCAAGTCTGCGCTTGTCAGATATATTTAGCATAGTCTTGCCAAAGCATCATCAAGTATGGGAATCATGAATGAAAACAACAAAGAAGCAGGGGGACGGATTACCTAGAAGGACCCCGCATGATTTTGACTGAAAGTGGACTTATTGTGCTAATTTATAATGCCGGGATTTCATTTTTGGCATCATTTTTGCCATAATAAAAAAGAGGTGGAAGCGATCTTACTGGCCAGCAGGTGAAGCATTCCAATTCCCAGCGTTGGAGCCAGGCTTTGGCAGAGGCAGGCACAGAAGCCCGTCAGACCGGCCAAAACCACCAGACCCAGAGATGCCAACGGCAGCAGAAACTGGCACCTCCAAAGATCTGCGCATGCAAAACACAGAAAAAGCCATCTCTGAGACAAGTCGGCGCCATGCCCGGCACCCGCACGTCAAACAGGATCACAGGATTTGTTTTGAGTCTCAGAAGCCGGACTCTGGTGTCGGTAATGAGCTGAAGAGGAGGAGGAAACATACAGGTGCGCAGCATGTCCTCTCCGCTGTTGTGGTTCCCCGGTTCTTTGTATTTAGGCGTGAACTGCTCCAGGAGGGTGAAGCTTCGACACTCCAGCACCAGTTTTGCACCTGAAAGGGTTAAACAGGTTTACACGTCACCAGAGATGTTCAGTGCATTTAGAAAATACAGCAACTGTCTCCCAATACCAGACTTCCACCTCACAAAATCCAGAAAGTGGAACCCCTCCCCCCCACTCCGTCCATTTTTGTGTGAGAGGACGTTTGATAGCAGAGCGGCCGGAGAGCTTTTGAGCCTCCCTTTTTGTTCTCATCTCCCCTTCAGTGATCAACCTCAGCGTTTGAATTCAATAGCAGCCTTTGTGTCATGGGATGAGCACTTGGAGCTGAGGGGGCCATCCCGACTTATCGTGGTCTGACTATTCAAGAAGTCCCATTTCCGTGGTGGGATAATGGGATGGGGACATCTGTCTGACATTTTGGTGGAGAGCCCTGGTCCACAAACGGCAGCGTCCATCCATCACTGCACTGGGAGCACGTTGTTGGGTCACTCAGCACAGTGAAACATCTCCTTTGTGATTGTGCATTTTAAAAAAATAAATACAAATCATTTGCATGAATTGATCAGTCATATTCTGGGGTGGCTGTGGCTCAGGAAGGAAACAGCAGTCGCCCACTGATTGGAGGGTCAGTGGTTCAACTGCAGACCACATGTCGGACCCCAAGCAGCCTACTGGTTACATCTGTCATGCCCACTGGTGCAACCAGTGTGTGAATGTGTGTGTGAGTGGTGGATGCCAGGTAGTGTAAAGCCCTCATAGTCAGCTTGACTGGAAAAGCGCTATATAACTGCATGTACATTTACATATTGATGACTTAATTGCTTTTGAGAAAAAAGCTTCAACTCTGCTACTGTGGGTCACAATTTGAATTGTCTTTTTAGTCATATTTGTTGAGCTTTTTGTTTAAGAAAATCTCCACCTGCTGCGAGTTTAAACACTGGCCTCACAAGAAGCAACGACCTGCGCCGACTTGAGCTTTGTGGGTTATTCCGACACACAGATGTTGTTAAAAACAATCCAGAGTAAGACACCGTACGCAACAAAGCGGAGAGCCGCTCTCGTGTAGGGCTTATTGGAAGAAAATGAGAGAAGGAGCTTTACAACGGGGTTCTTCTAGTAATCCAGCCTGGAACAAGAGACAGATCTGGAACTGAGTGGAAGTATGGACTGTGATAAGATTCGTTAACGCTTGTCCTGGGGATCTGTTTACATAAAAGCACAGAAAGCCAAGGCCTTGCCAAACGATTAGTGAGTCCGGGGAAGGACTCACTCACTGTGACCATCATCTCCAGAAGCATAAGTGATGACAAAGGAAGCTGGCTGTGAGCCGGGAGGCATGCCTCCATGCAGGCGCATCGACGTACCTGGCTCCTTGTGCCAGTGCGCGGTGGCGGGCACGAGCACGCACCGCCACCACAGGCCCACGGTCCCGTTGAGTCGGAACAGGGTGTCGCTGTAGGTCTTCTCGTCGAACTCCCCGTCCATGAACTCCTCGTACATGGAGCGCAGCTCGGACACGTTGGCCTCCCCGCGCACGGCGGGGCTGCTGTACTGGTACCAGTGCTGCGTGGCCACGGCCACCGACAGGTACACGGTGGCCAGCAGGCTCAGCACGCAGGCGATGACCAGAGCCGTGGCGTAGCGGTTGTCGACCATTGTTCAGGCGCGCGTCAAAGGAGGGGGGGATTAAGCGGTGGCGAGCGCTCGAATCGTTCGCGCATCAATTTAGTCCCGTTAACCCTCGCTGAGGGAACCCAGCATGACCGGTTCTGCGAGAGATGCAAAGGCAGCAGCCGACTGCAGGAGCTCGTTTTTTTCTAACGGCTGAAAATGGCGCAAACGGTCAGCGTCAGCGGCCGCGCAGCCCGGCTGGGATGCGCCATCTGTTCCCCTGTCCCACTTCCACAGATGGTGGGTGGCCCGAGTCTGCGACGGATATCTCAGAGCTGTGATTATAAAGCCCCCCCCCCCCCCCAAACCCCCCCCAGCCACCCACCCAGCCCTCAGCAAAATAAGTTAAACGGCGATCAAATAATAAGACGCGTTCGGAGGCGACTGCAAACGCACATGAAGGGGGTTTAATTCAGGCTGCAGACCAACGCCGGCTGCATCCTTTCCTGAGCGCTCCGAGTTGTAAACACACTAATCCATGAGCTTTCCTTTTCCGGTTCCGCTGAGCAGCAGACGTGTAACCGTTTCTGAGCCGCTCCAACAGGCCAGCAAAACGTTACACGTCTTAAGGGGCAAGATGTGCAACGGAGCAGGAACATTAGGAGAACACACACAAATGAATTCACGTGATCCAGTGATGCGTGCAGGTCTCAGCTGTGTTTCCTATTAAACGGTTACATCCTGGGGCTTAAAGAATTATAGTAACCATCAAGTAGTTTTTCATTTTGAAAAAATAATAGAAAGCATGAAGATGAGAGGACACAGACAGCTTCTATTAATTTAACACAAAAACAATCCAGGAAAGAATAAATGTTGAGACGGAAATACTAAGAGCAAATTACATATATTTTAAAGAGCACAAAGAGGGGAAAAAGTTACAAAAATGTGCAGAAAAACAAATAATCTGCTGCAGGAAACTCAAGGGCCACACTAAATGCTTTAAAGCTGAGATATAATATTTGAGATGCTTCTGTGTTGAAATGTGCTGACCAGAAGAAAGCCTAAGACCCTTTTAAAGTAGCCCTTTGCTGTAAAAACCAGAGAAAGGGAGGACACCCTTCTGTCCCTACATCTATAAAGAGAATCTAATTTGCCCTTATTTGTTATTTTCAGCATCTTTTGGTACTTTTAATATTTGTTACGAAAGAAAACAGCATCCATCCAGAAAAGACCTTCTTCATTTAATTTAAGTAACTTTCTTTCTTGCTTTACACACAACAATTTTGTATTTGCAGCAGCAAAGCCCCTTTGTGGGAAATTATGAAACAAAAGCTAAACATTAGTTATAAATAGTAGATTATGTTTTTCTTGTATAACACACAGGATAGAAAATATAAGTATACTGGACTACCTTTAACTTTAGCTACAGGCATAAACTGTATTCAGATCAGAGTAAGTGATTTTACATTTCAGAAAGACAGACACAGGGCTCCAAAATCAGTGGGAGCAGAAGTAAAGCTAAATAAACACAACAAGTTGAACAATACAATCGAGAATCCCTAATTTGAATAGACATGATGTCATGCTCTATTCGTAACTCAAGCCTAAGCCAGAACAGATGCGTCACAGTAAAGCCACACTTTTACTGGATTTACAGTTGCCATGACAACAGCAGCAGACAGGATGCAGTGGGGAGACTAATCTTGTGGTTTCCAGCATCAGAAGCTGCTAAATTGGGAGGGAAAAACAACAAAACATTAGTTGAGGCGATCATTATTGGCTTTTTTGCGATGATTGATCATTCCAGTCGATTCTGACATCCGATGAGAATCTTTTTTTTTTTTCTGGTGTGCTAATTTAGAAAAGTTTCAAGTTGTGTATGTCTGCCTGTGACACAGAACATTTCAGGAAGACCGAAAAACCTAAATTCGCTTACATGTGTCGCTAAAACTCCTGGTACCAGTGATGGAGGAAGCTGCCCTGATCAAAACCTGCTCAATCTGCCTGTCGTCTGGAACACGCTTGTTCATGAACCTGAGGTTTATGGTGCTGTTGGCTGCTCCCTCTCTGAACACAGACATAACCAACCCAAAAAAGTTAACAATTAGAATCCTTACACTAAGGCAGTCAGAAGAATTACCTGTATGACACCAAATCCAAAGAGTCAAAGGAGGAGAACTGCTTTTTGAAGAGAGGTTCAAGCTGTAGATGCAGAATACAAAGTTATCCTTTAAAATTTCTTTCAAATACAAGGTATCTCAAACAAATTCTAAGTGATTTAGCTTTGCTCTTCTTAGAACTTCTGTCTCTTTTTGTTTTTTTTAAGAAATCTCTTTGAGTCTGAAGAAGAACTTCAGCTCTTTGGGTAAAGCTTCAACAGTTTCTCCAAATGAGACTCACCTTGCTCTTTACCTCTGCGGACATAAGTCTGAAAGCTTCAGACGATGGATCCAGCAAATCGCTTGTGAACTTGGCATCAACCAATCCCAGGTTCACAGATTTGGAAATGTTGACCACTGTAGATGTGGCTGTTGTACGGGCTGGTGTGAAGACTTTGCACAGACAAACCATGGAAGACACAACGGTAACAGGTGCAGTAGAGGTAGGATTGTGAGTGTGAGGTGGAGCAAAAGTGGATGTTGACGAGTTATTCGGAGCCGTCATTGTGATTCTCGTTGGTGTGATTGAAACATTCGTGGCTGTAATTGCTGTGCTTGAATTTGCACCAGCTGTGGGATGTATGGGTGTTTCTGTCAAATAAAAAAAAAACAAACGACTATTTGAAATTCCTCCTCAAATTCCTACTTTGTTCTAACTTAATATGGTATCAGAACATGCAAACGGGGTAAAAGTGAAGATGGAAGTGATGCTGTTTACTTACGAGTGATTTTGATAGAGTCTGATTGAATTGTAATATTGAAGTCGATGGTGCTGGTATTTGCAACTTCAATCAAAACTTCCTGAACAGCTTCCTGTTTTGGGATTTCAACCATTGGTGT